GTGCAAAACATCTGATATACACATACACTGGAATGTGCACATCAAAATCCGTAATCCAGCTGAATGCCGTGGCTCATAACGGTAACCAAAATCTAGTCCTGCTTGCGATATATAGATATGCGATATATGTATTTATTATGTGCTTATTTCTCTGTAAACATAAATCTAAAAAGAACGTTTGCAGTAAATAGTGCGACCCGATCGCACTGCCTGTTAAAATTATCAGTCGCACTGCCTGTTAAAACTATTAGGTATTATTTGTCAGTTTTTCCAATTTGATTATGCTTTGATATTGCGCAGTACATTTGCTGAGAGTCACAATAAAATCGACATTACAGTGTACAAGCAGTACATGAAACAAAAATTAATAAGTATACGATTTTTATTTGCACGAGTTCTATCACTATGATGATGCCATAATGTGAACACATTTAAGACAAGCATATTTCGGCAATATTAAATTAATATTATTGAAATATTAATAATAAAAATACTGTTTAATAATTATATAAAAATTTATAGTAACCGCATGCATGTTTAACAACAAATTAAATGTCGCAATATTATGCGGCGATTATAAAGTGGAACTAATAAATTGCCCTGCCCGGACCGCCCATTGGCTCATTGCAGATCCCAGGAGTGAAACGAATTCATTGCCCTCTTCAAGTCACTTTATTTTCATTGCCCAGATGTGCTAAGCTGAAACACCAGTTTTTATGATTGATCAGCCATGGTTTATGCAAATCCAAGAAATTTGCTAACCATTCGTCATAATTAGATTCTGTTCCCTAGAAATCTTGGGTTAACTTGCATGGCTCCCCGTTTCCTTGATCATAAGATCTTCAGTGCAACAACACGCTGACTAATGTTTGAAAATCTCTTAGGAACTCTGTAATCAGTTTTAAAAAAGTATAAATCAAACTTTTTTATGCGGACGTACTATTAAATATTTCTAAATGACAGTCGAGCTTTAAACTGTAACGGTACGGTTACGCGTTAATGTGTTATAACGGCACGGTTTCCATAATTTGGAAAATCCATACGTAACAGTTTGCTCGCGTGCTACTACGCGGTCACTCTGGTGACCTTTCGACTAAATGATTGATTGGTATTGGCACGAACTTGCAGCTCGACTGGCTCGCAGCACAATTCCTCAGCCTAGTAAAAACAGGAAATAGTGTTGATTCTTACTTTCTCAGGATCGTCACTGCATACTACGCCGAGAAGAAGCTATTATATTCGGTAACTGCTTACTCAGGTAGCCAAGCAGTCGAACATGTCAGCAATAGGAAGAAAATTTCTATTCAGACGGTTGTGTACTGGTCGATAGTTGTGTGAAGAATTATATTCTTTTGTGATATGAAACGTGAATTTACTAGTAGCTACTTGTGTACTGTAGAAGAATAGTGCTACTTTCTCGTTATCGCTTTGCATATTCATATGCGATATTCCGCACAGGATAAGGCAAATATGCAACTTAACTATGTGGATAAATCTTTTCATCGCTCGGACCGCACCCCGCTATTTACACCCGAATTTATCAATAACGCTGGCCATCGCTTCAAGCTTTAGCCGAGAACATTTCATAACCAAATCAGCTCAATCAATATAATAGCAATTTAATAAACAGATCATTTGAGTTTGACGATAAGAGGATTTGAATATTTAATCAGATATTGTTTCGATATGATACGCATTAAGCTCTGAAAGGGATCACAGTACAGTGTCCGAATCCGACATATCATGGCAACCGCTTCTGTGCGCTTCGAAATTATGTAAAAAATGGTTTTCGGGTTCAAGAAAAATTATTTTCCGTAATAGGGTGAATATAGTTTTGATGCAGTTGTTAGGCGTGTGCAGGAAATGTATAAGTGAAACTTTAATTCTTTATAAAATATTCGATTGTGGGAAAATGAATACGCAAAAATGTAACGTGACGCAAGAGTGAAGCTGATGCATTCATGGCAGTTACAGTGTTTGGGCTGTCGTACCGTCTGAACAACATACAAACGTTATTATACAGCATAATCATGCAAAGTAAAAGATTCTCAGCTTTTGATTAACTAATTATGTATTAATACATAATTAGTTAATCAAAAGCTGAGAATCTTTTACTAAATTTAAAAATTAACTGCAGCTACTTAGTTGCGTTATCAGTTTTGGCTCATGATACTTTGTGAACTGCATATAAGCTGCTTCGTGAGTGGGATTTACATAGTAGACATTTCCAACACAGCATACCAAAGAAAAATACCGCTACCGTTAGATGCCGATCCGCATTATTTACCAAACAAGCTAAGCACAATTTTACCAGTATAGGCAAATAAAATGGTTGCCATAACGGCAGGGATGAGAAGGAAAATTGCTACGTAAACTAATAAAGTGCTGCCGTTAGGGCGAAGTGGTGGTGTAAAGTGCGGAACAGAGTAAGATGACGAGTGGTTTTGTAATGTGAGATAGTCAGCTCAAACGATGACGGTAGCAACAACGCAGGCAAATTTTAGAGCAACTAAAGAGAAAAACAAACATACCGGCTTTCACGCACTAACAAAGCTTCTTGACACGTTCTCTTCAACTGTTTAACCCAACTTTTATGTAGGATTGTGCGAAGTAACCATTTGTAATGTGCAACCAATATACAGTAAGTGAATATAGAATAATTTAATTTTTAGCTTTCGCTTCAGTCCTAAAGGTGCAAATTATTAATTAAGGGTCGTCAACAAATGAGCACAAACAAGATCCAACAGTTTCCATTTATTGAACAAGTTTACTAACAAAAAGACATTACTACTCCTCCAGTTATTGTTTACAGATTTCCTCTCTTATGTACAAAGTAGCAGCTAACCAAACGTTTATGCATATAATCTATCTGTTATCCAAAACCTAAAGTTTAGATTACCTTGCACTGGACTTTATTGAGCATGTGATAACATATTATATTCGTTAAACTGTCACATGGAACGATTCAAGGTATTCATGTTGCCAAACGTTATATCTGTACGGCAGAGCACGTCAAAATTTACTGTAATTAAAAAAGTTGTTTGTGCCGGTGCGGCATGACCTCGCACGCAAAGTTGTAGCGATGCAGTTAGATATATTTCCTACTATATAGTACGTAGTGTGAACGCTGGCCATGAGACTTAGTCGTTTAAGTTAACCTGTCGAGGCTAAAAGTGTTCTGTTTGTTTTTACAGAGAATGGCTTGAATTACAGCAAGTTGCCTCGATCAACTTACGGCATGAACAAAGTTTGCAATGTGCTGCAAGGAACACATATTTAAAGACCAACAAAGTAAATGACTACAAGTGCATTTCAAGACGGCTGTTTTGCGTTTCGGCCATGAAAATGAAGTTAACTTATCAAACAGAAAATAAAGAGAAAATTCACAGTACTGAATTTACTACGTGCTCACGTGTCCTGGCTTCGTTCCCTGACCGATGGGCTGTGTAAACCAGCCAAATGCAACTTCACAGGTGTGCGAACTTATAATTCATTCAGCTTTCAAACTCTTTGTGATCCGCTGCACTGTGATGTTGTTTTCAGGATCTGCATATGCTAACTAGATTGTGAACACATTAGTATTTGTACTGGATGTCTACCCTGATGCAAATCTTAACAATTATTTTGTGCATATTACACAGTTTATCTTACTATGAATGATGTGTTTTTCCCGGTGAAAAACAACAATTAAATTGTGCATTCTGGCTGCAAAGTGATTAGCAACCTCTTTGTTTTTGCATTATTGGTAAAGGTGGAAGAAAACACTTTATAGCTATTCGTGATTCGAACATTTTAGACAAACGCGGACTTAGCTGCCCACCAAGTGGCACAAAAATCAGAACGAAAATAATATGCTCACGTACGTAGTGTCAAAATTTTAACCGCATCATTCGAAATGTCTACGTATAATTAGTATTTAAGCAGTTTCGGTCAAATCAGTATGAAATATTGCGCCATTATGTATGACTAGGTAGTGTGTAAAACACACAGTGTTCACATAATGACACATGTACAATTTTCAACACTAGGCACTAACGTGAGAAAGCTTATTCTTGTGAACGGCATTCATTATATTGTGCATAATTCAAGTTTACATTTAGACTCGATCATGCTGTCAATCACCAGTGAACTGTAATTAATTTCAACAAGAAATTTTTTCCACATACTGTCTAAACCGTTTGTGCACGCATCAGACTAGTTTCCTTGGCCGCAGACAAAAGCCAACACGATTCACTAGCTTGCTAAAAACGTCTCGGCATATAATTTATTTGCCTGCAGCCTGTATTCTCTCGGCTCAAGTAGTTTGAAAAATACTGATGGTTAGAACATGTTTTCTTCTTCTATACGCAGAACTAACCAGCAAAACATTCTCTGCCAACAATATTAACCGGAGCCAAAAAATCAGGCTACAGTACTTGGCGCCAGTCGCCGGCGCATAATCTTACGATAATACAATTATATTCTGGAGCTGCTCATGCTTTCCGGTACTTAATGATTTTTTCTCTAAAGTCCCGGTAAACGCGGAGCGACCATCCTTCGCACATATTTGCTTGTCACACAACACATATTATATATATGCATACAAAGGCCACGAACACACACACACGACAAGAAACGATCGAATCGCATCGACGCTGCACGCTAAGTGGCTTGCATGGATAGGCACTACATACAACGACTTAATGACGGAAACGTGGGGTCGCGGGACTTCGATCGGGGAAAGGAATACAAGTTGGCCCTGTGTAAAATATGTCAGCGCTCTCGCTACGGGAGCTGAAAATGTTATCACAGATTGAGAAAAATACAAGCTCCGGCGCTGATCACGCTCGAGCTGAATCTTGCGCAGCTCGGAGGCTGCTCGCATCGCTTCGGTATCGCCACCGGATTACATCGACTACATAGTTTCACATGGGTTACCTCCCACTTGCGGAACAAGTCTTACAGTACTCATACACTCACACACATACGCATACACACACACACTTGGCGTGCCTTTGAATAACTCTCTATGTCGGCGCGATACGCTTGTATGAATTGCCGCTCAAGCTTATACATTCTGTCATCATTCTTACAATCATCATAAAAATATCAAAATTCACTTGTTCACATTCGATGGTGAAAACGTTTGGTGTTGGTGGTGTTGTACGCTGTGTATTAAAAGAATAAACGTGCGGTTTTTTGGTCTTTTGTCCCTCAATATAACCGAAGCATAATTGAATCGGCGAGAGAATCACATCGGTAACACCGACTGGCTCCCACTATGATACACTTGTGCAAAAGAAGTTATTATTTGTGTAAGTACAATTCAGTTGGGATTGAAAAATATCCAAGTAAATTGACGTTTTTATGTTCCTAGCCTATTATTTCGCAACATCGATCAGCAAGCAGCACTCTCATCTGGCTTGAGCGCTGGACAAAATATATTACAATTGTGCGGCTGTATAGAAAGTTGCTGTTCATTGGAAAAGGCAATTAATTACCATACGAAAAGGCCCTGACAAACCGGTAAGTGGCGAGTAGTTGACTGTAGCTGATAGCTGTGTATAGCACTGCCACTATACAGATTGTGTAGCAATGCGCTGCTGCCTGCTGCCGCTATGATGATTAATGGGTTTTTTCTTTTGCGCTTTGTTTCTCTTGTTCAACAAGCGTCAGACAAAAAAGAAAAGCCGTTATAAATTTTTATGAACATGGTCATCAGGTGTTTGTACTGCTGTTTCTATTCTTTCATAACGTGTCAGTAATGTTGTTTTACGTTACGCATGGCTGAATTAAAACTGACATATTACCCATTGTTGTAGCCTGCTACTGCTGATAGAAACTGCCGCTGCTCATAACAAGTGCATTAATTAGTATCATGGTACTATGCCGATACGTGATAACAAATCCCAAAATTATACATCAGATTCTCACATGTCGAATATCCAGTTCCCAGTGAACCACCATTAAATTTCGATATTTATCACGGATTATTTTATAATACGTTGCGCGTTTTCAGAACCACTTATGCGAACTTTTCAGTCACATTTAACCGCACTAAATAAAGTAGATATTACTTTAATGTAACAATCTATTACATTGATCTAAATTAGCTTTGGGTACGTTTAAAACTACAGATAATTATGCAGATTTGTTAATTTACAAGAGCAGTACTGAAGTAGACGAAATTGTGTAGAGCCCGCTGTCTTTTCATCAAACTATTACTTTCAAGCCCTATTGATCCTTAAGAATCTTTAAAAACCATAAGAAACCGAAGTCACTTGCACCTTACCAATAACTTTTAATTCAACCTTTCAAGGCTATGTTAAAGTAGTATGTTTACGTCGTTTCATAAATCCAGTTCAGATGATTTATTAGAGCTGGATCAAAATTTTACGTGTAAAAATGTTAATTAATAATTTACTACTACTGTCTTCAAGTGTTATACGAAATATCAGGCAGAGCGAGTCTACGTGTGAAGATTTATCATGCGAAGAATGACTAATCTATAATTAGTATGTATACCTGTGTACGAAAATTCCAGTATGATAGTTTTCCTAAGGCAATTTAATTCTCATGAATAAATTTACGTTTGCAGGCCGTTGCATAGGAGTACATAATTTACGACCACGCGACTGCTGGTAAAAGTGGTTGAGTGTTAAATGTATGATTTACGATGTCACTTTTATAATTAAGCTGGGTATTAATGTTAAGCAATAATTAGGCAGAGACATAAGCAATACTTAAACCTTCTACGCTTATTTGAATACATGCAACGGTAGCGGCACAAACCTACATCAATCTTAATAATTTTAATGGTTGGCGTATGACTGCCTTAATGAAAACAAACATCTATCTTTACGTAAAATTTATAGCAATGTATCATTTTAATATAGTTTTAGTAATGTACATGTTTTTTAGCTGTCCGTAAATGTGCTCTGCATCTACTGGATATATTGTTGTACTATTATACACTGTACGCTTTGCGGCAATATCATGTATGGCAAGATCGCAATCGAGGAATATGTGTCATGTCATGAATATTGTAATACATCATCTAGCCGACGCGCACGTCGAAATTACCTTTTATCAGGCTGATCGGTGATCGGTGGCTGCCATCGATTATCTAATGCTAATTAAACTAAACCTTAAGTCGGAAAAATGCTAATCCTGTGGTAATTAATTTCAAGAGGAGCTATCAGCTGCTGATATAATTAGATCGGCTAATATAGTGGCTCATGCTATAGTAATCTAGCTATCTTTTTGCATTTTATAAGTGACTTTTAACATTCCATAAGAAAAATCGGGCTATACACTATCATCTTAAAAGCAAATTATTGTTCAGAACTTCTGTAAATTCCGTGATACAGAAAGTCCATGATTATAAGAATTGCGGGAACAGCGCATCCGAAAGGTCATAACCGGCCGTCTGCAGCACCGGTCTAAGTTTTCGCATTTAAAAGTGGAGCACTTGCTATATAGTACAATCCACAGAGTTCATGCTGGCCAATCAGGTTATTGCTGCTACACGCTTCGCTATAATCAGCTGCTGATTATCAGCACGTTCTTGAAAGCCCGGTATTATGCTAATAAATTGTTCGATCCCTATTGCACTTTGCTTGCTCCACAAGATCCCTGAGAAAGCTACACAACTGGAGCTAATGGAAATCTAACGCATATAATCGTTTGGAATATGAAATTGTAAAGCAAGCAACCTTAGAGAGCGCAGTATGACTGGCGGAGAGAGAGAAAGATCGCCAAAGTAGTTGCCGGTGCACAGGTGTTTATTTGCCCGGCGGGCACAGATTGTAAGTATTTTCTCATGAAATTCGCTATGGTTGTAGAAAAGAAGACGTGATGTGGAGTATGGCTGCTGCCGTAGCTACACGTTGATGCATATACTCTGTGAGCCTCTTGAGAAATTAAGGGTCTAATTGTGTCGTTAGTAATATGCTGTACGGAGCAGTATGTGCGCGATATATGCCAGAGCCTGAAACCGACAAAAGTAATTAACACAAATTCAGAAGGGGCGTGTTAAGAGGACGCGTTAAGAACTCTGTATGTGGTGGAGAAGGAGAGAATTGATCATGTGAATCGCCGTAACTGAAATACATAACGAATATGCATGTATGTATGCTTACAGTAGCCATCGCGCTGCTACGGTAGCCCCAGCTTAAATTGCTTATCGTTTACCTGCCTTCTCTGATGGGCTTTCAATTATAATTTGGATTGTGCAGATGGAATGCCATTTTGTCATCCCCCCTCTTGGTTGTCCCTTTCTCTCTGGCTGCATCTACATATATTCTTGTGTTTCCTTATAGATTTCCTGCAGTAGGGCGGAACCCCATTCCCATGAGGCATATACATATTTGCAGAAAGTCCATAATGAGGATCTGGTATGCCTAGACATTCCGGCACCAGGTGTGAGAAAATTTTTCCTCGCCCGGATTCCTTGTTCTCTCTCGCGCGCTCACCACTGAAACATCGCTTTTGACTACGTCATCATATAATATGATTCCATCGCACAACCCATACGGCTACGCACTTGCCATTTACTTCCTTGTCAGATCTTGAAAGGAATTAAAAAGTTTCTTTTATGTCATAATTTCCTTATCTGGCAGCTTATTAACGCGCCGGGCTTTATTACATAAAACTGAGATCGTGTTCGACGAGCGGGTCTGATCAACACCCAAGTGCTTGAATCCGATCATGGAGCGTGTGCACTCGGATTATCATCGTCAGCTGCAGTACTGGCAAACGGTAAGTTTATTACGGTCATAGATGGCAGCTATTAAAGAATAGCAATGTATGGATGTTCTATTGCTCCGAGATGGATTTATTCCCTACTCCATAATTTTATTTCAATGCCTGAGAGCCTTTTCTCCAACAAATAGTTATGTAAATTAATAATTTCATCACGAAAGAGCCATAAAACTGCCACTTAAAATTTATAGCGGGGGTTGTCGTACTGAAATGACCAGTGTGCACATGTGTCACTGCACGCTCTGTACCATCTTTACAGTATGTTTACTGTTTACTATGCCGAATTCAATCTTTATCTAGTACAAAACATCATCAATCATACAAAGTTTTTTTGTTTCGGTTAGCGCATAATCGATTAGATAGACTGAGATACTTTAGAGTTATACTCCTTACAAGTGGTAAAAACTTTTTGTAACCTTTATTACAAGGGACTCTTTGCTTCCTCTTCAGTGATTGGGAATGAGGAGGAAAGAAATGAAAGGCAGTCATCACAATGAACCTATATGATTTGATAGACCTTTTTGTGCTTAATCGGTTTCAATGAAATTTATGCAATCAGGCTTCACTACATTAACACCATACACCGAGAAAAGAAAGCTATTAAGCACAACCACAAAATAAACGCTACCGATTCAACTCACAGCTATTCGATGGTATTCTGACGCGTTCATACAGCTACTGTATACCTTCTCCCCAAGCACCTTTATTGCAATCTGTTACATGCTAACATCTCATAATAAAACAAAAGAATGCCGCTTTATACAACGATTACAATCTTGCGGTTTATACAGAGCATTGTTCGATCGAGGACAATTAATCACCTTATGCCCTTTCTGATCCAATTCGTTTCTCACATTTGAGCGTTCATTTATCAATCAATTTTGTCTGGGCTTTTGTTATATTATATTGGCTAATGTCGCAAAGGCTCATGTTCTGGTTTTTCGATGTCGGACCAAAACGAATATGCAATAAAAAGCTTTTTTCTAAACTTTCTTAATCAGACAATCTCTATACATTGCACATGTTCTTATTATCTGCAAATAACTCCCAAAACTCGGAGTAGCTAGTTCCAGTCGCAGAGTATCGGCTTCTAGGGTTTGATGCAAAGGTCACCATGAATATTTATATTTATATTCGTTTCAGTAAGTTCGCTTTTGAAACAGTTTATTGAGTCGAAATCATTCTTCAATCTTCAATAACTTGAAGAACCGAATTTAAGCAACTTTTTGGCATAACACTTTCAGACAATTCAAAAAGGGTTTTGTGAGAGGGGGAAGGCATGACCATTATCCGCGCTCCGTATAATGTGGTCCTCATTTGACTACATGCTGATGATTGGCTACATGGGGCGTATCTGGTTGATACGGAGTCGGCCGCGTACGCATAGCGCCGTTGATGGACAGCTCGTGTGCATTTTGCATTGACGATCAGCCCCCATGAATATGATAGAATAGATTGCGATCCAAACATCAACTGCATAATCACGACGGTTGGTCGGTCCGGTCAGTTTGTATGTATGGTGTACACGGTGAAAGATAGGTTAGAATTTCGTTATTTAGCGCATAGAAATCCACTGAGCAGAGAGAGAGGGCCCCATTATTGTTGGAGACGGATAATAGCTTTTCAAATACTCAGAAGAGATCCTGTTTGTGACTGAAGAACCCTGTTGTGGGTTGTTTAACTAAGAGGGTTTCTCCAAATAATTCACTCTGGATCCCACAGCAGCCAGTAATCTGTGGTACTCCAAGGCCCGTCCCGCGCATTTCCCCCATGCCATGCCTGCCAATGGCAGCTTTTTTGATTTATACGGCCTGGCGGCGCCGAATCCCACGTTGCAGCATCTAATCAGTTATTCTCCACAGGCCAGCCTGCATCTGGGTAACGGCAACAGCAACCACTATGCCCACTCGGACTCACCCAAGTCCAGCGGACCCAGTCCCATTGAATCCCTCAATTCCCTGTCGCCCGGCGGCGGCCACGGGACCGGGGCCGGGCAGAACCAGATGTCACCGCAGCAGCAAGTCCCCGGCAATATCGGGCCAGCGGGATCGCCGACCAAATCTGGCTCGCACTCGTCCAATGGGTCAACGAAAGATCATCCGTTCGATGGTGAGTGAGTGTTGTTGCTGTGTATGTGTCAGACGTGCGCAACTGGTTTACGCGCGAATACCTGTCAGTTCCGCGTTTCTTATCAGTACTGCCGCTCGTAACTTAACTGGAATAACAACTTTTAACAAAATTCCGATTTTTCGTTTGCAGTAACCATCTTCTGTAGTAGCTGTATGTAGGTTGATGTCAGTGTAATACGACTGCCGGAAATATTGCTTTTTAGGGATTTCTTCAGTCAGAAGTTACGATTTTTAGAATTAGTTTTGTTGCCATACGTGTGTGGCGAGCAATATTGTTACTGCGACCGGCGTTTCTGATTGTTCCATCCTTCGTAATTAACGGCCTTTTCAACAAAGATTGATGATAGTTGTCGTAGCTCACCTCTGGCGTCAACGTAATAGTCGAGTTTTGAACCCTTTAATTTGCAATTCCCCGTTATTTTTTGGGGAATTTTAAGAGAACATTTGGATTAAATGCACGAGCAAACATTTTTTGATTCTGTGATTGTACAACGACACCTTTCTTCTTCGGCACTGATTTTATATTTCCCTCACAATATTATTGCATGCGCTTTGTATGTGGCTTTAATACTGCAAGATAGGATTATTATAATATAGCTCTAGATGCAAATTCAAGAGGAGTCTGAGAGTTGGATTTGTTTATCTGATCTAATTCGCGTGCGCCACTAGTGAAGACATTTTACACGATCCGAGGTGATAATTCCACATGATTTTACGCTGGATAAACAGTGGCGTTATCTTGATAATATCTACTCTAGGGCCTTTTTCATTGACTGCACAGCATAGGGATCATATTACAGGCACTGAATGAGTTGCTGGTGGAAGGATAATTAAATTAGTTAGCATAGATGGCATATCACAAATACTTGTTAATTCGCCATTCATTGCTAGTCTAATGGATATTCTTTTTTCTACCCTGTCGAGCTCTTTTGTGCGGGATAAAAATAACTTTATAATGGTGAACAATGCGCTCCCCTACGGTTCATATTATCAACACATAGGAAAATATAATACACATATAGAATAATAGATCTATAAAGATAGATGGTCAATTGTTCGGTGCAGGTGACATAATCGTGTTATTGTAAAAAGTGAGCATTATGAATGGCATATTTTGCGGTTTTGATGGATAATCACATAAATTATTCTGACCTGCCCGTTTTGTCATCTCTATAGTGCAAGGTGGCAAAAATTAGCATATAGCATATTTTACTGTTCTTCACGTTGTTTACGAACCAGGAAGGATTTTTCTGGTTCTTCTCTCAGACAGGCAGTCATGCAGTAATTTTTAAATAATGCTGTCAGGCTTTTCCCATGTTTCAGCATGGTTAGCGCTGAGGCTGTACGCGGTCAATCATCGCAGCGATCGCTCGCGTGAATTGAGAAAGAGAATTCTTCGTCGAGTAGGCTGCTTAATTGTTATCAAACCCAATTTTGCTTGATGCAATTTGGCGTCAGACTAAAAAAGTGAGTGTGTGTAGCAGACGTTTGATGGAAATTTGGAAATTGACAGAAGCAGACTCTAAGCGGACTTGCCCGGAGCGACAAGCTAATTATTTTCTCTCTCACTCACTCCGCCACGCTCGTATTTTTCTTCTTCTTATAAGTCTCTTTTCCATTTATTCTCTCATACTATGTATGTATCTGTAGCCTACCTCAATTGGGCCTTGAACATGTTTCTCGGCCATAAAGTGTCGCCTGCGTCCATCAGCCAACTTACGGCATGTCAGCGGGACAGCTTGCGATCAACCGATTGCCATCATTAAAATCTAATTACACCTGAATTTTCCCTTAAACTACACGATTCAGATTTTTTCTTCAGTTATGGACAGTAATACGTGTGAGTCAGGCACCCGCATGAGTTTTTCTGTGAAATTCGGAAAATTAACGCGTATTTATACAGTGATTGACCTTGCTCTGCTTTTTCTTCCGTATGCATACTCGGCTTTGTGTACATGAGCATCTCGGTGGAAAAAAACACAGTCAGTGCGTTTTCTGTTGACTGTACATAAGTGCTTTGAGGATGTGTCCACTGTCCAATGTAGTATTGTGATAATAATTTGAACTTCTATCTGGCTGAAAAACTGAACGCCTTTTTTACGGAATTATTTTCTAAGAAAAGTTTTAGTTCCTCGTCCTTAATTCTAAAGAATTAAAAGTCTTGTTGATTTAAATACTTGATGTTTAGGAACGTTTAGCTTGTTTTTTAGAAATTCTATTTTGTCAGTATGCGTGAAGTGATGCCGATTGGACGAGACCAAGCGAATACGTCACTGCCCATGTAAATGGCGTTATACGCCTTGCATAGCAGACAATCTGTAAAGGTTACCGTGACATTTTGATAGAATATTATGAAAATATCACTTTCTTTTCTTCCTCTATGGGGAATGCATTAAAGTGCCACAGGAAAGTGATTATATGGCAACGCGCGCCATTTACTTTTATTGCCTTGCAGCAGTATACGCCGTGTTGAACAGTTGTGAAGAATTTCTTGTCGTTTGTAGTTCAATCGGTAGCATATCTGTAGGAGATTAAGCCGGTTTTGGAGAAGGGAATCGATAAGCGTGTATTTGATGAGTTGTCAGGGGAAGGACAGCTCGTTATTAAAGCGCGTGATAATAAAAATTCTTGGTCAAGTATGGCCAGCAGGTGGGATTATCGGGAGCGCAGTTCACGGCGACTTCACGCCTTTACTTGCAGAATTACCGCTGCGCTGCCTACGACATATTACGACATTTTGCGTATAATCATGTTGGAGCCCTATTAGTTTGTCTTATGGCTACCGTTATAGGTAGGCTGTATTAGAGAGAAGAATATTATAAATGCAGCTGTCAGTAGCGGTCTTTTATCGTCGGTAATCTCCCGCTGAATTTTGTGCTGGATGGCTGCAACTAGCCACGTACCGAGAGCACTTTCACCTTCCATATGACAATTCTAGACAGGTCGCTGGTTGTACTGATTGCCAATTAAGAACACCTAGCAATGTGGGTGGTGGACGCGATAATGTCGTTTTTAATTAATGTTCTTGAGTTGTCCTAAATCGATGGCGGCGGTAGTCGTGGATTTCCACCGGAAAAATTTTCTCTCACAATTTCGTAGCTTAGTGTCATCATCACGTGGGCATTGCAGTTGGTAGTTACCGAAGACAGTTTTAATAATTCCGAATAGTGAAAAAATTTGAAACAAAATGCAGCTCTCGGTAAATCCAGAAGTTAGTAGCTGAATTGATTAAATGCGGCTTTTGATTTCACCATTGCTGTATGGAAATTACGCACTCTCGGGCTTTTGTTATTCCGATTGTGTTTATTGAAGCCATGAGTGAATCGTTATGGTATTTTAAGTGGGACCACGTGTACGTCCCTCACCTAGACAAACACAGGAGCGCGCATATCAAAAACAGGAAATTAAGGTATATGATGAAAAATGAGAGTGACTGATGGACTTTAAACGTGACATGCGCGGTTAGTTCATAAAACTTTTACTTTTACTCAGGTAGCACCGTGATTGAATGGGCTCTCTGTTTGCGTATGTTGGGTACAAAAGTCAGCTATTGTCATTAGCATTAAGTGCCCATATAAAAAGTGAATTGAATGAAATGTTTGATTTCTTCCCTCGTGTTGATTACCTACCCGTGTGTGGCTGTGTAATTCACCGCTCTCATCAAATTTACAGACCGAGTCAAACGCCCTATGAATGCTTTCATGGTCTGGTCGCGAGGTCAGCGCCGGAAGATGGCCCAGGAGAATCCGAAAATGCACAATTCAGAGATATCCAAGCGGTTGGGTGCTGAATGGAAGCTGTTGTCGGAAGCCGATAAGCGGCCCTTTATCGATGAAGCCAAACGACTACGAACTTTACATATGGCTCAACACCCGGATTATAAGTACCGGCCGCGACGGAAAACGAAGACTCTGATGAAGAAAGCCGCGGAGAACGCTGCGAAGAATGCCAGCACGCCCTATGCCGGGATGGGAGCGGGCTTATTATCACAGAGTCACGGCCATTCCAATTCCGGGAGTGGACCGGTACAGAACCCATATGCTGCGATAAATGGATTATATCCAGGTACAGACAAAAACCGTTATATTTGCCTAAAGCCTTAAAGGTCACCGTAAACTGTGCCTTTAATGTTTCAAAGTTATATTTGCACATCTGGTAACTGCATTACCGTGCATATTCCAGTCTTTAGATTATTGTATTCAACAGTTAAAATAGCCGTTGAGAATTTAATATGAAATGTTTAATATTTCCCATTTGATTCAGGCGCTGCTGCTGCAGGTGCCAATGGCTACACATCGCAGGCCGCTGCGGCGATGATGCTTCATCCGGACTACACACAATCCAGCTTCTATTCGCGAGGTTACGAGCCGGCGGCGTACCTGGGCTCCAATGGGGTCCCGGTAACCCAGAGTTCTGCCTACTCATACGGCGCCAACCATTCCCGCACCGCCGCGGCCGATTACCGTGGTTCCCAGTATCGCAGCAATCCCGAAATGAAGGAAATGATCAACATGTACTTGACCCCTAGCGCCCACGCCATGGCCGCCGCGGCCGAAAACGCTCAAGGAGCTGCCGCTGCCCAGCAGCATTATGCCCAACTGTACCAGTCGCAGTGTGCTGGCGGCGACGGCGGTTCGCCCGGGATAATCAAGTACGAATCCTCGGCGCACCAGATGAGCCAGATGCACATGCATCCCAATTCCATTCCTCCGCTGAATCATATGAACTGATTGGTGCGGGCCGATCACATGGCGTTGGGGTTGACAATTGATGCCAATTATACTCAGGATTTCTGATCTGGATGAAGGAGAAATAAAAGGCAGCATTAATTTGTTCCTGGATATATATTAGTTGTTGAGAAAATGTGTATAACTGTTCCATGGGAAAACGGCAGCTATGTAGATTGTCGCCTTTTCCCTGAAGCAGAGGTCGTCATATTTTGCTGTTTTTATTTACAATGAAAAAATACCGGGACTTGAATACGAAGTATCCGCAGCGTTGGCTGAAATTTGAAGTGTATAATTTTGTTTGTTTTACGTTTTCGTTTTATTTCTGATTTATTTTATTCCGCGTATGGTTTCTTCTCATGTTTGGCGTGTTTCAGCGAGTGCGCATAGTTTTATTTGAATAACCGAACTTTTGGGTGTTGTCAAAGAGTTTGCTAAGTTACGTGATTTAATTTGTTGGATTATTACTAGGCGAATGCGGAAAGTACCCTAGCGGAACTTACGAGCAGTATTAAAACTGGGAAAAAACTACGAAAAATCGCTCGTATGATGCATGCTCTGTTGTATGCTAAATTAACTCAGCTTTGATCCTGCCGAAGCAAATTGCTTCGGAAACATGCGTATCGCAGTATGAATGCAAATTTGACTAAATAAAGCTGAAGCTCCACATATCGTGGCGGTGCATTGTGTCCACCGAAGTGCCGGATATTGCTGTAATGGACCTTTCCATTCAGCCGGCAGTTTTGCGCAATACTCAGATTAGATGGAGTACAGTATTTATAACACACGAAGTAAAGGTGCTTACCTATCTGTATTTTTCTGCACCGGAAAGCGCGAGGTAAAGCGTCGTACCAGAATTCATAATGCATATTATGCATAGAATTCCCAGTGCAGTAGGACTTCCTTTCCTAGCAGTTCCCATATGTAATTTATGAAATGGGCACTGCTAGGAAAGTGTTCAGCTCGCAGTTCTTTCAGCAGCTTCGATGAAACTTGTTCGTAGTAAGGAAGAAGCATACGATTATCCTTTCAAAGGTGATTGAGACGAAAAAGTTAAGTAATGTCTTCCAAAGTTGATACGGAAAGTAGCTAAATCGATTTAATATCTGTACTCTGCACCGAATTCGCTCCAAACGCAAAATAGGGATGTCTATTGTGGAATTACTGTGTGTAAGATAGTTATGTCAATCGCATTACACGACGTTTAACAGAATGCTTTGTTTGCTAACTTCTCAGTTTAAGTCGTTATCATTGGAAACCGGAGTGGGAAAAAGCGATATTCTTTCAAGATTCACCAAAAATTAATTCAACTACAAATAGAATACAGTATACGAAGTACAATCGGAGTGGAATTCGCTGCTCGAATCGCTGAAACAGAGGGACACCTGAGAAAGGTCAGTCTTAAAGCTGCATTCTTATGATTACAGCAAATTCAAGCAAATTTTTAAAGACAGTAAAATGTATGCAACAGTTAAAACCGTTTGCACAAAAGTTAGAATGCAAAAACGCAAAGCCTATCACGACGACGCTACTTATAAAAAAAACCTCGCGATCAACAGTTGCGATACAAATACAGAAAGGTAGCCTTTACATAAAAATATCAACAAATTTTATTGTAACAACTCAAAGTGAGTGCGAACTCTGCGTTTTATCAATAGCAGTAACGGAAAATAACAGATAAACTTTAATACGTACTCCAACTTCTTATTTTCTGTCATAAACGGCGATTCCCTGCTCATCATATTCGGCATCACCTTGCTCATCGGCAGCATCCTCCGGGTCTGAATCCGCACGGTATCCAACTGCGCCTTTACTAAACTCGAAATGTTTTTGCTCGCTGCTGTCATTTGCATTACTCGGTTTTCCTTTTTGGTAAAAATATGGATCGTGATCCGATTGTGCGTCGACATCCGCGTCATGGTGCAAACTAACGATGCTTCCCGTGACCCCTCCGGAAGTAGCTTTCAGCACGTTGAGCATGGCAATTTCTTCAAGTTTTTGTTCGTCTTCAGCGGCCATTGGGTGTATCTCTCGCAGACTCAGCGATTTCCGGAAATCCAATGTTGGTTGGCTGGAGAGACCTGAAAGCGGGCAAACGTGCAACGACGAAAACGTTTTCCTACGATAATAATAAATTAATGTTATGTTTGTTATATACGGTTTACCGGTGCTCAGCTTCCTGTCTGTTTTTGTCGGCATCGGTACTTTCCGTAGCCAGAAAAACTGCAGTGCCGCATAAACGAATCCACAGCCAAAACACACCACTCCAAAAATTCTCCAAGCCACCCTCGCGCCAACTGCCCTAATCATGAGGCCGCCAATAAGAGCCCCAGCGCCACGTCCTGGACAAACGTTTTTTTGTAAAATTCACTGAGTAGATCTAACTTCTCACTTAATACACACCTATTCCGTAATGCATGCCTCCAACAATTCCCTGCCCATGCATAATGTTTTTTATGTATGCACGGAAGTTTGCCATAAGAAAACCATTGCTGGCTCACCTGCAGCGTTGCGAGGTACTGCGGAGCAATTTTCCCGGCATAGATTGTGGCTGTGACCCACATTAAACTGAAAATTTTAAGAAAAGACATTAGATTAGAAGAAACAGCTGGTAGATCAGTACGTGGATTAAGAACGGCATACCCCGGAACTATAATAGTAATAAAATTATGTGTATATTAAAATTTTCGAAAGTGCTATGCGCCAGGAAAATTCTTGGCGCATAGTCAATTTGCTATGCGCCAGGAAATTTCCCGCAAAAGTAAAATTTGATTGTTTTGAAGTTGTCAATATCACTTTACGAAGTCTAATTGTAACCAAAACGTCTGATTGCGACTACAGTCCGTTTCTTTATCACTACTTCGAAAATCGCTTTTTAATACAGTCACCAACGGTGCTGGTAGGAAGTTTTATTAGCTGAAATGTTTAGATCATATGCGCGGTAATTTCAGCTGTTAAAACTTTACTTCACACCGTATACGGCATATCGTTATTTTTGTTAAGACGGGCTTTCTCCGGGACGTTTCTGTGCTTTCAAATTGCATCGATCTCTTTGCCGGAAACACACACCTAATTTTTTGCGGCTCAGTCTTTGTGTGATTAATCATTGGTGAAAGTAAATTAATATGCCGGCGTAGGGGTTTACTTTTTACCAGCTTTGCCACTCGTGTAACATGGCAGCCCAGCTTGAAAGAGGTTTTTTGGGCGGGAATTCAGCACTTCCCTTGGGCGGTGAATGCAGCCGTACTGGACGAAGTAACATCTGTTCCTTTTTTTCAACTTATCTTGCTTTCAAAGAAAACAACGACGCGACGCTCGTTTCCAAACATTTGATGCATCTGCTTCATATACACGCCTTCATGTAATTTTTAAGCTCGTTCTAATGGTAAGACTTCAACTGCATTGCAGCGCTGGCTCTTGAACATATCTTCCGTTGTAGTGAGATATGATATGCACAAAATCAAATGAGGAACTACTGTAAGAACAAATCTTTCGTGGTGAAGTAAGAAAATCGTGTACGAATTTTTCCGATTTTCAGAACAGCTTAAATACCACTGTGCTGCTAATACAATGTTGAAAACACAATTGTTACCGATACTGTAGTTCTTAGTTTTTTCGTAAACATTGAGTTCTTGGAAATCGTAGTTTGTACTTTTCGTAATGAATCTTATGTTTTACTAGGCTGGAATGTTAAACGTGCATTCACAAAATTGAAAATATCAGGTTATTAACAACAAACCAATAAATTTTGATTTTTGGCGGCGAATTTCCGGGCGCATAGCAAAACGACTATGCGCCAGGAATTTTTCCTGGCGCATAGAAAATTGACTATGCGCCATGAAATTTCCTGGCGCATAGAAGTGACCTAAAATTTTGGCCGCGCGCCTCAGCAAAATACGTAATATCTTGGTTTGCTTTTGGAAGGTTACGAACACGTACCTGTTAGTTATGGCTTCAAAGGCTTCGAGAGGAAGCACCATGTAGGGATTGTATACGTACGAATACCTATAAAAAACAATTGTCAAATTCCCGTTATGGTCAAAACTATGTTTTGCACAAAAACTACGTGGATACCCAATATAACGTCCTCCATAAACGAACATGGAAAAGATTAAAATGTTTGTGTGGCCAAAACGCTTTATGAGCCTTGTTGCGGATGCCATTACTGGTACTCCACAAAGTCCTAAAATTCATAAAAAATATTTATGTACGAGTATATTACGACAAAGTGGCATGAGACTGTGTTTCTCTGCAGTACTGAAAATATTCATACCTCCGACAGTATTCGTAAGACCAAGTAACCACTTCGGAGAATGCAGGTCCTCTTCCATGAACCAAAAGAAGAAGCTAAAAATTTACAGTTGAAGTTACTTTTTATAAGGGTATTTTTCGATCAGTTTTTCGGGAAGAAAAGTCCCACCTGTCCAGGAGACCCCATGCGGCACCAATGAAGAAAACGACGAAAATAAAAACAACAATTCGAGGATTTCGCATTAGTTGTCCGACATTTTTCCAGATGTTATCCGCCGGCAACCGAACAGTTAGGCTCATTATTCCGGCAGTAATTGCCGCTAATACATGCATTGCATCGTACAGATAAAATGCCGGAGCATATCCCATGTTTAGCCGATCCTAAAGCAGCATCACTACTCTAGGATTTTTACTATCGTGAAGTTAAAACGTTTTAGTTGAAATCTTCGATTAGCGATTGGTATTATGAGGCAACTATTGTTAATTGTACGTAAAAATTCTTAGATACTTGAAGTATATCTAAGAATTTTTACGTACAATTACGTACAATTTTTACGTACATGCGATAGTTAAACCCTAAATCCTAATCAACTCCATAATGCGTACGTTGGCGCATACCAATTTTGCGTAGTAAAGTATACCATTAAAAGTCCGGCCAGCGGCGCCATAGCACACATTCCCAACAGGGAATACATCCGCTGCATCCCAATGTTCCCATGATATTCCTCGCTCATCTGTATGGTAGCAGCATCCATCAGAGGAAAAACCGCTGCCAGCGCGATAGATGCCAACACCCGAAACACGAAATACAACCAAAATGTCGTTTGCCGGTTTCCGCTTTCGATGTGTGTTGTACATAGAACCGGAAACGACTGCGCCATACGGCACTTGATCCAACAAGATGATTCCACTGTGGATGAATTATTCTGTACAGACGTTATATTCTCCGCAGCTACCGGGCATGTAAAGTTGACGGACGCATCTCCGTTATTTATATCGCGGTACCAGTAAAAAGGGCACCGCGATTCGCAGGATGATAGGTCTAGCGAATCGAAACCGATGGTAGTAGAGTTGGCAGTTTGGCAACTGGATTCATTGTAATCGGCAACATCGAAGTTGTATTGCAGTACAGTGGCGTTTACCACTATCGGAAGAACAGTATAATCTTCTTTGCAGATTGTGGAAGCTACCAACCGGGACGAATTGTAGCTTTGGGTAATATTTTTGTTTTCGTATAATGGGACGCCAAAATACATCAGCGTGTGCAGTCCAATATTCACTAGGATCGCTCCAACAAGTATAACTTTGTAATATCCCAATTTATCCGCAACCGCACCTACAAAAATTAGTCACATCAAATGCATATAGGAAGTTATATAATTTTGATATTGCCTTTCTTCGGCACAAATACAATGGGAAGTAAAATCATGGCACAGTTTTTTTGTGGTGTCTTACCAGCAATTGCAGGTCCAGCAAAGCAAAGAATTGGCAAAAGCGCGTATACGATTGCTGTTTCGGTGATGGTCAAACCAAGAGATTTCATATGAATCGTTAGGTACGGATATAATGCAGCCATCCCTGAAACACAGGTATCTGTACGAAGTCCTTATTTAACAGGAGCTTATGTCCCAATGCAAGGAAGAGCTTACCTCCATACAATATAAATATTAATATTTTCAACGGTATTAGTTTAACATTTACGGCACAAAAGGAGCGTTCTTTTGTGGTCGCCATTTCCAATGTAAAATTATCAAATAATTTTTAAGATGGTGAAATATAATGGCACCCGGTTAAACCATCATAGAATCATGGACTACTCGCTGTACTCAGTATGGAATTTTGCAGTAAAAACATTCCGCGGTAAACCCAGCAATGCTTAATTACTGATAACAGCTAAAGTAAGCCGCATTATCGAACGTTCCTGCAGTCGGTCAGCCCTTCACTATCAGATTCTGTAATATTGACAGAGCCAATTATAATTAGTAACCGATAACGTACTGGAGCAAATTTAACGGCGGAAATGGTAAATACGTTTAAACACACAAATCGTTAACACCAAATGATGATCGCACATTTTCAAAGCATTTCCTTTTAACTAAAATATCGTAAATGTGTTGATCAGTGAACTGCTCGTAAAGTGGATGCACCAGCGTCCCAAGTGGTTCCTTGCAAATCAAGTTTTTGTCGTGATTAGGGTAATTCGTTTAAGCAATCATCCAATGGATGCGCACTTATCTGTACGAGTAGATATTTCCACGTGTCGGTGCCGATATTTTGAGATACAAATTAGCAGAATTGTTTATTTATTACAGTTGACTAATCCTCACAAAATATACGCATACAGTCTGTACAACCTCGGTGAATTTTGGGTCTATCTTGATGCCCGCTAGAAGTTCATTTCACTGTCAAAAGCATGGTTTTTTTCTTCAACATTTATTGGCTTATACGGCGGCTTTACAATAAATTAAATCGATTGTATTAGTAGATATTGTGTCTTGTTCCTCTAAAATCGGTTAAATAGAGACAGAATATTTCAGGACTGGAAAAATACCAAGTAAAAAGTATTCATCCGAATCCGTTAAATAGATTAACTACAGTAGAAGTATTCGTTTGAGCATGATCCGGCATGTGCGACGGCTCGGAGGTCATGGAGAATCTGGATTACGCGAACGCTGGCGTGCCCTCTGATGAATTCCATTGGCGGATGGCAACGAGGAGTCGGTTGAATTACTTCCAGTCCAAGGCGCCAGTTCTGTGCTTCCCACTTCGAACACCGGCAGAATGCTGGATCGGCGGCGTTTGACAATATCTTCCATATGGTCGGGCAGGGTGTCCCGGTTTAAATCCTCTTCCGTTTCTACCGGTTTCAGCGTTTGGCTATGGTCGTTGACTACAAATTTTAAAAAAAACTGTTCTTATAAGCATAACAAAATATATTCGCGCATTTTCACTCATTGCTTATCAATATTTGTAGGATGAAAAATGTTGCTATTCAAACCGAATTCAACGGACATTAAACGGCAGACGAGTACTTGTTGAAAAACTTGCCGGTTTTATTAAACAACGTCGAAGCTTCCTCCACGGCAGTTTTCTTTTTTGTTTTTGGTAAATGTCTGAGATAGGCAAAATGAAACACCGCGTATATCAACGAGCATCCGAAGCATATACCGGCAAATACTTGAAATGATAACCGCCTAAAAAATTATTTCGGCTGGTATACGACCATATAATTCGACTGGTTTTTAATACGACACAATACGCACGTTCCCATATCTTTTATCATAAAGCCTCCCATCAAGGATCCCATTCCTCTACCTAAAAACCGCCATAGGATAGGTTTATCAAACACTTTTTGGACAGCTCATTACATCTCAAAAGCAATAGACAGTATATATAAGTATTCTGTAACTTTTTTTGCCAATAAAAAATAGTCGCTATTTTATAAAAAAACTGCCATTGCTTTATTTATTACATACTTTATTATGACAGATAGGACACTGATACAGAAACCTGCCTTACCAAGGCCATAGTGGACGGCAGAAAGAGTTCCCTGAAGTGTTGCCAATAATTCGACGGAAAAACTGGCGGCATAAATACTAGCAGTTACCAACGGAAGTGTACAGGTAAGCGCTTCCAGTGCTTCTAAGGGCAGGACCCAGTAAGGACTGTAAACGTACGAATATCCCAAGAAACGCAGTGCAAACACGAAAATTCCACATATAAATATTTTCGTAAAACCGGTCTTTTTAACAATCTGCGTGGCAAACACGGCAAACGGAATGCCGGCAATTCCACCGACCTAAATAAATCACTGTGGTCACACACTGTGCTCTGAAACTTTGATACCTTACGTACATTTTTAACTTTTATCTAAATTCAGACAACTATTTTCATAATAGCGTTCGAATTCCTTGTTTTACCGTATTGGTGAAACCAAGAAGCCACTTTTCGGCTTTCAGATCTTCATCAAGGAACCAGAACAAAAAACTGAAAAAATGAACAACAGGATATGAGGTTTACATGTTCAGCAATGCTTCCCTAGTATAATGCAGAATATTCTGGATAACAGCATATATAGATAGAAGTAATTTTCATGTACTGTGTATGCAGCATATTGTACGATATATTTATAAATCGTATCGATTCGTGTGCAGTTCTAGTTGCTTAAAGTTATAAAACAAAGCATAGAAAATATTTATCATTCATGTACTAACCTTTCTAAAAATCCCCATGCAGTTCCGATGACAAAAAACGCTAAGATGAAAGCGATAACCCGTGGAAAGCGGAGTAACTGAACAGCATTCTTCCAGATATTCTTTGACCCCGGTCGTACACGTACGTCCGTGAAGATCAACGCAATCATTGCCATCGCAATGCCGGCAAAAAACATATAAAACGCCGGACGGTAATCTACCCTGCCAGACAATTTGCTGAAATAGTCCACTAATAAACCGGATAACGGTGGAACTGCACAATATCCGACGAAAGCAAAGGCTCTGTTTACTCCTGTAACGAGAAACAGATAAAGAACAAGTCTACAGTTTCAACAACAGTATTTGGGCGTACAGTAAACAGTTTTGATTATTTTTTCCTACCTACGTCGCCTTTGAAATCTTCCACCATTTGCAGCAAACTCGCATCGACCAAGGTGAAAACCAGATTAACCGAAAGTCCGCATAATAATCGAACGACTAAATACACTCCGAACGTGGTGTACTGATTTCCATGCACTACTTCTTCTTTGCAAGGAAAACCGGCGTCCACTTCCGCTTCGCATGTCACCGTGCAGTGGTTTTTATCCGCTGCCGCCAGCGTACAAGTCGGACCATCCGTGATCCACCAGCGAGCAGTGTGCGGACCGCCACCGGATGTCGTATTGGCCAAGACCACCTCCCGCACCGGTTGACGTAAAATTTGATTATATCGTAATAATTCATGAAGATTGTTTTCCCGCGCACTGGGTAAGAGGATCGACGGTCCGATCTGATGGACATTTCCCCCTAAGCAATCCGCCGTACAACTCCATAAGGTCATTCCCGTGCGAGTCAGATTGCTCATGTTGCACTGGGTGAAATCCAGTGTGGCATTATTGTAGGACAAGATGGATGCAGCCGGCACGGAATCATCGCAGCGCATCTCCACTTGAACGTGTTTAATGGGATGGTGGAATTGGGTTTGTTGCACTTCGTACGAGGGGACGGCGTAGTATAGCATCCCGTGGAAAATCACGGACAACACGAGGAATACGAAGAGGACGACCTTATAATGCCCGCTCTTGTCACCAATAACACCGGCCAACGGGCCTCCAATACATACCGTGAGAGGGTAGAAGGCGTATAATAATCCAATTTGAGTTACAGAGATTCCGATGCTAGAATAGGTATTAAAAACGATACTTAAATACCAAACAATCCGAAATATACATGCTTTGAAAATTTGCAATTATGTCTTTTTATATCTGCTTACCTCTTCATATGGATTGTTAAGTACCTAAAAATCATTGCCAAAAGTTATAAAACAGAATCTTGCCAATCAGCTCTAGCTTACTGCGGACGCAGCTTACTAAAAACTTACGGATATAAGGCAGCAAATCCTAGAAACAGAAAACAAAGGACTGTTATAACGTTGCGACCTAGTATATTATAATATATAATTCTCAATCGGACAAAATATGTGCTGAAATCGAGCTGAATTTCATAACAAAACAGGGTGTATGTCTTACCTCCACAAAAGAAAACCATGAAAATTTTCAAAGGAATCAATTTCCGGTTTGGGCTAATGTATTCACGCCAATTTATCTTCTCCTTTTTAGTTTCTTCAGCCCCTCCAAATTCCATTTTCAATGCAGTCAACTGATCTTTGTCTAGCTTTTGCAAGCAAACTCTTGCAATTCCAGAACTGCAGGGGAATCAGTGAAGATGTAACTCACAATCAGCTTAACCCACTGGAAATTCTAATTCCATAATTATTGCATAATTCCCACAGGTCACTTTACAACGCGTTTGCTATGTTTTCAAGCTTTTCTTGGTAGCCTTTAAAATCGAGATACAAGGAAAACACAAAATATCGTAATTCTTATCTCATTCCATTCTTGCCATGCCGCATGGGCGAATGCTAATTAAAACTCGTTATCGTTAATACGACAATGAACATATATCTCCACGGCGTACAGATACCATTCCTAAATTAATAATTGACACAGATAGTACTGAATAGGTTATACCAATATAATCTTTCTAAAACTGGGTTTGAACGGTTTGGCTTCTTTGTACGGTGAGGCAACGCTCATACCTGAGTGTAAAAGATGCAGTGCACACATGTTTGAACTTAATACAAATACTTCTCGATGTGAGAGCACAGGCAGTAAATTTCCACAACAACTCCATTCCTAATTATTAGGTTATTTTATAGACTTCGAGCTTGTATTACTGTGCGGCTTGCATTAGTGTTCACTGAGACAAATTGTCATACAAAGTATCGGTAACTACGTTTATTAAGCATTTCATACTTTGTGCAGTTTTGATGATAGTGTTCTAAATAGAATGTCAAATTTATAGTTGTAAATCGGTGGTTAACAGCATACAAAATTTACCATCTTGCAGTTTACGTACTGAATACTAGAGCATTAGTGACAGTTTTCTTGCTCGACTGAGCGTGGATTGGTCATCAGCTGTTCAGATTCTGTCGCAGTGTTTCCACCTGAAACTGTACGGGGATATTGCGAAATTGAAAATTTTCATGCTAAACAGACTTACGTTTTTCCGCTTCAGGTGGATAGTAATGCACATCCTCTTTTTTCGGGTTGGCAGTTCGCCGAAGCCACAAATAGTGAATAAGAGCATAAAGAGTTCCCAAGACAAAACACGTATACGCCATACTTTGGTACACTAGTCTGGCTTCAAAGTGATCAAATAAAGTGCCGGCAATTAGTGCTCCCAATCCTCTTCCTGAAAGGTCACGCTTGCATATTATGTAGCAAAGGGAGAGCACATTATCTTTAATTTTTAGTTGCCATTACAGCATTTTTTTGCAAAATGCTTCAGTGTCGTAGCTGTGTTTTGACAACAGGAATTAATTAAGCTGTAGATTTTTTGGCATACTAAATGCTGCACAGTGAAATAACGAACAATACGCACAGTACTGCACGAATAAATAATATAGTAGTTTTCTAGTTATAAATTTCATAAATTTCTAGAGATTTATTATGACGTTCGATCGTACCGACAGAGTAGTGCAGGCTCCCTATAAGTCCTTGCAAAGTAGCCAGATAAGATGCCTGAACAATTTTTCCGCAATATACTGTCGCTGTTACCTGTAAATATACGTACTGTACAAGTCTGATGTCGGCGTGGAGTAATAAAACATTTTTACATTTGCATCATTTGCAGGATAAACGCCCAGTTACGTATCTGCCATGATTCAACGCACCCATGTCAAAGAAAACGTGAACGCTTCCAAAATTTCCACAGGAAGTATCAAATAAGCGTCATAAATAAACGAATACGCCAAAAACCGTATTCCATAAACAATAATTGACATGATGAAAATTTTGGAATGGCCGAAGAATCCAATGATGTACGTTGAAGCTGCCACCACTAGAATGGGATGGAGTTGTTTAGGTGTACTTCTAATTTAAGCTGTGTAAAATTTTTTGCCGATATAAACGATTGACCTGGAATGGCCGAAAGTGAAGCGACGGTATTCGTCATTCCCAGTAACCATTTTGGCGATCGCAGGAACTTTTGCATAAACCAGAACAGGTAACTGCAAAAGAACGTATCTGTCGTTACTTTCATTGAAGATTAAAGAAAGAGGTATAAGGGTAGTACAATACATTATACAGTATGTAAAGGTAAGCTTAATATCACTGATCTGTTTACAGGTAAGTGTAGCATAGGTAAGTACTTAAACTTCGCTTCAAACAAGTACAAAATAACAAAGTACTTCTCAAGGGCACCAAAGCAGCATCCAACAAGAAACATCACTATAATAAAGGCTGAAATTTTTGGGATGCGCATCATTTTGCCGACTGTTTTCCAAATGCGTTGTGCCGGCGGTTTCACTTCCAAATCCATGAAGCATGTCAGAATTGCGCTTAAAAAATACATGGCGCAGAATAAATAATACGCAGGGCTGTAATCTTGGTATCCTCTATTTTTGCTGGCAACGTCAATTAGATAACCGGTCAATGGTGGCATCAACAAGCTACCAAATAGCCCAAATGTCCGCTGGATGCCGAAATCTCCTGCGTACATGTCTACTTGTGAATGGAAGAACGGATGCAATAAGATTCTATTTACTGCTGCAAGTAATCATTTTTTTCCGCATAATTCTATTTCGACAAAAGCAATTAATTTAGTTACTTATATATTTTTTATGTTGCCATATGCGCCTTACCTTTGTGCTGCTTCGCCATAAGCAGTGTTGATGCATCGAGCAACTGCATTGTGGACGATACACAGGTTGCCCCAATGACACGAAATACGATGTACAGCACAAAGGTCAACAAATGATTTCCAGACGTAAGTAGAACGTTTTCACTTAAATTCAGATGATTTGTTATGGGGCATACAGAGGAAGTATTCAATGGTTTCTCGCAACGGAAACTATTTATATTTATCAAACCTGCAGACACCATTGAGAAATTTTTTACATGGATGCGGAACATCTTGTCAGTCAAAGAAAGTGTTGTCTTTGTAAAGTTTTGACGTTCTATAGTCAGAAAAAATGACGAAAGCATTTTTGGTGCGATGCAGTGTTCCGATATATCTGACCGGAAACAAAACCTTGTCCCAACAACTGGATGAATGCAGTTATTCAAAGGAATTTTAGTGATATTTAAAGAGGCATAACTTTCTGGATGCGGGTTTTCTTCCGCGTTTTGGGGGATCCTCAGAAAAATCCCGGAGCAAGATAATTCAATACTGGCTTCGGAAGCATTAAGCGTTAAACGCCGCGCCGTAATTGCTGAAGAATATCTGGGTACAGCGAATCCTAATAACGCATGACTAATAATACTGAAGAATATCAGCGCTATAACCACTTTTTTATAGTCGCCCAGTTTATCCGCCAGAAACCCAGCAGTGGGAGATCCAATGCAGCCGACAATTGGTATTAGGACAAAAATTATCCCGCTCTCGGTTAATGTTAACCCGATCGCTATTAACACACCAAACGATATAACTCATAGGATATGCTTACAAATAAAATGTAAGGGTTTCGGTTTACCGAGCATGTGAAGAGTGAAGTATGGGTACAGAGCGTTGTTGGCTAAAGAATTTTGAATAATCATGAAATATCTATGTAAATATAACATAACACGTTGAACATATCACAGTTATTATCACTATATTATACAACTAACCTCCATTCATCAGGAATACCAATAGTTTTAAAAGGATTAATTTGGGATTCACGTGCAATCGAGTCTTCACCCTATTGCGCCAATCATTTTCCGGTGCCATTACTTTCATTTTACAATCCATCTTTTCCATTTTTAATTAAATATCACGTATATGTATATTTATAAGTTATGTACCCTTGCAGTATACAGCTCACAAAAAAATAATGCAAACAATACACAAAGCTGTCGCAATTTCATTTCATTGTCAATAATCAGCGAAGTGCTCCAAATACAGTATTTCTGAGCCTACAGACTGGTATCGTGCTGCTGTGAAACATTTGATTTTGGTGAAAAAATTCTGCAACTTATGCCTTAGGATAGAATATATTACGCGAAACTGGTTTAAGGGTCGATATATTTTTCTAACATACCTTAACCCCAGATGCGGTCTACACATAAAAAATCGATAAATGTAATGTACACCCAATAATACTGTAAAATGTAAAGTTATCATTAGCAAGAAATAACCATACTCAGGAAGGTACCGCGTGTACTATCTTACAGGACCAAAAAGAACTTTTAAAACAGCAACTATTTGAAACATCTATTGAAGTAATTTTAAACAATAAATTAGAACATCCGCATTCAGCATTTGAATACTAAAATTACTGCGTGTGCAAGGTATATGCCATACAAATATTTGTAAACAAAGTAGCACAATAAATAAAAATTTCTAATAAACTGTTCTGATTTCTTTCATCATGCTGGCAGAATCGCATCATTCTTAAGTAGAGTTGTGGTTTACAAATGCAGCAAGTGCTCTGGTTTTAGCCTGGACACTTCCCGCTACCCATTTCGCTCGCTTTGTGGTGGACAATGTACTGTGTTGTTTATTCCGGCCGCATTTATTGGGCTGTGTACCTTCGTCCAGCTCGTCGGCTTCATCGTGGATTTGCATTTTCTGCACAATTAGTCGTAAAAGGTCATGCTGCTGATCCATCTTCCCCTGGAAGTCCCGCATTCTGTGTAATAAACCAGATTTAAAATCACACTTGTTCTTGCAACTTATTAAACTGCATAATCGTACCGGGTTTGTTGCTTTTGCATCTCCGCACAGATTCTGCCAGGTAGGAAGGTGTATTCCGAACAGGTGTTCTGATCGCGCAGCGCCTCAGCGGGGTCTTTTGTGATAAACCAGATCTAGAGAGATAATTTTCTTAACAATTTCACACTTTTGCAATTTGCTTTTGCGCCGTTTAGTAGACTATCTAATTTTTGAACGGTTTTGAAACTATCTCTGCTTGCCTTGCGGAAAAATCCAGCGGACCGATTCGGATAGTATTTATCGTCGCGGAAGCGAACGCGACGAAGAAACCAACGAGGAAATTTCCGTTCCAGAATTGTGTGCAGTTCCACCTGCATACCGATGCGACGCAGGGTAGCGCTGCGCTGAATGTCTTCAATATCGCCCACAGCCAGACCAATCTGGTAAAAGGAAGAGCAAAACCGTTACAAACTATCAGGTTGTTTCTGATAGGGATATCTTACCAGTAGGTTCATCAACAAAATTGATACAATAATAACAAACAGTACAAGAAACACTGAGGTCATTTGTGGAAATGGCAGTGCGCCATTCGACATGGGATAAATGTAGTTATGAATAACATCCAAATCCCCAAGCATCATGCCAGTAATTCGCAGCAGAGAACTGAAAAGTCCAAAATGTGGCGTCTTTAAATTTTCTAACTGATCCGAGCGGATTCCGGCGAACTACAGTAAAACCAACGACATAAGTAGGAAATTACAAGCACACTGACAGTTTAAGTCCGCGTGCATAAAAAGATCTCTAGACTGTAAATAACAGTGCTTTGGTAATTGTTACCTGCTGATAAAATCCGGCTTGGTCTGGATATACCATCAACGGAAGCAAGACATGGAATGCCAAGGCGAACGCGATGATGACAAATATGAACACGAACAACGCTCGTAATAAGGTTTTCAAAATGCCTAAGAACATGACGACGTAAATTCCCATCAATCCAAACCTATTAAACAATCGAAAATATAGAGTGAGTTGTTCTAAACAAAATTCAATTACGAACAGCATTACTGCCAGTACACACCGTTGCAAATACAGCATGAAATTAAACCAGCCGAAAAATATGGCACAAGCTCCCAGTTGCCATCGTGCCTTCCAGGAGATATAAACACCGGTTGTGTCGTAGTAAGCCAACGCAAATAAAGTTGTAGTGATGTACAGGATCCATTCCAGATAGTTTACGAGCTCCTTAAAATACCGCTGCTGCTGCAGAACAAGGAAGAATATTTCAGTAATGATTAAACGGAGATTAGCTTAACAATTAAATTAAAAAATTAAAACACATGATATTTATGTCGATATCAAATTTGATAAATTAAGTACTTAATAAACAGCTGCATAGTCAACGACAGATTAGCATTAAACAACATTGTACACTTGATAAAACGTAGGGTACACCTTTAAAAAAAGTAGATTATGTAATTCTTACATTATGGGTGCTTATTCATTCTATACCGTTAGGGTAGAAAATATCCTTCCTCGGACAATGTGTTAAAACTAAGGCTTTAAAGGTGCAAAAAATTCGACAAAGGTGCAAAAAATTCGACAATAAATTACATGAATAATTATCTGCCATACCTGCTGCACCATCTGATAGACTTCTTTGACAATATTAGCGATTGTAAAGATGGCAACGGCCACAGCCGCACAACCGTAAAACGAGTTTTTCGGGAGTGTATCCTCATTCCCCGGCATTGTCCATCCATCATCCGTAGTCTCGTTATGATCGGGAGCGTAGAACTGCAAATTCTTTACGCTTTCTCCCTTCAAAGTGGGCACCAGCGACTCCTTCACCCCCGCACACACCAGATATGTCAAAAACGCCAAAAATATTGAATACACCGCAACGTGGATGCCGTGGAAATAAACTCCATAAGATGCCCTGAATAATGATCGCATTGTCAGTTGAAAACTTGAAGGTGTACTTCAAGGTTGCGTAAAGATGATTAAGCTTACCATTTTTTGTTAAGGTAGCTGCTGCAAACGGGGTGAGAAAGCAGTTCACTCCGAGCGTGTCGCACCATCGTCTACAAAACGTGTCCAATAGGGAAGAGAAATTAATTGTTTAACTTCTTTATTTGGTGTTTCTGACGTTTTCTTACGTTCATAGCTATCAGAGGTTCGGTTACGTCTGTGAATGAATCCTCTGGCCCAGTTATCAATGGTTTATCATGCGGCTCCAGAAATTTGTAGTCAAAGTGTAACTACAATGCCGGTAATAAATACTATAAAGTGCTGGATAAAGTAGAAAACCATATTTGTGAAGGTGCATACAAAATAATTTTTTGCTAAAGGATGGCACGGTGCTCCAACAACACAGCGATCCAAAGCGGCCTAAAATACAATTTTGTAGCCAATTTTTTTTACCGCAATCCAATTCAACTGTTTTCAGCAGAGAATAAGGCATACTTAAAACACATATTCATTACTGTACTGAATATATTAAACAAGTAGAAATTTCGATCCTTGTTGGCAAATTAAAAGAAAATTAGTTTTAATTTCTACTGTTTATGTTGACAACAATAAAATGTTAACAATTTCGTAACACTTGTTGTTTTCCCCAGTTATGCTATGTTTTGTTGATGAAAACAGTAAGTGGATATTTTTGGACAAAAGTGTTTACGTACTGCCATAACTTCCGGCAGATGCTCTATCAATCCCAACACCGGGCAAGTATATATTGCTGAACACTTTGAAAAGATTTCTTCCCACCTATAAAATAAACAGATGCAGCAACAAAGTGCCATTTGTCACTGGCGACAACTTACCGTTCATGTTGCACCATAGCGTTGGCGGTATCACGGTGCTTACGCTGGATGACAATATCCACGGGAAGCTGCTTGTTGCTGTTCTGCACCAGCGCTGCCCCCGCCGTAAGCAGATAGGTCACGGTTGTTACGGCATTGTTGGCAGCAGCCAAATGCAAAGCCGTATTCTACGAAGTTCACAAATGAACACCAAAACAGGAACAGAGTCAGAATCGAAAATAAACTTACGCCTTCTTTGTCCACGCTATCAATTAGATGGGCGTAATGCACCACAATTACATCTACCGTTTCTGCGAAGCCAGAAAGGTGGGGTTAGGCAAACCAGAAATTAAGTATTCAGGACAGTTCCATTATTTACTCAGATTCTGGATTTAACAATGAACTCAGTAAATATTCTTTAACAAAATACTACGCCTGATGACCTCTGATATATCACACATCCGGCAGACGGATTCAATTTATTTTTGGATATTTTTCACGAATTTCGTTTTGCAGTTCAAAATTGAGTGTGCTCTTACACTACCAAGTGACGTACCACGGTAATTACTAGCCGCAGCCAAATGTAATGGGGTTTTCCCGGAATAATCTCTGTAAGTAAATGTTATGTATCCACGATCAGTTTTGCATGCGCATCTCCCAGATTTAACATTATCGCACAATTTCAATATTAATTCACCTGTGGATTATCGCACCCTTGCTCATTAATAGCTGCACAACTCTGGAATGTCCGTTTTCAGCTGCCAGATGCAGAGCCGTCATGCCTAAGCAAAAGAAAACATTACAGTGTCAACAAACATTGACCGTAGGCAATCGAATGTCAATATTACTATTTTTATCGGCATCGTTGATCAGATTGTACCCCTTTGCGGTTTCCAGCAGACGCTTTGCGGTATTATAACGTCCGTAGCTGTTTGGGTAAAGATAAACAATCAGCGGAAAAATAGAAATTACTGTAACGTCCGTAGCTGTTTGGGTAAAGATAAACAATCAGCGGAAAAATAGAAATTACTGACAACACATTGCATACCGGGCAGCGAAATGCAAAGGTGACTGTGACTGTTTATCTTTGATGCAGACACATGCGCCCAGTCGGACCAAACCGGCGCTGGAACGCAAGGATCCATTTTGTGCTGCATAATGTAGTGGCGTACAACCGGCTGTATCCGTTTGATTCAATAAACCCTAAACAAAAACTGGATTTATCTGACGCGCCAGAAAATTTACCCGCAATCTATTTTTTATTTTTTACACAAATGAAACTGATCTAAAACTAATCTGATACGAAACTTCTGAAACTAACGATACTGGAATACAATGATTAATCAGATGCTAATAACGAGCAATTTCCGACGCGAACTAACACTGCATCAAATTATGTGTAACAAGAAAATATTTAATTTTTTTGAGTAACTAACCACCTAATAACTTGAATAACTAATGAATAAATAATAAACGATATTATTCTAACAAAGTGTAAGGTTTCAGTGATTAATTTATCACAATACTCAACTGTTTGCAGCAATCCCAAACTCTCCTGACAGATTTCTGGAGAGTTCCCGTTGGCTATCAAGTAATGCAGGAAATTTCGACCGTAATGATCAGTCAGCACTGCATCAGCACCCGCGCGTAACAATGCGTCTTGACAGTCCCAAGATGCCCTTGATGCGGCCAGAATCAAGGCTGTACGTCCTTCGTTGTCCGTTTCGTTCATGGATACGCCCTAAATAACGCTGACTTTATAATCTACCTCATATTTGTTTATGTATCAAATTAATTGCATTAATAAGCAGAACTACCTTCTCCAGTAGAAATATGACGACGCAAGTATGATTGAACATGGTGGCTCGATGGAGACAAGTCATCCCCTGGGCGTCCTTCTCGCTGACAATCGCCATGAACTCATGACGTACCACATCGTACATGTTGCAGACAACGCATATCAGTCCTTGAGAGCATGCCAAGTGCAATGGCGTTGACTGGTCGTACTGCAGACAAAAAATGGCAAAGGTCAGCCAGCACCTCTATTGTCACCTTCGACATTTTACCATTTTTGTGTCCAGTTTAGCTCCATGCTGCATGAGAAGATCAACAGTTTCCAAATCTCCATTATTCACAGCCCAGTGCAACGGCGTCTGGTCCTCGTCGTCCACCAGTGCTAGCAGTACCTCTTTGGAGGTCCCAGAATCTGCACAGAGTTTTTGTACGATCATTTAAAAAGTCACAAGATGGAAGCTGCAAGCCGCTAAAAATTTTCTGCATAACTTCTAAATGCGCTACTAGCACGATGCACGACATACAGTCATTTCTTTAGGTGAGATGAACTTTTATTTAATTTCGTAAGCATTGTCAAGCCATTTTCACAGTACACATTATATAGCTTCGCAAATCTCATTGCCGTTGGGTCAGTTTTGTGAAACTGTCTTTATCAGTACCCGTAAGGAAAAACCGCAACAAATCCACCGAAGCCCTGCGTGCGGCCACATGGATGGGCTTCATGCCGCTGAAGCATGCCTTCAACGGATCAGCGCCGTATTTGATCAGGATCTTTGCGCACTCCACATTGTTCATACATGATGCCACATGAAGTGGAGTTTCCCCGTGCCATCCCGGCGAGCTAACGCCGCCATTACAGGTGCTCAACAAACACTACAAATGCAGTTTATCACACCAATTCGGGTTAACGCAAACGACGGGAAGCATTTTATTCAATAAAGGTCAACGAAAGCAATTTCAATCAATTAAGGACAGCTTTAAGTGTGCAATATTCAATTGGAAACGCTCATCTATGCCAGTTATTACATGGAATTCACCATGTGTATAAAGTGAAAATGCATATCATCTACCCGGCATTGGCTACTGTAATAGTCCAGATTAATTCACCTCAAGGGAGCCGGCGCTTCCGTGCCGCACTGCAAAATGCATGGGAGTCTCCATCGATTCATTCCTGACACAGAATCCAATTTTTCCATTCCCGCTTGATCGCCATATGGCGATAAGGGTTTTTGTGCAAGATATCTTATCGAACATGGCAGCAATGTGCAACGGCGTGTTGCCTTCATTATCAGGTGCACGAATACCTAACATTAAACAAAAAACTAGATACAAGATCATGAAGACTAAAACTCGAAAAACCGAAATCTGAATTCTCAAATTCCCAAGATTCTCACTTGGTTTGCACAAAATCGAATACAGGAACAAACGAAATTTAGCTAATGTACTGTATAAAATGTGTGCATTAAGCAAATTTAATGCACATATTAGTACGTAATCAGACCATGTACGGTTAATTTACCGGTGCATCCTTTTCCAACCAGCATGTCGATTATCAGTTCATGGCCATGTTCCGCAGCATGATGCATAAGTGTCTTAGAATTCTCATCTCTGATGTTGATGTAATCTGGATACGCGCTCAGAAGCTGTTCCAAACCTTCTACATCACCACCATCTGCCAGCTGAAAACGGAAAAACGACGTGAAAAAAAGTGTAGGTTTTTTCAGATTCCTACATTTACGTTCTGCATGTTTCCTTTCGAACAACAAGAGTCCGATATAGGTTCACAAACTTTCCAAAAACACTGAACCCAATTCCCATTACTGCATATACGCTTTAATTGATATCTCTTCTTGGCCTCTTCTAAACTAACTTTTAATAAACTTACTATCATGCTCAAATTTCCAGTTTAAACTGTCTTTAACTGCATTGTTACATGACACTATCTCGGGCTGTTCTTACACCGGAAGCGGAGTATGCTTAATACTGCGAGTAAATAATTTATAGCGGCTGTATAATAATGCAAAAACAATGAACGTAAGGACTTACAGACTCTGTATACTGAATACCAAGAAGTAATATGTTAAAGGTCATCCATTCACTTGATTTATAAAATGTGCAACTGAAAACGTTTACACGCGCACCGCGAGAAGTAAAATGAGGAAGGATGACTAACGTTAAAAATCAGAAGATTTGGAAACAACGCTTCCACAAATTAAGAACCACAAGTATTCGCAAAGCAGCAAGGAAAAATTTACGAAGCAGTAACTTCTCGTGTTATTGTGGTACGGCTACGACAAATTTAACATGTACTAATTTATGCCACAGATAAACTGAAAACAAAGAAAGAAAATTGAAAGATTGTGAATCAGCACAGTACTTACCGCAAAAGCCTTTTGGAATTTGAAGTCCCGTTTGCTGTATTCTGGACAAGAGCTCTTGAGCAGTTTGCATTTTGTCCCTGGTCCATGCAACAGGTATCCAATGGACAGCCATTCTTTCCATTTACGATGTTTTTGGGGTCTATCCTTCTCTTTCGGTGGTGTGCCATCCGGACGCTGTAGGAATAATTTCATTTCAGCTATTTCGTCCATATTGCCGGCCCATGAAGATCTGGTTAACAGATTTAAAATCGCCACAAACAGAAAACAAAACTAACGATATATTTTTATTGTCGTTTGTGACTGGCTGACAGCGACAACGCACTGGATGAACTGCCAATAAATATAGAAGATGAAGCCGATGAGGTTCTGACTTCCTAGTAATGCAGGCGGTAATGATCCTGCATATCCACACAGTAATCATTCATAGATCGTTCCCAAAAGGACCATTTGTCAGTGGAAATTTGTGCATTAATAAACATATGACGTCTGCCCTTAAACTTGTCTAATCCTATTTTATAAACAGCATTCATCAGCCTAAGTGTTAACTTCCGCACGGCAGCGTTTCTGAGGTACTGAATGCCCCTGAACAGATAGAACAGATCATGTCCTCCTCATCATTCGTGATGAAATCATGAAAGTGCAATTTTCCATGCCAAACAAACAATAATGAAATCTCCTGACGCATGCAAATTGAATATATTTGTAATCTGCAGGGGCGCTAAATTTCTGACCATTCTTTAGGTCTGCAGCAAATGGATCCACAAAAAGGTAATTCTATACAATGCATAATGATCTTCCCTTAGAACATCAAAATCGCTCTCAAGGTAATGGCATGAAATTATCAAATGACTAACTTATTCTATACAGTGCCTTTTAATATGTGAAAGCCATAATTTTGCGCATTTTGTGGATAGAGACAGCAACTTGTCGATGCAGGCTGTCGCACTGAAGACTTACAATACTTCTGTGCGGAGCTCTTGTTAGTTAGTACTAGCAAAATTCCTTTTTAACCAGGGAATCCAGAAAACTATCCTGCACCAGAAAACTATCCCGCATTTGCAAAAAAAGAGCACCCGTGCGGCAATAAACTCTGAAGGAGTAAATCGTTAGCTCACTAATCATGAAATCGCAAAGCATGCTGATGCAAACATAAATTACATTTTGATAGCAGAAGCAGCACCATTCTAAAGAGGCACCATACAATTTTTTATTAAATATAAGTACAAACAAGCCGGTAACAAATGATACCCTTGTCTGGATATTTTTTTGCTTTCTTACTAATACAAACAGCGGATCTTATCATGCTGTTCTGAAGGGAAAATCTCAGGAAAGACAACCATCACAAAGCAATTATACAACTTTCAAAACAGTCTGCCTGCCTAGATTTACCCTAATTCTGTTATCCATAAAACAATAATCGGGCAGCCAAAGGTTAAATGCTTGCTTGCCTGGACTACGTATCTTTAGGAAGCCAGTTCTCCTTCCATAGTCTTCCGTTTCTTCTCGATTACGGAAATATTGTCAACTACCGGTGATCTCGAGTGCCGTGTCTTGTCAGAGACGACCTTGATTCCAACTGACAACAAAGCATTTACAATCCATTCCGGTATGTCCTGTCCTGCCTCTGTATATCGGCGTTTCATGAAATCCTGAACGAAATCAGCAAATGTACCGGCTTTAATGCTCTCGCGAATTCTCTCCATCAAATTCATCTGCAAAAAACGACAAAACTCGGTAAAACTATCATACCATATATGTGTATGTGTGGATACTACTTCATTACCACAACCCACAGCTGCACACGATATCCCGTAACCCTAATAAAGCTGATAGCGGAACCATACTGAGTAACCATCACAAATCTTCAATCGTATTAAAATCTCCACTTCGCAAAAAATTAAATCATTGTTAACGAAGGGCTTTCTACTGGAGAAACTTACAAAGGCTAGCAGTGAGCGCAATCGAATAAGATAACTCACAGTTATGTCAAATAAAGAAGTCCATGCTCGTACTATAGGTTCAGAGTTACAAAAACCGGAAAAAGGTTTAGCAGCTTCACACACCTGATAAGCAAGGTTGTGGATCGAAATCAGTCGTGCCGCTGTCGGGATGTCTGTTACAATATGATGTAAATAAGATCTCGTATAAGTCCGGCAGGTAAGACACTGGCACTCAGAATCAATGGGGGAAAAATCTTTGGCGTAAGCGTTCAAGCGCAAATTCAGTTGTCCTGTAGCCACGAGAGCGCATCCAAACCGCTGCGCCAAATAGCGATTCAAAATACGGAGACGATGTCTGATTGATTGTAAACGCTTACCGCTGTTCTTGTTGGAACTAAAGAAGACACACTATTAAGTTCTTTTTCCCACATACGCTATAAAAGGAATATTTAATCGGGTGATCGGTAAAACGTACAAACGCAGTCGAACATGTCCGCCCCCAATGCGCAACAAACAACCAAATCTTCCGCATACCCGACACCCATTACGTATCTGGGTAAGGATTTCGGGAGCAAATCCGTGGATGTATTCACCATTTGCCAGAACGAGTCTTTGGCTTCGCCGCCGCTTAGTCCTCCGACAGCACAACCAACCCAATCGTACTTGACGATCCCTAAAAACACAATGAGCAAACGACACAAATTATTACCCCAGTTGTAAGTTAATGAACTCTGAGAAAATTTTTTCAAAAAAGTACGACACATCGATAAAAAATTCAGAGCGAAATAAGCGGTATAAGAATATAGCATACAACTCAGAATGTTAATTCACCTTCCACGCTTTTTCGACGCAGCTCCGCGTCCAGTCCACCCTGAACGATAGGGAATAAATACTGATCATCGGGGCGCTTATGGGCCGATCGACAACGTTGCAACCATCGTATAGACCTGAACAATATAAGTGCAGCAAAATCATACGGAATTATTTCATTTACCGTTAGACACCGTCGAAAAATCATACGGAATTATTTCATTTACCGTTAGTCACTTCATACCTTTCCATTGCATCTTCCACACGCTCCCCAGTCGTCAAACTAGACACCACATCATCCAGCTGCATCATAATATCCGCGCCGATGGCATTCTGCATGTCCATGGATTTCTCAGGGCTAAGCAGCATAAGGTCGCCCGCAGAATCTTCCGCGACACTGGCCTCATCGTCGGACGTGTTCGCCCGCGGCACAACCGTATCCTTCTGAAGTCGTCTCCACTTGGTCGGACTGTCACCGTCCGGGCGTTCACTGGCGTACGGAGAAAGGAATTCCACGCCTTCTTCGGATACTTTCGACAATTTTACTAATGACACCATTTGAAAACCGCCACTATCCTAAAACATATGGCCCATAAATCAGGTGGACAAATAAAAAAATGAAAAACAGCATAGGACGCATTATTATGGAATAGGCTCAATAGAGACTACAGATTATAGAGTATAGACCATACCGTCAACATCCCATTTTTCCAGTTCATAAATTTGTGCAATCCACCGCACTTTCTTAATAACTCTGGACCCTGAAAATCCAAAAATTTCTAAATAATGGTACAATTGCGCATTAACAGCAACGATGGTATTTACGGGCTTCAAGGCGAGATGGTACGTATTGGCCAGAAGAATTTGCACGCGGAGAGCTTCGAGTTGTTCGGGAAGAACTCCCTTCATGCACCCTTTGGTTCTGCAGTCAAGACTCCGCAATAACGTTCATCCGAACTTACAAGGCCGCTATTAAATGAAATTATTTAGAAAAATTCGTTACTTACCCCACCGGCATAAAAACGGGAGTGTGCACATCGTAATGTGGAAGAGACAAAATTCCAGCGCGAGCCTTAGACGTTTTACAGTTGGCAAGAATGGTCCATTTACTGGGCGCTGTCACTTCTTCGGCCATTTTCATTGCCCGCCAAGCGCGCTCCCACATCAGATATCAGCAGGCCTTGTCAGGCCCTTGTGAAAACAAATCCCGTCTACAGGATGAAAAAAGTGTTTACCAGATGGTTAAATATTAATACTGTACTACGCAGATCAACAACACTAAAAGTAACGCTACTCAAAACTGTAAACAGCTAAGTCAAACATTCAGTGAAATTCTCCGCACCATGGTGCGGTCGGTTGGCGACTGAAATGATTCAGCCAACCGGCGCGCAGAGCGCGGTTACTCAGGCAGTTTCAGGCTTTTGTTTATGCGTACTAACATGCGGTACGACCGTGGTGAGGACCGTGAGGTACAATGACCATTGTCCACGCTTTCGGACAGTAAAAAAAAATTCCTCAGCTTCGACCACCAATGTCTGAATTTTTATTCAGCATCCTTTTGCAGCGGCATTTTATTAATTGTTGTTGGTCTGTACTTTATTCGCCTAACTGATAATGATCTCTATATACTTTTTAGTTTTTACATAATTATGATTTTGCCGGTTTAGTTGTTGTAACTTAGTAGTGGTCACTAATGAAATCTTGAGAGTTGAGCCACCTCCCCGCGTACGTGAAAAATTGTTAACAATGATCGTGCAGTCTCAGGTTCTCAAGCGCAACACAAACGTTAATTCGAACTACGGTATTATTATAGGTCGTAAGATAATGCATTAATAACTTGCGAAAAGCAGATAAAACCTACTCTCACCTATACAAAGTACGAGTTTATACAAATAACCATGCAACTATAAGAATGAAAATAATGAAAACCTGATGCCTAGCTAGGCATTTTATTGTATCATTTGTGCATGCTCCTAATTTCTCATATGTCCTTGCACATACATATATCTGGAAGCCAACTGGTCAACCGTGAACTGCGAAGTTACCGAACCCAAGTGAACGCACTTTGCAAAGTGATAATGCCTTAACGATATAAGAAGCGACAGGGCAATTTCAAGAAGGGATTAATGGAGAATTCAGTGATGAGCATTTATCCGTATTTATTTGGAACAAATCACTTTAGAAAGTAGACATCGACCGGCATTCGCTGGCTCAAATACAAAGCGCATGGATCCGGGTGGGATATTCAACATAATGGAGGAAAAGGGGACAGATGTGCGCCTTTTTAAAAGATTTCACAGCAGTGCAACCGCAGCATCACCCTGGCGTGTAATGCAGATTTGTAGGTTCCGTGTAATTCCACTGACCGATCCGGTTTCTGATATACCGTACCAAGGATCCTAACATATTTACTCTGTACCAAAGATTTTCACAGGGAGGCAGCACGAAAGCGTTGCTTTGAATTTCCTGCCCGCCTTGGAAATGAAAAATCTCACAAATATACTTGAATTTCACTATCAGAAGACTGCAAAATTAAACTAAACTTTCTGGAAAAAAACACAAATTTGCTTGGTCAAAATTACTTCACATCATCATAATAATTATGCCTTCTGAGTTCTGACTTCTGACTGTGGTCGTACTGGCGTATATGTCTGCACAAAATGCCGTTGCCCTTCTTCCATTAACGTAGACGTTAAACTTATATACACACTCATGGCCAAGACTGTAGTTAACATCTGTGTTTTACAATTATCAGCTGTTTAGCTTGTGGACCACAGTATTGTACTGTACTTGCGACACATCAATGACATAATATCGGTGAGCAAAACAACACAAAAAAGTCTCGTTTATCCGCTTCACCCACGGTCCCGACTACAGATGCCGCACTACACTCCCTTTAATTTCCAGCGATAGGATAATTGTTGTCGCAGAAATTCGTGTGATCGCGATTCTCCGGTATGGTGCTGTAGTCTCCTGCCTAGAGCAGTTCTTTAACAATGGTTAGTTATAACTTAACTGTGATTGCAAAAAGCGAAAGCATGATTTCTGCAATTCGCAATGTTCTCCAATAAGCTAAACATTGTTTATTAAAGTTTTACAGTGATTGTGTTCGAACTTTTCCTTACCAAGCCAGGAAATGGAATAGTGGACAGGGCACGATTTGCGCATACATCCCTAAAAGCTTGCCCTGACCAGTGAAGCGTCATCAAAAATGCACGCCATCCTAGCGCACATGCTGTGCTGATGACTTGAAACTCTGAAAGCAGATCTCACGAGCAAACGTCTGTCAAGTTCAGACTTCATCTATCCATGCAAGAGTGCCATGAAATTGTTATCTGAATTAAAGGCACAGAGAAGGCCGGCCACAAGCGCCATAAAAGCTGGTCGTATGCCGGCAAAGTAAGTACAATAATGACCGTGGGCTTTCCGTTTTTCCAATTACATAAAACCGCTAACAATTTATAGCAGTAAAAGCTTGTGAGCTACATATTAAATCAATAATTATCTGTAATGTGTTAATTTTCAGTAGTTTTTGTTCATAGTTGCTCTCCCAATACGATGGATTAAGCCGATTAAATTGCATCTGTGTATGCTCCGCGCATCATTACCTTGATCTGGTTCTGTACAGCATCCCGGTTTTGCTGCCACAGCAGCTGCGATTCTCGCGTGTATCGTTTTCCATTGGTTCACTCTAAATGTACGCATAGAGCAAATGCATGGCTTGGCCGATCTGTGTTTGAAAGTCAAAGCGATCGTTTCTACCTAGTGTAACGGCCGGCACACATATTTTGCCTCTTATGAGCCTTATCTCGCTGGAACCAGAGACAAAAAGCCAGCGTAAATATGTACATCCTTTGGCACATGCGTCTGTAAAGTTTGAGCAATCTCCGCATGTTTCACCACACAAGCAGCCTTATTTCCGCTGCTCTGTATCGATTGGCCTAGTGAAACACTTAAAAGTAATTAGTTTCTGATTGGTAATTTTATCTTACGGCTTTTTTTGACATGTGATCGTCGTGTTCGCTCTAATCTGATCCCGTGGAAGAGCGAGATTTTACAATGATTAAAACATTGCTCACCAATATTTGCCGGTTGTCACATATTCGAAAACGATGGAGATGTGGATGTTATTTTAATCTAACTGAACACTAGATGCGACGGGACAGTGAAACTGCACTTTTATTGACATGATTTGCAAGTTTTGTATATTTATATTCATACAAACTGCATTCTTCGGATTATGTGCAGCTCTTCCGAAAATTCAAGGTAAAGGAAAAGTATATAAACCACTCCCAGAGATTTATTTATCGTTAGTGTTACGGGATACACTGTCGACGTTATTAATTCCTCATGTGGTTTTTCGCTTTTACAGGGACGAAAGTATTATTTATCTTTGTTTTCGTAGATTATGCAATGTTATCATAATTATAACAGTTTCGGAACTACGTACTGCAGATTGCAGTTTCGAAGTACCGTATGTTAAATTTTATAGACATTTAATTTCGTCCAGCTGCATGAGCGTACAGTATCTTGCATTGATGATTGTGAGCCGATAAAATGCTCTTCGTGCGTTTCTTTTACATCACAAGTGATCGAACAAATTCATAATATTTTACAGTTCTGTTCTTATCATTAATTTTAATATGCAGATTCATGGTACAAAATTGATCGACATACCTACTTTTGGCACCTGTTGTTATACCCTGTGAATTGCATATTCTACTTTTGCCCACCACAATACGCAGTAAAGATAGTTATGTGGCGCCTGTACAGCCGATCGTCAATCGCATAAGCGATATTTTGATCAATTTCCCGTTTTTAGTGCAGTGTGTTTGAGGCCAGGTCATTCAAGGACCAGTTCATTCCCTTTCTGTGCGCGTACACACAGTGCCGCTGCCTAGACGGCATCGTATAGCGAAGTACACAAACGTATTGATGAGTCAGTCAGGACAGGCTGAAAATTAACAGTTCGCAGTTGAACTTTATTCCACCGATTGGCGACCATTTGATGGCGCTTCCGTAGAACTGCATGGCCTCCGCCGATCAAACTGTACTGTAATACTGGCACAGTAAAATATCGACTATAAAACGCGGGAATTGGTTTAAAACCAAAATTGGTCTGATGGTGATCTATTTCCGGCCTGGATGTTTCCACCCAACGGGAAGCGCGAAATCCCCCTCTTTTCAATGGCCATTATTCGGCCATAGGATGTAAAACAGAGCGGTTGAGGGAAGAAATGATTTCGTTGGGTTAACTTCCTCCAAGGAAATGATTTGCCACAACTGGGCTCTTGGCTCGGCTGTGATTTCCGCAGTAAATACGGCAAGCAGTTTTGTCTATACCTCGCACGAACGGCACAAGAGACAGTTGAGGGAATTTGGAGGAAAAATTAAAATTCTCCTAACCGTAGATGGAGTGTTTACGTACAGTCAAGCAGAACTGGCGCTAAGAGTGGCCAAGGAGTGTTATGCTTACATGATTATGGGCGCAATCCAATAATTTGACATAATCGTTAGTTTTCGTGTCATCGCACAAGTTGCGGCGACGCTAAACATACCGGGTGTGTGCATTTGGCCCGAAAAAATGGAATATCTGTACCGACAATTGGTTAAATCAAAAATCTTTGCTTTTGCAGTGTATGCGTAATATGCTGTATACATACAATAGTTAGGCTCAAAATTCAGTCATGAAGATTTCAGCGAAGGAAATCTGTGACACACGCTTAAAAAAATCGAACTTTGAACCTTAACAAACATCAAATAACTGCACGGCAATGATGCATCACATATCTGCATCGAGCGGGCAATTTTGAGAGCGCAAAAACATGCGACATTTTGCTTTACGGTGAGCTTTCTTTCTAGTCTGCAACTTTCTTTGCAGTTTGCACTTTACTGCTGCCTATATATGGCCTACCGAATTCAGTGCTTCAAATTAATTAAAAAAGATACTGTAATTCACGATTAATTTAAAACAGTTAATTAAGGCTACCAGTTGCAAGTTAATAAACGCCAGCCGGTCAGCGAATTGATCAATACTCTGCACGCAATTTATCCGCAAAATTTTTAATTAGACATATTAACATGTCATGGTAACTTATAAGTTCTTTTAGAGACTTATGCGCCCTACGCGCACTTTCTGGTTTACGCTACCAGAATGTGTTTGGATGAGCAATTAACACTGATTATAATGTTATTAATTAGTTATTAAGATTGTGCACGTAGCAGTGTCGATGATACCCGATAGGCGGTAGCAGTTTTTATTAAAGGATAATTATTGAAGTATACAATTACGGTATATCGTAGTGAAATGTAAGCATTAAAATGTGTGCATATGAGTTTGTATGAGAAATATCCAAATTGGCGGCTTTGACGCTCGAATATGCTACTCTCGAGTAGCTTTTTCTAGAGCAACATTTACGAATATTTGGGGCGTGGACAGAAACGTGCAAAAGCCACATCATCGCAATATGGACCAGTTATGAGCGCTTATCTTATCTCGTGTGTTACTCAGCTTTTGCAGAATTCTCACAATTGCCAGGATTTACTAAATTTTCAGTCTATTTTGAACCGGACTAATATATCGAAGTATTGATTTTACTAGTCCAATAACAACATTTCCTGAGTAAGGCGGCAATCGTTACAAAGATTGGTGTGCGTGTATGTTGTTGATGCTGCCGCAGCAGCAATGAGTTATGGGCACATTTACCAAGGCAGCCCAAATATCCAGTCACTGATTAATTGAATTTCCCAGTGCATTCTCATTATCTTCACGCTCATCTATTTTGCTTTCCTCACTGACTTTCTCCCAGTCTCTACATTGACCGTTTCAGGCGCAGGACATAATACAACATTATCGCTGCTTTCCCATTCTCTAGGTCACTTAACGACCGCCTCCCCTCGACCCGGTCGTCCACCCAGAATCCTGGAGCATCCTAGTGATCTCATTGTGCCCAAAAATGAGCCGGCAACACTACAGTGCAAAGCTGATGGTGATCCTAGTCCACAGATTATTTGGTACAAAGTGAGTATAATTAAAGAAGAATGCTCTCTGTTTATTGCTGACGCTGCAATAATTTTGATAAATGGTTGGCAAACAATAATGATTTCACTAGTATCACATGCACATGGCGAAATCTATACTAAAAACAAAAGCTCACTAAAATTGTCAAACATCAAACGGTGATACATTATATACGTTTCATACGCTGTGAGTCTGTAACCCACAAACTATACGAATGATCGTAAATTTTTTCATGACAAGTAAAAATATACTTGTAGGGTAAATTACGAGTACAAACTTACAATTGTTTAACCAGAAAATTTTAAATGTTAGACTCAGTAGATTGGCATTACGCGTACTGATAATATTTCTCTGCATCTGTTTCAGGATTCGGGAGAGAGTATTAGCAGTAGCGGTGTGAATCCTTTATTGACCAACGCTAGCCCGCAAAATTCGGACACCGACTCACCACGATTAATTCAGCAGAACGGCGCATTACATTTCAGCCGTGTTTTGCATAATAATAAAAAGGGAAGACCGGATGCCGGTATTTATTGGTGCATTGCCAAAAATAATCTCGGGGAGGCGCGAAGCCGTAACGCTACACTAACCGTGGCAGGTAGATATTTCGTAATAAAGCTTTTTTTGCCAGCATTGAAGAAATACTTTCTCATAGGATTGGTAAATAATCCAACCGTAAAGTAAGAGGCAAAGTCTTGAATTCGATCCGACCATTGTTTGTCGACAATCATAAAAAATCCTTGTACAAAAGCAGCGAAGAAATGACCCCATTGTAGTTCAGTTTACCATCTTGCTTATTTTGTTATGGTTGTGTGCATTTTCTTTGCCTCCAGATGATGCTTGTAAATTAGGCCGTGTTCTTGAGCATAACACCTTTTTAATAAATTGGTAGCCCTTTAACCAACTCTAGTTGTATTGATTTTTCTGATTAACTCTTTCTGGACATAACTATGGAGGAACGGAAAAAGTGATAAATCGATAAGGATGTTCCATGATTCATATTAACAGCTCCACAACGTTGCAGTACTTTTATATTAATTCAATACACGTAATAAGTGAATGCCTGAATCCAATAATAAAATGGCTCGATGCCTGATTATCCGCTATCGGTAAACCGTATGGTATGCTCTTTGAATTAAACCTTGAAAAAGGTGCAGCAAAACGTAACAGTACTCATTTTGTGTGAAAAAAATAATTTACTTTATAATGTTCCTTGTTATAATAGGATAAAGATTATAATAGCTTATGTATAAGGTAATTACTAGTGCCTCTGTATGTCTAGATCCAAAACGTGAACAATAAATATTCCGAGAATCTGATTTGTGTGAGAAGCATTTTCGTATAAAACGATGATGAATGGCTATTCTTGTTCCAATGTGATTGTGGTTAAATCCAAGGTCAAAGAAACAACTTGACTGAATTGTTCGCAATTGTAGTGCTTCGCGATGAGTTTCGCCGCCAGCCGAATCTCAACATCCAAGTGGCAGCCGGTAAGGGCCAAGCGCTAGTACTGTTTGCAATTAGTGTAATTGCCATTGTCTACGACTCCGCCTGACGCTAACAGATGATTAACGGCCTCCTCAAACCACAGGTGACACTGCCATGCTGGAATGTCAACCACCCCGCGGATTTCCGGAGCCGAAAGTTTTTTGGAAGCGTGATGGTAAAGAACTGAAAGCCACCGGACGTTTTGCCCTAATGGATGAGGGTAATTTAGTCATTACCGAAGTCCGCCCGTCAGATGCCGGCAAGTACGTCTGTGTGGCGGAAAATCTGGTGGGCAGTAAGGAATCACACGCGGCACTCTTGACGGTCCACGTCAAACCCGCCTTCATCTCACCACCGCAGGATATTACGGCACGCGCCGATGATAATGTTATTTTCGAATGTAAAGTCACGGGTGACCCCGATCCGCGGGTTACATGGAGTAAGAAAGACGGGCGTTGGCCGCTGAAAGATCCACGGATTAGCGTGCAGGAAGACCGCTCACTGCGTATTGAGCGCGTGTCCCCGTCGGATGAAGGAGTCTACGTGTGTGATGCCGAAAATGACGCCGGCACGGCGTCGACGACCGTCATGTTGACCGTCCATTCCCGGCCCAGTTTTCTTATGACACCACGTGACCAACGGGTGGCCGAAAACGGGGCGGTCAGCTTTGACTGCTTGACCACCGGCAATCCACCGCCGGCCTTCTGGTGGATGAAAGAGGGCACGCAGGTGCTGATGTTTCCCGGGCAGCCGCACGGGAGATTCAGTGTCCAGCAAGATGGGACGTTGATTATTGATTCTGTTAAGAAAGAGGATACCGGATACTACGTCTGCTCGGTTATGTCCGTCGCCGGTTAGTCAACCTCTTCTCATATTCTATTGCCTATTAGTACTGGCTAATAAGCCAGACAGTTGTTTGTAATGTTAGATTCAACCGGATTATGAATATAATACTTCTCTCTGTGATTAGGCTCAGCACTGGCTAAGGCGTATCTGGAGGTGTCCCATGCGGCAGAAGTGCCACCACCTGTCATTAAAATCGGCCCAGCTAATCAGACCCTAGCGGCCCATTCCATTGCCATGCTCCCCTGCCAGGCTACAGACATTCCACCGACGGTCATTCAATGGTACAAAGACGCAGCTCTTCTTCCGACCAATAACCCCCGCATCACCTTATTAGACTCGGGAACGTTACAAATTTCCGATCTACAAGTGTCTGATTCAGGCATTTATACCTGCATTGCCTCGTCAGAAAGTGGAGAGACACCTTGGTCAGCGCAATTGATTGTGGAGCTGCCCACCAATCCAACCGTAATTTTCCACCGGATGCCGGATCCCGCGACCTTTCCCAGTCCACCATCCAAGCCGCAGGTGGTCAATGTGACGGAAATTTCAGTGGAGATCAGTTGGCGGGCACCGCTGGATGAGGGTGCTGGGCCAGTATTGGCTTATCGCGTGGAGTATTTCAGTTTTGACATTCCCATGGGATGGATGGTCGCGGCGGAAGCGGTGTCGGTCAATCGGCTAAATATCGGACAGTTGCGCCCGGATACATCGTATTTGTTCTTGGTCAGGGCGATTAACGCCTACGGGCTGTCGTTGCCCAGTGTCATGTCCGAGCCCATTCGCACCCAAGGCAACTTTCGTCCGCTGCCGGAATACGATCTTGCCGATATTAAGTCCAAGTTTACGGAGCAAATTGTGGAGCTAACCGAGGTGAAAGCCATTTCGTCAACGGCAGTTAATTTGTACTGGAATATACTGCGGTATGATAAATACATTGGTGGATACTACGTGAAATTTCGGACAATTACCACGCGGACCGGAGGAGAGTACGGGAATTACTCGATGGTAGCCGTGAGGCGGGGATTGGCGCAGACCCATACTCTGCTGAATTTGCGTAAATTTGCCAAATATGAATTCCTTCTGGTGCCACATTATAAAGACATTAAAGGTGTTGCCAGCAATGTTTTGACCTGTCAAACATTGGAAGACGGTAAGTCGGTAAACAGTTACTTAAACTTTGGCCCGTATATGTAATGGCAAATAGGTCGATGCGGGAATAAGTACAGCAGTGGAAAAACGTAAACCTACAAATATCGTTAGCTTAGCCTAGTTATGCATAGTCTTTGAGAATGTCTTGGGCAGTTGATTAAATTTATCTGGCTATTTCCTGAATTTTAAAGCCATAAACATCAGTCTTAATTACTGGCAAATGATCCTGGACGGAATTTATTTGCATTAACGATTAGAGCAATTTCAGGGCGCAATTCGGACAGCTGTCAGAGAATTGTTATCGCGACTGCAGTCTTTGTGGTCAGTCACTAATCATACATATGCGAGTCGAACATGCAATCATCAACAACTTGAACAATCAATAATCAGAAGCCTATAAATATGTATGAGTTTCTCTCGATCTTCATAACTGACCAGCGGTACATGAATAGCAAGAACGCTGAACATTTTATTACGATAACATGTTGCTTATGACCATAAATGCCCCAGGCCGTTTTCGTGTGAATTATCTGTCTCCTGTGAACGTTAACTGCTATTCCTATGGTAGCCGCGGCGGATCATTTTAAACTTCGACCGGACAGTGTCTCTTTGTTCCGTTTTCGCGAGGTTCAGATGAAATATTTTTACATAATTTTGTGTGATCTTGCAGATTCCAAATTATGAAATAAAACTCTTATCGGAAATGACTGTATATAGTTATATTTTGCTTAGTTTTCATGTAATGTCGTAAAAGCATTCAAAGACCTTTGAAACATTAAAAAATTCAAATAAATGTGGTAAGGCAAAAATTACTGCGCAAAAATCAGAAGGCTAACAGCGGCATACGTCACTGCCAGGCTCTTTTAAGCCGTCATTTTCTTCAAGAGTGTATTTGCTTTTCTTATGCTGCAAGAGTGGCTGATTATTTCTTTAACCCGAATTGCTTTTAGCACAATTTTTCTGGTTGGTTTTGACAGTTAAAAGTAGGATTTAAACTGTCACCCACTAATGATTGTTTCCGGCCACTTTTCTTCCAACAACCGTTTATTATGACCGCTTCTTCGGCGTACTATTACGGTTATTACAGTCACAAAGTATGCTGAAAAATGCCTTACAACTGGTAGTTAGCTTAGATTATTGAAGGAATACATGGAACAATTTTGAAAGCAGACATTCTGGGCGTCCATTACGAACTGGATTTACGACACGGATACAAGATAGCAGTACCACAATTTTAAGAATAACGGCACCTGCAAAGAACGTAATATCCTTTTTCTATGCAATGATTGATAGACCTTGAATTCAGCTTTATCGAGTAAACCATGAAATACTTGAAAGTTTAAAAGGGGCCACAAACGGATGTGGGCATCGGATTTTAAATTTTCAAGCAATTAACAAATTTGTTTCTGCTGCAGTGCCAGATGAGCCTCCTCAGGATATCAATGTCCATCTGGTTAATCTGACAGCCATCAGTATCTCGTGGCAGCCGCCACATCCCGATCATATCAACGGAAATTTGCTCGACTACCGGATTCTTGTGTCTGTAGCCGGTGCAGGTAACAGTCACACCGGTCCCGCAGTTAACTCATCATCCGCTGCTGTCGTCGCCAACAGCTTTTATGTCCGCAACATAACCGTACACGTGAAGGAGGCGCGCAGTCAAATTATTGGGAATTTAAGCAGTGGAATGCGCTATCGCATCCAGCTGGCTGCACGCACCGAAGCCGGAGTGGGCCTAACGAGCAAACCAATTTACATTCGAATGGGTATGTGCTTTGTATGTACCGTAGTTTCCTAAGCTATAATTATGTGAATTTTTCAGCTTAAAAAGGTAGTATTCATATAAGTCGTTTTACGAATATTAATACGTACTGCAGTTATGCATGTTTAGGGATAAAGATAGCAAGATTTTTATTCTAGGCGTAATAATAATAATTAACACTAATGCAGGTTGGGGTATTAGGTACTAGTACAGTAGTACTGATACCAGACATTTTTTATGCTTTGCTAACGATGCCGCAACATCGTACTAACGCCGCATAGTCGCATCATGCTTGATTATATTTTTGTATTTTTCTGCCCTGTATGTGAATACTTATTTTCGAGTTGATTTCGTAACAATCAGACAAGGAGCGAAAGAACTATGCAAGTGCTTATTGGTATTCCGCTTGTGAAATAGTAGCGGCCATCTTCAGCCCTGTTTGCTTATGGTTAAATATGTATGAATGCGGTTATTTTAGCATAGTAATATGACACATTTGTTCCGTTGTTATACAACGCATGAACTAACAAGGAAATCATTCATCAGGCCATGCTTTGGCCGGATTAGAGTCTGCTGTTGTTTGGTTATGCTGTCTAGCTTACTAGATGGAAAACCTCGAGTAATCTAAACAGAAAAAGAAATACAACCCTGTTTATTGACAGAGCGACCCGTCCAAGGCACTGCCGATTTCCTGCGTGAGCCCTGGTTTATTGGCTCACTGGGCGGCGTGATGTTCCTGTTGTTGATCACACTCTGTGGGATGCTGTATTTCCGCCGGAGTAACATGGCCCTCCGGCGCAAAGCCTATCCACCACTGCAAATCCAGCAAATGGGCATCCCTTTCCACCCGGGAATGCAGACCAACAGCACCCTCCTCCCGGATTCCAGTGTCATTCTCGGCCGGCGTCCGGCGGGCAGTTACAGCCGCAGTAGTCCGTGGATGGCGGAGAATCATTGTGATTGGACTAATCAGCCGGCCGATCTTAAGGAGACGTTATTGCCCAGCTTTGATATTCCCTTGGGTGCGTATGCAGCAGATGGGTTAAGGAGTGCATCGGACACAACCGGCGCTTCACCCTACGCAACGGCCACGCTGGCGATGTCGAAGCAGCATCGTGGCACTTGTGCCCATGATGTGCCGGCCAAATGCGCCCATAATCCACCAAAGTATAATGAAGTGGCCGAGGAAGATGCGAAGCGAAAGCTGCACTATGATAACAACGCCTGTTTGCATCCGATGGATCATAACAGCAGTCTGTCATCGCGCTCCCATCAATCACACCCAGAAACACTCAGTGTCCATAGTCAGCGCTCGTCGCCGCGCAGTGCCCGCTCCAACTGCCTGCATCATCCGAAGCAGACCAAATTTCTGCCGACATTAAATTGGGCCGACATTCTCCCGCCTCCGCCCCGCTGTCCGCCACCCGCGCCAGAATCTCAACCCAACGCGAATCTCAATAATGAGGATGATTATTCGTCGCTTTACTATGGTGACAGCGAAATGCATGGGAAATTCCAGTCAGAAAGTGAAGGGGAAGGTGAAGTGGACCAGCGCCCAGAACCGCCTCCACGAAATGCTAGAATGGTCCAGCCTGAAGCTCCACGAACCGGGTTGGTCGGTGATAATCATTCCGCTAGGAATCCACTACAAAATGTGACCAATTTCGCTCTGCCGAGGACGAGAAGTTTCGAGTCAAATATGACGGGTGATGGAGAACTAAATGCCGGTAAAGAGCACAATATTTTACAAATGCGAAATGTAATATATTGGTATGTACAAACTACCAAACCCAAACAGCAGCATAAGCGTAGCAAAATTAAAAGCCGAGATTTAATATTTTAAAGCCGATAGTCATTGTCCAATTGTAGGTTCTAACGCTGATTTCGCCAGTGACACTGAGTATGGTGATGGTGACGCCGACGCGGAAAACGAGGACAACGATCCCCGCAGCCAGGAAAGTAGTCCCTGTTTAAGCTCTGAAGCGTCATTCTTTCTGGATACGAATGCTTCCCGTGCCGCGGCAGCCAAGGCTAATGCGGCTGCCAGCCAGGTGCCTCAACGCACGCATCTGCTGCAGCAGTATCCCCGGCCCACACCGCACAACAGTCCCTTTGTTCGTCATCATTCGCTGCGGCAGGACGCGACGGCCGGTACCTCGTCCTCCTACCGGGATACGGATCGTGTCCGTTCCAGTGTGGATCGCAGTGTCAAACCGCCAGCTGCTAGAAGACCAAATAAGTTTCAGTAGTATTTGTTCCATGATTTTTTGTGTGACATGTTTTTTTGTGTATAATGTTGCGAACGTTTTAATGGTTATTGCTGCGCCATAGTGTAATACTATGCTAAACAGTCTAAAAAATTGGCAGTATATTCGGCTGGAAGTGAGCAGTGTTGTTGTTTTTTTCTTTTTGATCTGCGTTACGGTGTTGACGGAATATGTCCAAAGAATACAAGTACTATACTCGTGCAACGATGGTATATTTTTTGAAAGCCGTCGAAATTTTAAGAAGGTCACACACAAATATCGACAGTCCTATCGAAATTTTTTTCAATGAAAATGAAAAGTAGAAGCGTGTGTTCAGGGAAGCTGAAAAAATTGAAATGGGCTGAGTGGGCTCCGGTTTGCCAGTGCTCACCATCAGTAAGGTACATTTTCTAATGTATCAGTTTTTAGTACTTGTATGTTTTAACCACCCAAGTACAATTTCACTGGAGAAGGCAGGTAACAACGGGCCAGCATCCACTTGGGACGATAATTTGATGTGTACCGAAACAATAACGGGTTGTAATTTTTTGCATTCTTAAGTTAATATTTGAGTCCAGTCAGATCATGACTAGGGTTGTTAACGGTGCGGTTTTTTACCAATGCACCGGTGCAATTTGGAAAAATTGCGGTGCAATTTTGAGAAAACAATTGGTACAGGCGGTGCGGTTTTTGAGAAAAACCCCACCGGCGCACACCGGTGCGTTTGGGTAACCGCGTTGACGTACACCGGTTAACCACCGGTTAACCGAAGATATCGTAAAATTGTAATTTTAATGAAATTTTTATGAGACGACGGTTCAGGCTGGATTCGCACCTACCTACAGATACTAAGCGCACGGGCCATGACGGGCGTAAGTCTGTAACGTACAAATACGTGTATATTCACTCACAAAGTTATATTTGAAGCTGGCTTGAATATCGGCTTCATACTGCAGCTGCTGCAACAACCGGGCTGCCATACGAAAGAAAATGTGAGCACTGTAGCGCACGCGTTTGACAATTCTCACCCTCTACAATTTTTTCGTCATTAAAATTTCTTCAAGATCCCTTTTCGATGTTTTACGTCTTTGTAACAGTTTCGCTACGATGGATACATCCTGCTGGGGATGCTTTTAGGAAGTTTAACTTAAGCCCACAAATTCCGGCGGAATAAAGAGGAAATCGCAGAGCGCGTAACATTTCGCGCTGTTACAGTACTGATGTGCCGGTGTACAATACACCGGTGCGGTGCGGTGTAAAAAATTGCGGTGCGATTTTCGATTTTCACCACACCGTCCGGTGCGGTTTTTCGCTTCACACCGATTAAGTAGGTGCGATTTCTGTAAAAAACCGCACCGAAGCCACACCGGTGTACACCGCACCGTTATAAACAACCCTAATCATGACTTCCGCGGAAGGATTTCCAAACTTCAAAGTTATGAGCACCGGAAATCCTTGTAGGCAACTCAAAAACATGTAAGATGGTATCATTCAGTTTGGTGCAGAATTTTCACGGCGTTACCTTTACATATGAGTTCGATTTATTTTATCATGTTTGTGACTGTATGCAATCTAAGATCAGCTGGCCAAACTGCAGTCGCACAAACGTGTCAACAAATACTCGTACGAGTGCAACCAGTAAGGCCTCGTCCCGAATTTGAAGTGAATTTAGCTTTGGTATGGTTGCTCAACCGCACGAGGTGGCTGTATGCAGTGGCCACGCCTACAGATACGGTACGCGAAGCCACCTCGCGAGGTGGAGTTGCTGTATCGCAACAAGATTCGCTTCGAATTCGGGACAAGGCCTTAGTAAGTATGTAAAAATTAGTGCCACCATACAGTGCTATACCTACAACCTACAACAGTACCTACAACAGATGTACAGGTGCACGAAACATTGGAAAGTTGGAATACCACAGTAACAACTGCAGAGAACGAACGAAATATAGATATAAGCACTTATACCCTGCTTTCAAGTTAAAATGTGATCTCACAAAGCAAAAGCGCAGACATAAAGTGCAAATGCTCGTCTTGATTAAAGTCAGTGGCTTCTAAGTACTTTCAATGTGATCCGCTGATTATGGAGTCACCGGATGTATCAGAGAAAGAAATTTTCGGGAGCAGCCACCAATATTTTTACAAAACCGATACCGATTTTATTGCAAGAGGAAGTTTTGGGATTGTTTATAAAGCTGTTTTAACCGGTGCATCCAATCTTCTCGGAACTTTTGTGGCCGTGAAAGTCGTACATGTGCCAAAAGAATCTGAGATATTGGTCAACCTCAAGAAATGGACGAACTGGGGGGATCGCATGAAGATTCTTCTCGGTCTTGCTCACGAACATATAGCTGCATACCACAAAATAACAATTACCAGACCATTCAGAGGCGCATTTGTTGAAATTGTGATGGATTATTATCACGGTATACGTAGGTTTTGTGCGTTATACCTTATGTCACTACTAGAAGTAGAAACGTACATTCATGACAAACTTCTCTAGCCTGACTACACTTTAGAAATTCCAAAATGTTTTCAGGTGGTGATCTTGCCTGTTTTTTATACGGCCTTCGAAAAAATGGTATCCGTCTCGATCGAGCAACAGCAACGCGATATGCAATAGAAATAACGGACGGCGTGCACTTCCTGCATCAGAAAGGGCTTGTTCATGGTGATCTGAAGCCAGGAAATGTGTTTATAAAACATCTGGACAATGACCATGAACGCGATACTTTAGTTATTGGCGACCTGGATGATTTTGTGCAGATGCAGCGTAGCGTCACTTGTTCCGGCGACATTACGCATGTTCGTGGTACCATACGTTTCATGTCTCCGGAAATGCTGAAAAGATTCGCAACCCTGAACTCGGAAATTCCCGGGCGCAAAACTGACATATGGAGTGTTGGATGTATAATGTTAGAGCTAGCCCACTGTATCACCGGTAGCAAAAGAAAACGGCTAAAGAAGAACTGGAGAATAGTGGAGGCCGGGTACAGAATGTCCGACACGCATTTTGCTACTTTGGTCATTGATGGATACGTGCCGGCAGTTACCAACAGAAATCTCCTTCCGGCAGAACTGGTGGCTTGTATGCAAAGATGCCTGCACCGCAACAGTGAAAAACGAGTTTCTGCCGATGAATTATTGAAAAAGTTGTTGTGTGTGGATCCGTTAAATACCCCGGCAATAATTGCTCGAAAAGAAATAAAACACACAATACAACGATTCAGAAAGCATCGTGGACAAATCATAACAGATGCCTGGCGGCTTCCACTTCTCCTGCAACCTTGACTGCTTGCGAAAGTAATGCACAATCGCAGTTATAAAAGTGAGTGAATACAGAATAGTTGCTTTAAATTAAAATATGAATTTGCTCTGCTGAACATCTGCAATCCGTGTCCGTTTTGGTACCGTAATGGCGTATTGCAGTGTGAAGTATGCACATCGTTTTTACACCTTAAATTGGGAGAATTTAATGATTGTAAAAGGGCAACACAAGTCTACGAGTAGAGAGTACATGTATTTGGTAATACGTGCAGGAAGGTTTGACAGCGAATATATTGTAAATACGGTTTTTGGCGAAATTTAAGTACGACTTTTTTTAGAGACTGATGAGTGACTTTTCTGCGCGCCGTTGTATCAAAGGGTCGGAATAATCTGCCTACCGTCCGGTGAGAGACATTACACTGGGCACTAGGGTGCTGCGTCGTCGAAGGGCAGGAGCGTTAACGTTTAGTCGATCGGCTTTTGAACTTCCGCTCGATTCCTTTCGTGTGGCGCTGCTTTCCACTATAACCGGTGCCTGGCTGTATCGGCGCGTCAGGGCATCCATTCGGGCCAGTTTTGCGACAACTTCCTCATCTTCCGGACTGAGCTGATACTCCACTGTGACCTGGCCTGCACTGGGCTGGAGTAGACCTTCTACAATATTAAATCAAAACGTCGTTGGCTAAAATATGCAGCAAACTGGAACAGCCTTTTTTCTAAAGCCAAGGAGCGGTATATAATATTCATGTTTTTTTAATGGCAACACAAGCAAAAAAAATTGACCTTTCTGTTTCGCAGCTCTTGCTGATGCCTGAGGATTAGGAAGTCTGCGCAACCATGCATAGTGTAGAACTGCGTAGAGTGCGCCAAAACAGATATAAGCCGAACCGAAATATACGTAGGTACGGCGAGCTCCTATGTACTCGAACATCAGTCCGCCGACCAAGCTTCCGCATCCTCTTCCTATTTCGGAAAACATTCAAAGTGACAGCAGAAGCTTTTTCTATTCGACTGTTTATTCAACAGATAATCTCTAAAGTTGGAAATGCACTGAAATCTGCCTTTTTATTATTTTAAAAAATTTTGCGTATCTCATTATCTGTGCGTATCGAAGTGGCTTCAGAATTCAAACTTTGTGAACAATTAAATAAATACACGAATACCAAGCAAATAAATGAAATCAAACAATGTCATTAGTATTATGGTGTCCCATGTAAGCATACCAAAGGCGCTGTGCAGGCCACCAACCACTCCTTGCAAGGTTGCCAAATAATCTGGAGCAATTTTTCCACAGTAGACTGACGAGACAACACCAAAAAGCGAAGTGGTAAACGCTTCCAGTATTTCCACGGGCAGTACATGATAAGGTTCGTAAATAACCGAGTAGGATAGAAACCGGCATCCATAGATGGCCAAACAAAACATAATAATTTTTGTGTGGCCGAAGAACTTTATGAGCAGTGTAGAAGCCAAAACTACTGGCACAGCTGACAAACCGGACACCGTATTGGTCATCCCCATCAGAAGAGTGCTAGCGCCGATGTCTTTCATGAACCAAAACAAGAATCTACAAATCCATTAAACCCGATTCAGCCGTAGTGCATATGATGATTACATACTTGTAATTACATACATGTAATACGCGGCTGTTCATATGCACTACGATTCAGCTCACACCAACATATGGTCAGCGACGCAGCAGCTAATACGAAAAAATTAAAAAATGTGGTACTATGCTGCCGATGCTACCTAGCTATAGTCATATTACGTAAGAAATAATAATGCTGCCTACGTTTCGAGAAATCCCCACGCACACCCTGCCAAAAACATCATGATAACGAAGACCGTAATTTTGGGATTTCGAAAGAGTTTCCCAACATTGGACCAAATGTTCTCCGCAGCAGTTCGCAGCGACGCACTCATAAAACACGTAATGATTGCCGCGGTGAAATGCATTCCGCCAAAGACGTGAAATGCTGAAACGATTCATAATCCAGTTACAAAGTATATACAGAGTATTAACGTTTACACCGGAATTTCCATTTCTCAGTTACAACATTCAGCGTTAGTGCGAGGAAAAATATTTGTGTCGACTTTAAATACTCACGCGGAGAATAATCGTCAACTCCTTTCGCTAATTTTGTTGCATACCCAATTAACCATCCGGAAAGTGGGGGACAACCGCACATGCCAAACAACGCCCACACGCGCTGAAACCCAAGATCACCTGGAAAATTAAAACAGGCCATTGAAGTACGTTGTATATATATTTTCCAGTTTAATACCTTCTTGTTCATCCGATAACTGATAAGCAACTGCATCTAAAAGTGGCATCAGTGTATAAGCGAATCCCGTGGCCAGCAACCGAAACAAGGAATACAGTCCCAAAGTCATAGCGCGATTCTGAGCCGGTTTCACGGTAGAGCAGTTAACAAAAAAATCGGCCCGAATCGCACAGGTTATAGTACAGTTGATATCAGGCGGCGCTCCCGGCAACCTGCACCTGATTTCTCCATCATTGTCATCTGACAATGGGGCCATGATGGTTTTTAATTGCAGCGACCGATTATGACCTTGGACCATCATATCGGGAAAAGATCGATTGCGGAAGAATGTCGACGGTTGACATTCGGCATCGGAGCCAAAGCAGATACTCGCACTGTTTCGGCAGGTTGACATGCAGTCGTCGAACTGGATTCGTGTGCTCAAGATCTGGGAAAAATTGGCAATAGATCCATCACGGCATTGGTCAATCAGTATTTCGTTGGGCGGGAGCAGGTTTTTGGCATTGTTGCTGTCGCAAAACAGACTTAAACTCCCATTGGTTACCGGCAATTCCGCCGTTGTGCGAATAGGCCGTGCTGGTGGAACGGCGTACAATATAAGGTAATGGAAGACAATACTGATTAGATTCACCCCGATCAGCACGACTTTGTAATTTCCCAGTTTATCCGCAAGAGCACCGCCAAGCGGTGGACCTGGAAAAAATGTGTTAAAATAGAAGTTTAAAATCCCTGTTGAATGTTGACTGTAGTACTGGGAAACTGCTGTATATAGTTATTACCGATGCATGTCACAAAAGGCAGCATGGCATTAATGTACGCAGATTCCGCCGACGTCAGTCCAATATCTACAGTTCAATTCCCTTGTACAGATATGTTTTTATATGAGGATCAAGTGTGATGCATGAGCAAGGTCACCGTAAACGGGATGATACTTTCACGGGTTTTACCTACCTTTCATGTGTACTATAAGGAACGGATAAAGCCCAGCCATTCCTACGAGTAGTACAATACAAGTGTAATACAAAATATACGTACCTGACCAATGAAGTTCAAACTTAATTTTTATTGTTTTCCGTTCAAAAGTATTTAGTAACTCAATTCACTGTCACTGTCATTCGCCGAGATGCGTAGAACGAGTATATTACACCGTCAAGTTCATGTATACCTTAAAAAGTTGATATGTATCTGTATTTCACGTGAAGAATATTTTATAAATGTTAAATTTATAATTTTATAAATGTAATTTTAGAATTTTATAAATGTTCTGCTGGCAACGTCTAATTCGATAAATAACAGGTGCCGCCGTCAAGTAGTAGTTCAAATAGCATAAAATTCAAATCATGGAAATATTTGCAGGACAAATCTTACCTCCGTACAGAAGAAACATTAAAAGTTTGACCGGGATCAGCTTCGGGTTGACCTTTAGCAGTCTCTTCGCTTTTGTTCTAAAGGACATGTTAGGATTGGCTCTGTCCTTTGTTCCGTTTTCCATAACTTGCCCGCAAAACACTAAGCAATTTTTCCTGTCTTTAGGGACTAGAATTAATTTTGCTTAGTTTTAATAATCTTAGCTGCGGTGAAGTTTTAAAAGAAAGAACTGTAAGATAGACCCTCCCTGTCTGGATGATCTACAAAGCTAAAAGAAAAGTTTATTTACACCGAACCGCTTGCCTGTTATTGCGACAGCATTAATGATCTTATCCAGATACAGTACACTTAAAAAGTTCTTTGGTATGTAAGTACCATGTGCAGTTGAATTATGTGAATCACTATCGCCAATTTTTCGGCACCAACTCATATCAAGCTGAGCCGCATTCAATAATTAAGTAATATGAAATCTGACACAGCCTTTCCGCTAGCTGCGTTGTGGCTATTACGTGATAGAGATTTATTTTCAACAAAGATGAGTTAATGAGCGTGCTGAATATCCTAATTAAATGGGAGACTAACTCTCAGCGGGCAGAAAGAAACACATTTGTTGATTGTATATAAGCACCGCCGACATCCTAACCTGCGAGTTTCTTCAACTTTCTTGGTACGTAGAATTGAGACAGAAACCGAAACAAACAACAACTAATTAGTATGATATTCATGCTAATAAAAAAAATTCATTTGCCTTACAAACCATACGAAATATACAGTAAAGTCACAAGTCTTTAACCACAAAACGGATGTAGGTTTAAAATTCCAAATATTATATTGTACGAACTTGTATTGTATTGTTCCAAATATTATGATGTATTAATAGTACGGACACCAACCAAGTCGCTTCTTATCGCATAGACAAAAACTTTCGGACATTTGATCGCTGTAAAAATGATGTTATATCTGCCAACACAAGCAAATACAGTAACATAAGTACAGTTTTTCTATGCATTACTTCAGTCAAAGCGCTAGTACTCTGTACGTAAAATGAATAAAGGTAACATGCGATATATGTATTAACTATCAGATCCCATAATTTTCTGCTGTATACCGCTGGACGGCGCTGTGTCGACACAATAGTTTCACATAGAAATTGAGCACAATAAACAAAAAGGAACATTCATTCATCTTTTCTCTTCCCAAATTGGAATTGTTCGGTTGGCACCAATTACGGGCTGCATTAATGCTTCCGTTTGAGCAAAGTCCTGGGCAATTTCGTCATCGTCTTGACCTTTTCCTCTTGTATCTGAAACAATATATCTAATGCGATACTTAATAGTACCGGTAAGCGTATTTAAAGAAATTCGAAATTCAAACCGAATCCGAAATTTAACTGCTTAAAACATCCATCATGCTCACATGTAATACGTACAATTTAGTATTTGCTTCATTATAAGTAATTGTAGCAAACTGCAAGTGCGCTACCTTCTGTTTCTCTTGATTCTTATCCAGAACACTTAATCTCCCTTAATTCTGGATTCTTAAGTTTAATGAGATCTTACCAGCAGAGTGCCCGTTTATCGTTATAACTGGTTTGGTGTGCCTGATTCGGCGCAACCAGGTGTAATGCAGAACCGCGTAAAATCCACCAAGTGCAACACAAGCACCGGCCCAAATACGGTAAGTCAGTCGTGGCTTCAGGTAATCAAACATGATACCTCCAATGAGGCTTCCGGTGCCCCTTCCTAACAATTGAACATATTAATTGATCAAATGGAAGTAAAAAAAAAACTTTTATGATAAACAGCTGTCATCTGAGCACCTGATAATCACAGTGTAAGCAATTTCTTATTAGTGCGTCAGCGTGCTTATTGATCGTTGGCAACGATGTGTACTACTACTAAGACCAGTCCGCGGTATGCTAGCACACGGCCATTCGTGAGAATGATCCACCTTCTTACCATTATTAATTAGACTTATTTAACCTTAACTGACTGGCAGTAATGCTAAAGCATGTAAATGTTGGCTGCTCGTAAATGTAAATCATGCTCGTAATGTAATGTTTTAGCCAAATTCGTAATTAACCACAACGGTTAATTATTAATTTGCTTGGTAATTACCTATGGCTCCATGAGCGCCCATTACGATTCCTTGAAGTGTCGCCTGAAAAACGGGAAAACTCATATTCTAAGTTTTCGATTTTGCTGCATATCCAAAAAAATACAAATATATAGACACTGGTGCAGATATACTTGTATTCTAAATAAATTTTCTGTATTTACTTGTAGTATAAATCTGAATTCATGCTTGAATCTATGAAAATTATACAAACCACGTAGTCCGGCGCAATCTTTCCGCAATACACGCTTGTCACTACCCACAACAGCGACGTCGTGAACGCTTCCAAGATCTCCACGGGAAGGATAAGAAAAGGGTCGTACGTGAAAGAATAGCATAAAAAGCGAATACCGTACAGGACACAACACATCATGACAATTTTTGTGTGTCCCAAAGCGCGTATTATATACGTGGACAGCGCCACAACCGGTAATGCGGACAATGCTGAAACCGTATTGGTCATTCCCAAAAGCCACTGCGGCGAACCAATTTGCTTCATGAATACGAACAGATAACTGCAAACAAAAAACGTTATTACTTTACCCACTCCTCATTTGAGAGAGAAATGTCACGGAGAATGTGAAAATCATTATTACTAACTTTTCTAAAAATCCCCACATCATCCCGGTAAACAGCATCATCAGGACAAAAATGCTGACCTTTGGATTCTTCAAAATTGTGCTAACATAGCGAATGATGTGCTCCTGTGGCATCTTCACCTTCAGTGACATGAAGTACGCAATGACCGCACTGACAGTCAGTAAGCTACCAAAAATGTAGAACGCCGGCGAATAATTTTCGTAGCCGGACTCGCGCGTAGCAATGTCCACTAATAATCCCGATATGGGCGGCGTCAGTGCCATGCCGATTAAAGTGAACATCCGATTAAATCCCAAATCGCCGTGATGTTCTTTGGCCATCTGATACGCCAGTGCATCCAACATCGGAGAAAGTGCACTCATAGCAATGCCCGCTAAAAATCGAAACGTAATGTACAGCGCAATAGTCTCCCGGCGGCGGCTGGCCGGAATTTCCGACAAACAACTGATGGACAAATTAGCCTGAGTGGTGCAGAACACTTTGCACTGTTGTGTTCGCATTGCCGAGGGATTGGATAATTTGCACAAGATATTGTTGACTTGTTTGCCTTTGGTTGTTGTGAAGCTCTTGAACTGCAACGCTCCGGACGCGTTAAACAGCGATCCGTTGCGCAGTTCCAAAACACCAAAGGAATTATACAAGGTGCAATCTGTGGTGTTGTCTGCGTGTTGGAAGCACAATTCCGGAAGTGCATCGGGAAGGCAGGTTGTGGTGCATTTCGTAAAGAACACCAGATTCTCAGTGATCTTGTACTTTGCCGAGCAAGTCTCGTTGAGGCCCAATCCGACGGCGAAAGCGGCCGGCTGACTGCAGTCAAAATCCGATCGGAACTGAGTGACATTGGCCACGATGATGCTGCGGGGCGCCGATGACGGGACACCGAACCAGATGAGCATGTGTGTAATCACATTAATGATGACGCATCCCACGAAGACCAGACGGTAGTTGCCGATGCGGTCGGCTAGCCAGCCACATACCGGGGGACCGATGCAGGATACAAAAGGCAGAATGGCGTAGATAAATGCGATTTCCGTTAGGGTCAGTCCCACCGAGCGCATATGCAGAGTCATAAACGGATACAACGCTGTCATAGCTGGAGAAAAATAATTCTGTATTTCTTTGTGTGTTGGGAAATTAGTACAATAAGACAATCGCTTAAAAGAAATTTATAATGCTTGTTAAGTATGATCGGCATAAAGGCTACATTTGAAATGAACTAAAAAATGTTACCAGAACTCTCACTAAGCAGTTTTCCTGTCTGCTACCATATGATTGTGCCACAGAAATGACAGAACTATAGAGGCAAGTACATTGTGACTGTTTCTGCTATTGTCTGTACGATCGTACTCCGTATTATGCTAACCTCCGAACATAAGGAAGAGCAAAACTTTCAGTGGAATCAAACTCCGATTGACCCTTAATCTTCTTTTCCACATCTCTTTTCTGGTTAGCGCTTGTCCCTGAGAGCCCTTCCGCTGGAATGTGTAGTCGTCCATGTTGCTGCTCAGTAATTCAAGGGAAAACCGGCTGCTCGAAGAGCTATGCAACGAGAACGATGTTCTTTAAAAAAAGCTTTATTTTCAGTTTTCACCCAGATTTACACGCCAGTGTATAACTAAAATCACTGAACATATATACTGACTAATTGTGACGCTAACAATCACGTTTCTTTATAATTTTTACTGCACCAGAAAACCGTCGATTTAGGATCAAATTTTTAATGTGAGACTCTCGGCGTGACTTTTTAGATAATTCCGTAAATTTACGCCAAAAAGCCTTCGAGGCATAAACGCTGCAGATCAGGTTTTTTCGGTCAGTTTAATATTATCAGCGATTATTAATTAGGCCAAACTAGCTCAATTCAACTAAAAAACTAAATGATTTATGGAGAGATACATTTCAAAACGGATTAGGTTCTTTCAAATTTTGTACACTGGGATGGTATCAAATCGGTTTCAGTCGATATAAGATTTACAAGTGATAACTATGATTACTTGATTAGGCAGTGCTTTTAAACGCATTATTTGTAAATCACAAAAATTAAAAATTAGTTTTCCTCGTACTAACTTCAGTTTTAAGAACCCAAATACAAAATTTGTTGATTTGGAATCAATTGGCGTGTTTTTTATTTGTGCACTGCGTTAAATTGTGCTGCGCTATCCATTCTCGAAATTAATGGCTACGTTGATGGCCGCAGCCGTTACGTTAGTGCAAACTGACCAGTTAACAAAATTCTACATTACGAACAAGCCTTTGCAAAATTCACTAGAAGTACCGGAATACCTTAACATGATTGCGAAATGGCAGAGGTGTGTCCTTCAGTAATCCAAATAGGTGACCCCGCTGATTTAGGTTATTGCAGCAGGTTCAAGATACAGAATAAGTATATCATGCACGTTATATTGTGTTGCGGATGACGATACGAATCTCATGAATATTTGCACAAAACGTCGCAGGATCGATGCACAACTGTGGTTAAGGTCACTATTAAATTTTCAGCACTGTATTAAGTACACGAAAGGTAACCTTTTTTTCCACCCTATGTGTGCAGTCTTTACACCCTACATGTGCAGTATGTGTTTGCTGCACGATGAGAAACACTTTCCCGGCGGAAAATAATCAGGCGATAACCAACACCAATAAAACGTTCACAGTCAAGGTCAGCGTATGACACTCTCAAGAACCGTTTTAAAGTGAGGTACTGCCGCCATCAAAGCGTACTACCGCTTACGATGTTTTGCCTTGTCGTGAAAAAGTCTTAAACACTAAGCACTGATCATTTTTACTGCCATGCTATCGCCATCAGTCGAGTTTTATCTGTCGCAGAGGTTACCAAGAAGAATCCGATTTCGAAGCCGTATTGTCAAATTTCTTAATAGATTTCTCAAATAAACAACGCAACACATCAACAAGTAATACTACAAATTTCAAATCAAAAATATTTGAAGAAGATCAAAGTCTGGACTGGGAAGCGCGTCAATTAAGGCAGTTGCGAGGAGAAAAGAATATTTAAAAATCACTTAAAGACTCCAGCAAGTCAGAAACTTCACCACCGACAACCTTAACCGCAGTTAACAATCGTTGCACGTACAAATCATCGACTTCTGTGCCGTAAAATTTTATAAAAAATTTCAAAGCATGCACAACGTCAGTCATGTTACTCGACAGCCACTTTTGGGATTTCTCAACCTGCAAATCACGAAAACAATCGTCAAATTAAAAACAATTTCTATACATAAGAGTTCGCTTCCTGGAATAAATCGTTTTATTAACTACAACTTTTCTACATTACTGGTAGCCGCGAATCATTTGTGACAGAATCCTTTTTGCATTAGTTTGGCGAAATAACACAAAACTGCGGAAAACGTCACGTGAACTGAACGTGGTCCAAATTTTATAAACAATATAACCTCAACACTTTTATGTGACTTTACTGGAGTTCATCGCAACTGTAAAGTGTAAACTATCTACCTTATCATGCTCGGAAGGCCGTAGTTCCATCCGCAAACCATCCACAGCAGCGCTGAAGCTACGAACTTTTCCGCCAAGGTTCTAAAAGCAATCGGCTGATAAGCTATGAAACAATATGAAAAAGCAGCCTCATTTCTTACTTTCACAGCTTCCACCAGCAAGCTACAATTAAAATCACACGAGGGCACGACTTTGGCAGTGTCCACCAATTTGACAATGGAGGCCACGGCATCGGCAACTTCGTTGCGCAGAGACTGCAGTGCTGGATTATGGCGTTTCTTGGCACTGCGATTGATGGTCAGAGGCTCGTTGATAAGAAGTGTCTTTGGTCTCTACACAAAGAACATATTCATCAAATATGGTAAAGCCTTATCAAAACCAACAGAGCAGGGAAGTCTGCACACTTAATATAACTACAAAATATAAATTTTAAAAAAACTAAAATTTAAACAATATCATTTAAACAACCCGAGAATCGTTGTCGTAGCTAGTTAATAATGCAAGTGAATTATATTTTAAAAACGACATAAATTAATAAACAGATTCACCAAAAAATCTGCTTCTGAAAGTTAAGGAGGGACAAATAAAAGCTAAAAATCATTCATACAAGGTTGTATTCTTCCTGTTCCAGCCATTGGTCATCTTCTTCCGAAATACGAAGCTGGTTTTTCAATTGCTGCTGAAGAAGTCGACTATTCAACTGAATCATACGTTCATCATGGTTGCTCTTCTCAGCCTCATGTTCGACCAGTTCCTGTAACACGCAACGATAGGAACCAGCACAATTCCATCTCCAAGAATTAATTACGTGCTATTAAAACACCAACATTCAAATATTACGATCCCAAATGTCAATATTTACCTGTGGTAAGAGTGGCCTGCGTGCTCGCACATGCACATTCTGACTAGCGACGTCACTGCGCGTCGAGGCGCTCGGGGACGATGACGGCGAACGACTGTTATTAGCGGGCGCATTAGGGTTAAACAAAGGCGCAAGCGCAGCCGGAAGTAACGGCTACCAAACATTTTCTGCGTTAGTTGCACGCTTCTGACAGTAACAACAAACAACACCAAACGGTGCACCAATTTACCTTTGGCGGCGGCGTTTCCTGTGTGCCATCCTCCAAACTATATCGGAAGCTCTTATCCTGACGTCTCTCAAGGTCGTATAGGTTACTGGAAAACAGCCCATATAATCAACAGGAATCGCGAACTTAATGGTTTCAAATGCTTACTGCAGTATCACTTGCAAAGCAGTAAAATTTGGTCGTTTCGTTGGCTCGTAGTTCCAACACTGCATCATCACACTGTAAAGCTTTGGTGAACAGTTTTCCGGGATCTGCAAGCGGTCTCCCCTTTCGATCAGGCCTATTACTTCGCCGTTCTTCACACCGGTAAACGGCTTGACCCCCAGCATCAAAATTTCCCACATGCAGACAGCTATGGAAAACAAATAATTGTGATTCCAGAAAAATTCCTTCTGATTGCTCACCATTTTTGATGCCCAATTTCAAATCCCTCAATGCACAAAAACTCTTGTGGACTCTTCTACATTTACACTTTTTCCAATTGTGTTTTGGAGAAGATTTTAAAAGCTTCCATACTTCCATTATTTTCTATTCTTCAGTTCTCCCCAATTGTTGGACAATACATATAATATACGTATCACTTATTAGCTAACAAAATTACTCGAGTTCTGCGCTGATGTTTTGGACTTTAAACACCGTCTTCAACGACCTCTGAAAGAAAATTCAGCGTTCGAATGGCGCAACCAATTTCGGTGTTTTCAACCAATCAACCAAGTTGTTTCAGCTGACCAGATGCCAGATGTCGCTAATGTTGAACATTTGCAGCACATATGTTCAACCGCTCGACTATTCAAATACGTGCTCGCCGGGATTATTCGACTCTAATCAGTATGCAATATGCAATGTATGCCTATAGTCAATAACAACAAGACGCATTCAGTCAAAAAATTGTTTCTACAGAGTTTATAAATCAAAGTTAATACATTTATCTCTTACCAAACATCCAAACATCTGATGCGGAAGAAAAACGACGAAAATTAATTGACTCTGGTGCCATCCATTTGATGGGCAGTTTGCCTTTTGATGCTTTATAGTAGGATTCCTCTTCAATCCAACGGGATAACCCAAAATCGGCCAGCTTAACATTGTCACAATCGGACACCAGAATGTTCCTTGCCGCTATATCGCTGCAAAGCAAATATAATTTAGTGCGCCGAACCACTAATCAAACATCTAACAGAATCAAACTCTACAAACACAATACCTTATAGTTTCTACTACTGCACAATACATACTGACAAATTAAACCACAATATTCTCTGAGTAAGTGTTCATCAGTATTAAACACATAAGTCTGTCGTTCTTTTTTTTCGTTATTGTTTATGCATCGGTTAAAACGTCGTCACAATAGTACTGCGATCATGCTTAGTTTGAACAACGTAAGTTGATGTAGTCTGCACTCTGCAACAAACAATTTTCCCTAAAGTAATTCAATTATCTCCACATTAACATACCACATCTTTTTGAAAAGCTAATCCATGCCTTATTAGGTAACGCTTCGTTCTGGCTTACCGATGCACGTAGTTTTTACTTTCGAGGTACGATAAAGCCGTACTAAGCTGGTAACAGTAGAGCAGCAGAGTTGCAAGTGGCAGACGATGTCGATTACTCAACAAGTATGCTCTCAACTACAACAAACAAACAAATGAGTGCGAAAAGAACTTTCGCACGAACAGCTGCTGTTTAATGCACCGATACAAGAGCAGTAGTCAGCGACACAGTAGCCGCAAAAAACTAACAAACCTCGCCATATTTTGCCAACTCCATGATGATCCATATCGGCGCCTCCGGGCAAACACCAATCAGTTTGATTATGTGAGGATGATCGAACTGTTTCATGATATCTGTAAAATAAATTACCAAAATGGCTATTTTTACCGAAAATCCGTAATCATTACAAGAGGTCAAGAATTAAAAAGCAATAAATACGGCACATGAAATTAAAAGAAGTACATAAGAGCTCCAGAAATGTAAATGCTTGTGCAAAAAGGTGTTCAAAAGTTTAAAAACAACAGCAGAATTAAAAGCGTAATAACAATTGTGTCAGACGCAGCACCCACTTACAAGCCTCTTCCAAGAATTTCTCTGTGGTGTTCCGGTCCACACCTTCTTTGCATGCCTTTACCGCAACTTCCATACTTTCACCATTTTTGGCAACATAGCTTCCGCGGTAAACATTCCCAAAATGCCCCTCACCAATAATATCCAACGCAGTAATACTGACACCTGCCCTTTCCACCACGTAATCATCATCTGTAAAGCCGACACTGTGTCTCAGAAAGCCGATCAGTTGCAAATCGCTTATCTTCACTGATGCATTCCCTACACACGCGCCAAACGGACCTAATGGTGCAGAATAATCAGCTTCCATATCATCAACGACCTCAGCGTAATCGGACCGGTTAGAATCGTGCAGTCTCCAGTCGGAACCACCACCGCTGCCGCCGCCCGACTGACTGCGCAGATGGGGAGATAATATTATACTTTGTCGACGGGATTCGCGTTTTTCACGACTCCACAATTCCCGCTGGCTACCGGTTTCCAGCATGCAATAACCATTAATTAAATCGGCAATGTCATCACAGATTTGCGCTGATGGACAAGTCAGTGTCAACATCTGAAACGTAGTAAACTCAGTAAGTAGCATATTTGACACTGCAGCCAGACATGCAACAACTTTACGGTAAAAAATGGTAATGCCGGATCAACAATAACTTATACAGAGATGGAAAACACATAAAATTTAAAAAATGCAACTTCATTTACCCTAACACTGCAAAAAACTTAATTAAAATGCTAATCGTAAGTACTGTCGATTCTAATAGGCAAAATTAATATAATGAAGAAACAGTGGAATTACATAGCGCTGCCAAAAGGTGTCACAAAATCAATAAAATTTAGAAATACAAATGATATTCCCTTCACGGAATATGTATTCCTACGCCGAATTTTATGGTTGTTATCATAATCAGAATGCATTCATGTCAGCTATGATGAGATGCACCTGCATACCTCATCAGCACCTTCAACACGGATTTGCACAACATATCGTGACTGTCCTTCAGCGCTTGTACGAATATTATTCACATCCTTGAACTGAGCGAGTTGCTTTGGCTGTAAAATACATGTAGTGATGAAAAAAAATTCTAATTATCAAAGTTAATTATTTTCTCCTCCGAATTGATTGATTACCGCGCTTCGTTCGATACTGTAAGCCAGGCCATTCTCGGCTGAAACGACCACGGTGATTGGCACGGACCAGTTGCTCTGTAAATAAAAGCGCATAATTCCACTACCGCTAGACGTGATACATGCGTAGTGAGACAAATTAGCTTACACCGAGTGAGCACTTATGCGTCTCTTGGTCAAACCGGTGAACGCTCTTCAGTATATCAAAAAACCGTAATATGCATTCCGACTCCGTTAATGATGCGAATTCTTTAAAGCAAATCTGAATGGCTTTGCGCAACGAACGAGGCTGTAAAAAAATCAATGATGCACAATTATGGCAGAACGAAACAAAAAAGTTTTATATGCAACCTTTGACTGCAGCAGTAATCGTTCAGGGAAAAATTTGCGTAAACCGACTTCTTTTTCCAAATAGTCGAAATTCGATTTTTTATCAAGTGCAATTTGCGGCATATCTTTGAAGAATCGACGTATTTCCAAGCACCCCAGCTGAATGGCTATTTCCGGTGCAATTGTTTCGGCGATACCTGACAAATATTCGTTCCTAACCTGCAAAAATACAAGTAAAAGTTTTTAAACTGCCGTGCTAAGAAAACAGATACACAGAAAATTTATCCAGAAACAGTAATACAAATATCAAGCATAAAACCCAAAAGACAAAAACATACGGCACGGATGGCCAAAGACTCTCAAAGTCGTCCCACCTGGTCGTAAATATAAAGAAATGTAACACGATCCCTTTCGTGAAGCTGTTTGAGATCCGAAGGAAAGTAACGTACACGGAGTTCATATCTGCATAGTAAACCGTTAGATTAAGTATACGAAAACATTATCTCCTATTATAAATTATTGTGTCAGTAAGGGAATCTAATACCGTGTACTAGGAGAAGTATCAAACCGTTCTCGCGCTTTCATGACCGTTCTATCACGAGGTAGCCAGTGGTCTTCTCCATTGAAGCGCACATATAAGCCATATAAATTCAAACACGGTCTTATGGTAGCAGCCAGTCGGTTCGTAACAGCTTGCACAATTTCCTACAAAATATTACAAAACTAGAAACCAGTACGCACAAAACTTTTGTTCGTAGTTTCTTTTCGAATTTCAATGGATTTCACAAATATTGTAAAGTGAAATATTAACGTAGTGGTAAAGTGACGTGCACTGCATACAACTTCCCAAGATGAATTTCTATTGTTTTCCTGTTAAAAGAAATGTTATTTAAGCAAAACGAATAACTGCAACAAAAGCAGAACAAAGTTCCAAACGGAACGTAAAATGCAGCGATAACTTTGTCAGCAACATTCAAAATCCTGCCAGATGAAAGTGCAGCCAGACCAGGCCGAAAGAGCATTCAGATGCGACTTGGCAAACTGCATCAATAGATTCCATAGTCCCAAGCTGTTCCCATAATGCACAAGAGTTGCGATGTGCCTTTTCCTGACCCATTTTCAATTTGAAAAGTAGCCATTCACTACTGGCAGAGCAATTTACCAGTCTTAATGCTATTAACCTCCGGAAATCTATACAATGGCTAACAAGCAGCAATCAATCGATTTCCGCAACTGACCGGGTAGTGTCAAAATTTTGATCTCTAATTGACACACTGTACAGACTACAGCAGCACTGTGAAAATGCAGCTGCAGATGTATATAATGCACGTACAATACCGCAAAACTGCGCGAATAATTCCGGCATTAGATTAATTTATTTTTCTGTAAACGAGTCTTTAAGAAAACAAATTCCTACAATACTTACTTAATACAAAATAAATACTTAAATTCAAAAAATTCCAAAATATATTTGATCGTTTTAGGGCTACTGCCGACTGAAATTGCTATATGAAGTGCAATGGTCAGTTTCCGTCCGAACAAACAGAAAATTAAAACACTTAATAATTTTACTTATATGCCAATGCGTGCACTTACAAAGATAGTACAAATATGTTACAAAATCTACAGAGAGAGAAAAATGGTTCATAAACCTGCTCTAGCAATAATGCAAGTAGTTTTGCCAAATCTATTGATGTCACGGAAAACCTACCCGAACACGAGTGTGTTGCCCATATTTAACAACATTGAAGCCGCCATTGGGCAGATGTACACGGAGTGTATTGGATGCAGGTGATGACGGAAGCGCTAGATTCACACCAGTTGATCCACTTTGCGACGGACTCGCATGCAGCTGTGTTATTACGCTGGTCGAGCTGGCTTTGTTTGTATTGGGCCTCGTATTACTGTTCTTCGGCGTGAGACTTTTATCACAGGTGATAACCGGAGGCATGGCCACAGTGTTGCGCCGACTGATAAAGCAATCCATTACACATGGTTTTACAAGGTATAATACAATTCGAAAATTGTCGAGTATTTGGATCAGTAAGTCAGCCAAATTCACGGAAAAAAGTGTGGCAGACAAAAACACTCAATGTGCGATTACTTTCTATAAAATGTTTTTACCTGCTGATACTAGACATTTTTTCTCCTTTACCGCTGCGTTAAGGCAACAAGCGTACGGTCCAGTAATAAATTCGTAGACAGCGGGGAGAAAAAATGTGTGACGAACTTGTTAAAACAGCTGCTGCATCATGCGTGACAGCAGACCGCGATGCAGAAGCAGCAGGCAGCAGCGGCGATCGGATTCCAGTTTTTGAATTCTTGCCTCGTTGAGCAATAATAGCAACAGGCGAATATCAACTCCTCATCATCTGCGACCGTGGTACACGATTCGTCATACAGTCTTGGCAGCATTACTCAAAACAGATTCATAATGATTTGCATACTGGCAGTGTCGATGTCCGTAATTCCGCATTACGCGATCTCCGCACATGTTAACAATCTGTCAAGTAATATTTTATCAGGCCCGTTATAAGTATCACTTCCGTACACTGACGTAATTATTTGCACCGCAACCTAAACGAGAGCAGAGTCTGCTCAGCAGACTCCCTAAACCACAGATTCAATCACCCAGTTTACTTGAGCACAGTCACGTACAGATGCAGCTGTAGATTATCCCATTGAATCGATAATAATCCCCTCGCGGTCAAGGCAATTGTCCACAATTATCCACAGTTACGGAAAAATGCGTAATATTTTGAATTCCGCCAAAATGATCCTTCGATCTCTCTCTGGCCCAATACCACAAAAGATTATTCACTTAGGGTAATTCGGGATAGCAAGCATTCCACCAATGCCAAGCTGTGTCGTTTATATCGTTAAAATCCCATGGACTGAATCATCAAATAGATCAGAAATAGAAAGATCGACTCTGTATTGCTGTGATGGACTCCTTTGGGGTGTCAGTTTTCCACAGATTACACTTTAGAACGATGAGAGAAATGCAAACATCAATAGCTTGCCTTACTTTTACTTCTTCCAATTCTCTCTAGCTGCCAGTAACTCACGTCTGTAACTGGTATTAACACGCTGCACTGGGTTCTTGTTTCGCAAATTTGATTCTTTCATATCTTTCGTACTACGGTTTCGCACAAGTTCATTGAGCCGGTATACCGGTGCGGGCAGACCATGCGGAGTCAAAACCGGATTATCCATGCAACTGATGCGAGCACTAAACGATGGGCGGTACTCAAGCCGGAGAGTGGACAACCTCCACACTGCTAAAACTAAAAAAAATTGTAAAAGCTTACTGCTAATTGCAACAATAGCTTATTAATCATAGTCGCATGAAATAATTATGTTACTATATATAGATAAGTGAAAAATATTTTATTATAGAATAATTATGTAGATTTATATGCCGGGCACCCATTGCGGAACTACAGATAAAGAGACCATACGAGAATCAATGAGCGATATAGGATACTTACAAGTTACAAATATAGTATATGGCTACGTATATGCGCGCAGCCGTAGAATGTTTCATGTTGGCGACTCATATACAATGTATTGTGTTTGTCACTTTGTGTATTGCATTTTGTGTATTTTTTCATTGTAAGTTTTACTTCATGCTTCCTTCTGAAATTGTTGAATTATTTTATTTATATTTTATACATGAAGAAAATTCTGGAAAACGCCTGCATGCATTTGATAATATGACAATATACTCAACTACAAACGCTCATGAAACATCAAAATTATAGTTTTCATATATTATGTTAAAGCCAAACGGTATCAGCAAGAGCTCTAGCTGCAGCTGCAGAACCAGCATACACATAAGGCAAAAGCAAACCTTTAATTTATAATATACTATAATAATTATGACTCTGAATCAGCAGAATCTAAAACTCAAATCACTATAGCCATCTTGCATTTCGCCGGCAGTAAGCACAGCGAAGCCGCGCAGGATCGTTCAAATGTCTCTTGTAAATAAATACATGGGCGGACACACAAGGTGGATGTCGGAGCAAACCCAAAGCACGGCTTCCAGCTGGACTACGTCATTTTCAATAAAAATTTTGATATCAGAAAGAAAGCACTCGCTTGGCAATGGCGTATTCCTTGCGCAGCCGTTAGAAAAACTCGATTTCCTCTATATCGTCATCCATATCCAGAGCGCGCTGGCGACTGGACATATAAGGCGTATTATAACTCAATTTATCCGATTTATAGGGTGTCGAGGAAAACGGTGCGTCCCCATGCGATAATTCGTCAATCAATAAAGCATCATTTACCACTCCGTTTCGCCCTCGAGGAAGGCTGCTGCTGTCCGCTGTTTTTGATTGCTTTTCGGAATCTTTTTCTGCGATGCAAGTATATGCTGTTAATCATATTCATATATATAATAAGCTTCAATCAGAATAAAGGTTTAATAATAATAAAGGTGAAAAATTTTTTATGTCTCAATAAATTTAATTTCGAATCTGAGTAACGCGAAAGTGCATATTAACACAGCGAATAGAATGTTTGACATAATAATAATAATATAAATAATATTTTATTTTAAAAAGCAGGCAGTGAAATATTTTAACATATGAGCCAGAATTGAATGCCGTATGGTAAGGTGCAGCAATACTACCGTTTTCAAACGTTTTACGTAGAATTATGTATTATTTGCAGTTGTATCTTTGAGGTTTTAATGCCTCCGGCCATACCTTTTCTCACACTGTCACCGGCTGATAGATCCCGTTTGGCCAAATCCAGCTGCCGAATTTTTTCCAACAGATCATTTTTCAACATTACTTTTTCATCCTTTGTTTGGGTTAATTCATTATCTGTTGATTGCAGTTCACTTGAATTTCCCGACCGGGTGACGACATTTTCCGGTGATTTAAAATCCTGGATTAGCTTTTTGTGCGGAATTTCTTCCGGGGCGTCTTTGGCGACACGAATGTCTGGAAGCGGCTTTGCATCTTTAATGCCGCTAGGCGCTAAACCGTGCAAATCACGCAAGGACTCACTGGAATTCGGGACGCTGGGTGATTGATCCAACTCTCTTGCCCGTGCGCGATCATTATGGTCTTTCAGCAAATCCGGCGACATACGAGTTTTTCGGATAATTGGCGCTGAACTTCCTTGACTGTTATTGTCAGATTGTCGTTGTTCGCTGGAGCCTGCATGAGTGCTGCTGGCTAGTTCGATGGACGCAGGGCTTTCATGGCCGCTTAGCGGATTCTCTGGGATCGTTCCGGTTGCGTATCTAAATTCTTTTAAGAAGGATGGTTTAGCGTTGCGATAAATTCTGGTTTCTAAGTTCTGGAGCTTGTTTTCTTCGACCTCTATGCTGTCGTCGCGAGATGACGAACGCTGTTGGTGATTTGTGGTGCGTGACCTTTGGGCATCATGACTCCGTGAACGACTGTCTTGGCGCTTTCTCGGTTCAGATACATTATCCGGTACAGCCTGACCAAGTTGAACTAACCGGTGTTTTATCACAAAATTCTCGGCTTCCAAACCTTCTTGTCGGCACAGGAGCTCTTTAAAGCGCAGATCAAAGAACTGACGTTCCTGAGCGTGCTTTCTTTGCAGATTTGCGATTCGGCGATCTGCATCCTAATAATTATTAATATGCACCTTTAAAGGGGTTTATATTTCTCAGAAAAACAATTCCTTTTTTGGTACCGTTAACCAGGAAAGGGCGATGTGCTTACCTTTAGCTGATGTTCAGACGCTTCCAGTTGCTTGGATAAATTGTCACGATCTTGTTTTATCGCTTTGCTATCTAGCAATTGTTTGTCACGAACGATTGCCGCCAACCGATCTCGGTCTTTTTCTGTGGATTGGGAGTAATTTTCCAGTTGACGGTATTGTTCCCGTAACTGCGCATATTTTTGCTTGGAGTTGCGCAGGTGTTCTCTTGTTATTCGTACTTCCTCTTCGGCTTGTTGTAATAAAGTGGGAAATTTTTCATCCTTATTTTCATATTGCCCAAGAGCGCGTCCTTGGCGACGAAGCATTAAGTTTAGTGTTTTCACTTCCTGTTTTAGCGTGTCCGCTTGGATTCGAAGTAAATTGCGCTAAACAACAAAATTATCATGAAAATTAAACCCAGTGGTGCCCTGATTAATTGATACTGGAATTAAAATTTATCCTTGTATTACGGTTAAGACTTCTTTTTTCATTTTGCTTACGTCTGACTGCATAATTAATATTTATAATGATTCTGATGTCTAAGATTCTGACACTGAGTGTATATCAAACAAATTCTTAAAACAAATTAGAAAAAAAATAGTCGTTGGTGCGTCTACCTTTTTGATCCTATATAAAACTGTCGAAAATTGCCAGTAAACTGCGATACTGGTAAGTGGTATAGCGACAGAGCAAATATGATAAAAAGTTTGCTATAACCAAGCTATGGTAAACTAAGTAAGTGCTTATTCAAACTGCTACACTAATGAACTCAGTTAGCTAAAAACATATTTTTGTATCGCAGGCTAGACAAACTTCCCCTTTCTTCTTTGGAGTTTTCTTACCTCATTCTCAAGATCGTGTACTCTGCGGGCTTTTGCTGAAAGAACTCGCTCTGCCATGTGATCCTTGATAGTGGTCTGCCTCGCGAAATCATTTTTTGAACTGGCTTTCACAGAAGCTGTTGAATGAAAGGTCACTTTCATTTTTTGTTAGTTTAATTACCTATGACCGTCCTTTCCTTAACTACGCCTTCCGCTTACACTAAATTGTTAAACAACAAAACACATCTTTTCTACTTGAAAATAGTCTTATAATATACGGCTACTATACATCACAGAAAACAAGAATCTCCTAACAATATTGACGTGACTTACATAATTTTGTGGTAGGTTTTCGCATGCCGTAACTCTCTCCAACAAACTGTCGACTTCGATCCTTAGTACTGAGTCCAACGTTTCTAATCGAACTTTTTGTTCCGGCACTGAGTCGGTTTTGATTTGGTCGTCGGGAACCGTAAATAACCTGAGGTGTTGGTAGCTGCCTTTCGTAAACAGGTATCTTCTGCGGTGATTGTTTCTGGAAAATATTGGTTTGACTAACGAGGACTTCATCGTCGTCCAGGTCATCGGGAAACTCATCCAACTGATTGAAATCTTCTTCATAGTCATTGTCAAAGGAACTTCGTTGGTGTCCGTTCATTGAAAGTATGCAGGAGAGTGCTTTTAATTACAACAAATTATAGACAGATAAATTACAACAGATCCTTGTGAATAAAGCTCGATTGAGGTCTCAGCAAAATAAAAGGCAAAAATAACGCAGGCAAAGTTGCAAGGCTTTGGTATCCCTCTTTGTCAAAGGTTCGGCTAAATTGTTAAAACGACGAAAGAGATCTCGTTTAACACCACTGCACTAGGGTTCTGGTGAAACCTTAATTCTGACCTATAAAGCAATGGAGACAATGTTGTGTAACATTGATATTATGTAAGCAGTTCCACTGCGCACGGGATAAATATCGCGATATTAAAGCAGGGCTTTTGATTCGAACAATAAGGTATAATTTTTACACACCAGTGTACTGCAGCGTTCGGACAAGGTGTTACAAAGGTATACGAAAAAGTGGATCAACAACACTGGATGATCAGTGCAGACGAGAAGGAAGTCCATAGGATCAGGATATGCGTATTGGCCTGCAGAATCCAGGTGTAAAAGTTGTATGCACCAGCATGCTCTGTATTGATTTCTTCACTGGAAAGTAAAAGAAAGAGGGGTACACGGACTTGAATGACGCAAGGTAATTCATATGTACACTGTCGCGGTGATCATTGGATTTTCCATCGTAGGACGTAATGCGTAAGTTTGTATAGATATAAACATGTGCGTCTAATATACTGTATTTTACTATATCGATTTGTAGATCATGTAATATCAGGAAAGAAGATGTTGCAGGATTCCATTTTATTTCTTTCTTAGGATTATATGACAAGACTTTACCGAAACTTGTTATGTGTTATGGTAATTTGTGTGCTGCATTTTTGACGACTGCATTATGATGTGACAGGATTTCGTCCAAGAGAATTTTACGCTGTGTAAACGTATCTGGCACTGTGAGTTTGCATTTTGCATACTTAAAAATTCCTAGTAATAATACTACAGAACTGCACAACTTTAAAGTATCAAATTCAGGACGGCATTAGAACGATATAATTATATACGTCACCGTGTCTTACGTAAAAACCAGTAAGTGCTGCAGTTGATACTCGGTAGTCGGTACGTGCTTTCCTAATCATCGAACAGCGTTCGTTAGGTTGGTATAGATCGAGCCGGGCTAAAGGATTTGTTTTAATCGAAAATTGAATGCTATAATAATATGGTAACATAATTTTAGAAGGGGTACATTTGCTTAACGACATGGCAGAATATTGAAACAATGAAAACAATAACACTGGAAATTTTGTTACGAAGGAAAAATACCTAGAGTAGTTGATTAACTCTACTCGATCGTGTAATGCTTGAGTTTAGTTTTTTATTTGTACGAGTAGTGAGCAAGATCTGTCGGTGCCGAACCCGAGAAATTGAGAATTTTGCTGACAATGATTGAGTGATGTTAAAGGCAAACGAAATGAAGATTATGATGGAAAATTAAGTAACAGTCAATCAAGCACGATAACTGTCTTTAAATTGTTTGCTGAAATTAACTGTTTATCGTAATTAAGCTGAGCCTTTACTGCCTACAATCTACAGAGTTACGTCTGTTTCCGTGGAGATGCGGGATAGAATACGCTTGAGTTGTAACTTGTCTTGAACCACAACTCACGCGCACAACTCACGGGTAAGTTGTGAGTTATCAGCCACAAGAAAACCAAACTTCAAGCTGCATTATGGAAAAATAATTACAGTAAATATGAGAATTATTTCTTTCTTAATTCAAGCATTATGCAATAATACCTATAACAAAGTACAGAGGGTTATTCAGCCAAGTGTGGTCAGCGCATTAAAAAAATTCCTATAATTCAGCCGTTGCGCAGAGTCAGATTCTAATAATTGTTTTATTATGGCAAATTAGTTTTGATGCTTTTTGCAAGTTTTTGTGACAATCGGGTTTAAACAGCCCGCAATATTGGCTACTGACCTAAAGACTCCGACTCTAAACCTTTGACCAGGCAAAATTTGGCTTTCGATGATCTGGCCTTAAAAGGATCGTCTGCTTTTCAAATCTGGATGGTTTTAATTGTGAAAAACGACGATCCGAATATTTTTTATAGCAAAAACGATTCCATATTCTTGCGCGTTCTTGCGGTAGGACGGCTGGAAAAAACGCGAAAACAGGAAGACACTCGCAAGAGCCATGCTCAATGTGCGAATTGTTACTCACGGAGCTATGGCTATCCTTTTCGTTCCTCCACAAACTAAAGTTGTAACGCAGGTCTTCCTTCACAATTTACAATGTTCATTGGTCGAAAAAGACGCTCCACGGATTAAGCCTGGCAGAGAGGAAGAAGTCATCCAGAACCAGAGATGTGCTCCCGGGAGCACTGCTGAGAAAACAAGGATGTTGCTTCCTGATCGAAAAAAACTGGTAATTCCTTCTGAAAAAGGTTTGTTCGAAACCCATGACAGGTTTCCAGTCGATTATGGCGAAAACCCAAATTTTAAATTAATTTTGAGTAAAGGGAATCCATTTCCTATAGCTGAACTGGTCAACTGTTGCCAACATGGTGGGGATAAACTGAATTTTTTCCTGGGCTACAGGATAACGAAATCTTGGCTCGGTTGAATTCAAAATGTGATTGAATGTTGTGGCTATTTGATAAAATTTTTAAAAAAGTAAAATGAGCCTGCAGCGGCTAAGCAGAAATTTTCCAAAAAGTGACCACACTTGGCTGAATAACCCTCTGTACGAGTAACAGCATGATCTACGGGATCTACTTACAAAGGTCACCATTGAAAACGCACGGCAGCCGGCTTACTACGTCGTGCTTAATCATGTTGACATGATGCACATATAAAATACATTATTATGATGCAACAAAAAATGCTCTTTTTGAAATTTTCGCTGAACTGTAAAGTTATTTAAGTACGTACCAATTTTTTTAAGTACATACCCAAACTTTGTAAGTACCATACCATGGAATTAGTCGTCGCGCGTTGTTTTAACTGCGGTGTAGGAACGAGGTGAGGTGTGTTTGCAAAGAGTTGAAAATCGTTTAAGTAGTTTAATCAAATTTTTACTATAAACCCTATTAAGATATGTACTTAGTTTCATTAATGAAACTAAGTACATTAAAGTATTACTGTTGTTGCCGTGCCACGAGCCTGAGCGGAGGGCGCTCAGTCCACGATTTTTTTACCACGAAGGGGCCCGAGGGGAGCACGCTTGCAGGCCGGCTTAAACAGGAAATTTCACTTATTTTTAGCTTGAGAAGAGCCGCCGGCCCCCGATCCGATGGTATGTTTTCAAACGATCGTGTAGCGAGCACAAACGGGGCCGGGGAGGCTATACATATACAAAACTTCGTATGAACCTAGGACCGGGACCCAACGCACGAGGTCGGGAATTGCATGTTTTAAACCCAGGAAACATAAGAAACCAAGTTACATAAGCTGGCTAAGCAATATGCAAACGTATTGAACAACATACAGAGGGGACGTGCTGCATAAAAAGGAGCGAAACCTTGGGCCCATTTCCCGCCATACTGAAAATGAATAACTGTACATGTACAGTACGTTATATTTTATTTCAAGGTCCCTACCGCCAAGGCGACGGCTTCACGAAAACATTCACACTGTCGTAATCTGGCGGATGCGCTGGCGACTTGATACTTGATAGCATATCCTAACGTAGGTAGTGATTTGATGCTTTTTTTAAGTTCATTGTATATTCAGAAAATTTACACTGGTCTTACCATAGAAAAGGAAAATAGTTTTTCCTTTTCTATGGTCTTACCCTTATTTTTAGCAAATCTTTGGGTAAAATAAAAGCCCGAATCGATGTCTTTATGGTTAGTTTTAACTTACCACTCGGCATCTTGGACTTACAAGATTACTGTTGCTTCTGTTGCATCGAAATTTGGTTCTTTGGATAATCTCTCGGACCGTCTCGGTGTTCCCTGAATGTCACTCCTGTTCCGTAACATCCAAACGATCGTTCGGTTCAACGTGAACAAGATGCGAAGAGACGTGGAGCTCATCCGGTCCCTTATGAAAATCCGTCAGTTCGACGTTGGTTTTTTTGCGCATTTTTAGCCGTAATTCGATCAGTTCTCTTGGGCAGCTAAGATTTATGGCTGTTATAGATATCGGTGTCATGCGTGGACAACTCGACCATTCGCGCTCTGAACAAACGTTTTCGCAATACAGACGAAGCTACTGACGTGCTGTCATTTCCGTTCTACAACGTTTCGGAACCAATGGACCCCAGCAGCGAGGAGAACATGGCCCTCGCTCGAAAGGAGGCTGCTAAAGAAGATCCCTCAATAGAAGCTATGGCTAATGATCTAGGAGACATCTATCTGGGTATTCCCTACATCCGCGATCGCTGCCGGAGAACAGGCTTTCCATTAGAAGACGAACTCGTGGTAAGATTTTGCATTCGCATTTTTGTTAAAAAACAGCCCTGTGTTTTGTTTATCTTTAAAACTGCTAGAATTTAATCGTGAGAACTGAGGCGCTGTGCTTGTTCATAATATCTGTAGAAGCCTGTACACTTTTCAGAATTCTGTGTATTTGGATTTGTATAATTTAGAAAATACCGTAGAATATCGACTGTTTTAGTGTGCCTTTGAGAATGTTTTTTGTTTCGCAGCATTCTTCACTGACTATAGAATTGCTATTTTTGCACAGTTTTCTGAACGTTGCAATACATCATCAGGGCCGTCGCGAGGGGGGGGGGGGCGCGCTGGCGCGCGTTCTACATCAATATTATATTGTGGCGGGTGTTTGTTCAAAGTGGACGTTTAGATTACTCAGCGACCGTGCATTTGATTGTGATTTAAACGAGATTCCGAAAGTTTCAAGTTTCAGATGCTTGGCAAAAGGTACTATCTTTAGTCTGAAGTGCGTACATGTTGTGATGATAGTAAGGTGAGCTTAACAGAAAGCCCCAACCCTGCCCATGCCACAAATTTTGTCTGAAGCTTGTGCGTGGTTTGTAGGGTATATCTGTCTGTCCGTTATCGTTTGTAAGATTTCGTTGTTTGTTTACGATCTAGTCGTGTTGCAAACGGTGACATGGTACATCGCTATAATAGTATCAATGCGTAATTCTGTTCTGCTTGCAGGTTTTGACCACACATGGGTTCGCCCATCTTCTTGGATACGATCACGAAACATCTCTGGAAGATTTTAAGAAGATGTATCTGTTCGAATTTGGTATTTTGGCACAGTTCGATCAGGTTTCCGGGAGGAACACCAGAAAAGTCAAGGAGGCAATTTTTGATAACAGGAAAACTTAACTAACCCGCTTGAGAACTATCCTTGTTTCCATGAATCCGAAACTGTGTTTTTGTTTATGGAGGCAAATTTTTGCGTTTGTTGCTGCTCTGTGTTACGGCGGCGAAGAGTGCTCACCGTCTTACTGGTGTTGGACTCGCACTCGTGACAATGTGAAGCGTGCGGCATTTCCAAAGTTCATGTTTTTGTATTATTTTATTTAAAAGAGGTAAATGTTTAGTATAACAATCTAAATTTTCGGGCTTACAATTACGATGATAAAAACTTATTCCACGAGCTGTCAACTTCGGTACACCACTGTACTCGTATACGAAATAAGTAAGTACTGAAATCGGCGGCTCGGTATTTTCGGTGTTCCGTATATGTGCACCGAGATTTGAGTACTTACCTCATATTTCGCTTACCTATCAACAAACTGATTATGCTTTTCCTAACCGGTAAGGAACAAAAAACTCTTCGTTTGCTATTAATTTACAAAATAATAGCCTTTCTTTTTACTTTCCAGTGTTTCCACCTACAGTGCAAAACTGCGATAATTTTTGCGCTTCAAATTTATCATCAAAACTGAATTAGCGCTCACATTTCGAAATTGCAGCAAACATCTTTTGGGGTCATCCAGAAAAGACTAGAAACAACTATCACAAGCCATTAGAAACCGATAACATTCTCAGATATAATGTGACGAAAACATGACGAAGAAACCCAAGTTACGTAAACTAGCCGGTAATTTAATAAAATAATTGGTTACATGAGCCCGCATGGCAAAGGTCTCCGGGAAAGCTAAGTCTGTACACGAAACGGGACAAGACAATTATGTTTTCTCCTGAATTCCGGAACTGAGTACCTGGATAATGCACAGCTCTGCGCATTTGCTTATCCTTTAATTAGAAGCGAATTATTGTATCGTGAGATATCAGAAATTAATTTAGATAATCGACGTTATTTCGCAACGAACACCGGTAAATCCATCTTTGCACACACAGCGAAATAGCTCCTCCACTTTGTAATGCTTTTGGCCTTGTCTGCGCATTGGCACGAATCTCTCTTCACATTTCCCTTCGTTAGCGCAGTATCCACTCGCCCGGGACCTGTCCTTGCAGGCAATCCATGGGAGTTCAATAAGCTCCATACTGCTCACACCGCCGGCCGCATGACGAGTACTTCGGTCCAGGAGACCGTCAAAATCTTCCATATCAAAGAAACCTGCATGTATAAAAGTAGTGAAAGAATGCATAATTATTGTTGATAATTGGCAATACTTCTATTGCATATTCATAATATTGATTTAGCTGTTTATAAAAACTACCGACATTTGCATGTTAACTCGCAAAAAAACGTTTATCAGGGTTTTGTGACTACCACATACTTTGAAGTATAGGTGAAACCGTAAAAGTGAAAATGACGGTGATAACCATTTTGAAATTGCATTTTGTTAATCGACTTACTGCGAGCTGCAAGTTACTCAAATTTGCTAGTTTTGTGTAAATATTTTAGAGGGATTGTTATTCGATGTACTTGCTTGATAATCTGATTAACATTAGTGCAAACAAATAATCGTATCGTCATGTTTAATTGTTTAAGTAACTGTCTTGCATGGCACTGACCTTTCTTGTCGCCGGTGTGAGATCCAGTCAACCAATCTCGGAACGGTTTTCCTTCTACTAGACTCCATAATACACCGATTGAAAAAAACACATAAAGCGTTTGTTGCATACTGTCGTGAAAGTCTGGTAATAGACATCAGTATTATATTTGCTTTTGGAGCCGATATAACTTGCAATCGAATAACTGAGTGTCAAAGCGGTGAAGTCGAATGGCGTGTTGCAATTGACCTTTCACTATCGGTATCCTACAAGGATTGTGAGATTCGAGCAAAGGCTTGGCGGAACTAGTTGGTCGTGCAGCAAGAAAGGGAATCGTGTGCTTTTTCCGAGAAACAGCGATCACAGTCTAAATCTTATTGGACTTTCTAAACCGCGAAAACGGTTCAGTGTTGTGAAACAGATCACTGCTTTCACCGAGAACAACAAGAGCACCGCACATAATCACCTTAACCGGTAATTCATACGGCGATATGTTTATTCCAAAGCATCAACGTAGTGACAATCTGATCGTTAGCATGGGAATCTCGTTACGTGTTGGGATTAATAACGCAGGAAATAAAAGAAGCTGTCCCAAATAACAAGCATATTAAGCAGACTGGATAGGCTTAATTAGCTCAAGATTGCAAGGTCCATAATAACGAGGTTACTGTATCGAAGCTATTAGCTAACCATAAGATGTCTACGACAAACACGTGGAAAATACTGCTTGAAATACGCAAGATTGTCACAGCTCTCGCAAGTTAAGCCGTATAAAATTTTTCGACATGCGGAAAATTTTTGTTGTTAGTTTACAGAGCATGGCGGCGCCAGTTTATAAATGCGTGGCTAAGAATATGACGCAGGGAAGAGGATTAACCACAGCCGGAAGTGTACCTGGACTTTAATCAAGCGTCTGATATGGAAATTAATATTAGCTTATTTCCCATATGTTATCTAACATTTGCGTCGACTCGATACAACTACACACGTTGCTGGAGCGCCAATAAGGTTATGATATTTAATAAGCGTCATTTTCGTCGCCGACTGGGCCGATGGCTGTTTCTTGGCCCGGCAGGAATGACGCAACAGACGATTAGTAATTTGCTTATAAACGTACCGTGACACAGATTTATTTCTTTATTGGTCTTTATTGGTAGGATGATATTGTCCAGACTATGGTTCCAGATGCAAAGACAGATGGTTTCCACAAACAGACCGAAGACGATAACTGTTTAGTGCCAAAACGTGCAGGCAGCGGTCATGTACGAGATTATACGGACATTTCTGCTAGAATAATGATAAATCTAATTTCCCACTTACCTACCCTGGAGCAGACACAAGGCAAACTTGCTGCAAGTGTAAACTGATTTAATATGACTTAGACTTACTCGTACAAAACCTGGTTACGCTGAAAAGCAAAAAAAAAACAATGTAAGGTCGTTTTTTGTACTCGTAAGTCGTGGTAATATTATATACTAACTTGTATTATTAGCACTGGGGCTAGCGATTTCAGTTTTTACCTGATATCCAACTTTTCTTTCGAGTACTTACTCATACTTAATTTTTCGTCTATGAAATTTATTAATTCTGAAAAATTCATGATTTATCATTTTGACCATATGAATTTTCTGGCATTGCCCCTTTATACTCGTAAAAAGACCATCAGGAAGAACATCAGGACACAATTTTAACGGAAATTCTGTCTTTAGGCAAAAGCGTACTGTACTTATTTTAGCGGAACGGGTATAAAAGTCCAGCATTAACGCATTTGCCTCGTTAACTAAACACAAATCGTTTTCGGCGGCTTATCAGTCCCCACTCCGCACTTCAGTGTAATCACTTTTCCGCGAGAAAAATAAAGCGCTCAAACTTGTGATAAGTTTTCAGTCTAAAATAATTGTAAATGGCTTTTTGTTTAACAATTGTAACAGTAACAAGTGCGTATTGTAGCAATACGTTTATGCTGTTTTCACTTTCCAGATTGTTGCGTCTAGCTTCTTTCCAGCAGTTCGAGGACAGAAGGAGCATTGAACATTGCCAGCTTTATTATATGTGAGAGATATCACACAGTGCACGGGCTTGCAGAATTTTTTACTTACTCTTCTCAGTCTCTGGAAAAATTTTTGACGAAATCTGGGACTCCACCACTAACTTTAACAGTGTGTATTATCCTGTGGTACACAGGTTACTTCGCGAGCGCATGTTGCGACACGCTGAAGCTGGGAAGTAATATTTCAAAAGTGCAGAGATTTGCTGTGTGCCAATGTGAAAAACAGCACAATTCGGGATCTGTACGAGTCAGTACGAGGCACCATTCAACCAAATTCTGGTTTAGGTACGTACTCCTTGTTCGCTCCTGATAAGTCTTCGCTCTTCAATGCGTTTTTGTGTATGAACCCTACGGTACGTGCGATAGTTATGTTTTTTAACACCAAGATGTTGCAGGGAGACGTTTAGTTAGCTAGAGACAACTGAAAAAGATAGGGCAGCGGCAGCCTACTAGGTATTACGCGTAACTTGTTGTTTTTCAGCACGAAAAATATCCCATTTGTAATTTGTTTGTTCTTCTGTTACTGATTTGCAAGCAGCAGGATTTTGTATAACTGAATCACAGCACTTAATTACAGTCAATAAGTTACGTACAATACTGTTCGACTGAAAGTAATCTTAGGTAATAATTTGTCCACGTTGATATTCATAGAAGTACTGAGAACTTGAGAAGTTTTTTTTTATTTGTAGAGCGTGGATAATCAGGTGGCTGTTTTTTATGATATTGGCGATACGATGAGGATATTCAAACCATTACTGCACTGGCATGGCGCGCGGGAGCGGTCTAAGCCCGTCTACAGCGTCACTTTCGCACCCCACAACCAGCCTGTCACACTAGCAGATCCTCTGTGCATGCTCACGTGCGGGGAGTCCATCTGCAGTTGGGAGATTGTTCCCGGATTCGCCAGTGATACTGGCGAGCCCAAGGTGGAATTTCGTGCTGAATTCGGTTGGGAACAGCACCTGTATGACGTGTACAATGTGCGCAGTAGTCCACAGGATGACAGTGTATTGGCCGGCGATGGTACGGGGACCATTGTGATTTGGAAGAAAATCCCGCACGAGAAGGGATGGCGGAAGATTATGGGGCAGCAGGATGCGCAGATTGAAATGTCGGAGGAATGGAGACCACAGACCATGGGCGCAATACAACGACAGAAGCTGGACATTACGGGGCTGGCCTGGTCACCCGATGGCCGCTTCTATGTAGCTGCGTCGCTGGATAGTTCGCTGCAAGCGGTCGTTGTGGATATTTCGACCAAAGGCATATCGAAGGTACAGAGGTATTGATATTTTTTAATGCCATTCCTCGGGTTTTGTGCCAGGGATATTAACCATTTCAATAGTTCCTATAAACTTATTTTGGAATAAAATCAGATTTCACATACTGGTTAATTATTTTAACCGAAGTACTCATCAGCTTTCTCTTTATGTATATAATTACAAAGAATAACTCAGTTGACTGTTGACGATGCTTTTCGAGTATCTTGCGTTTTTATTATTTATTGCGTAATGTTAACCTAATGTGTTTGTGTTAAGTGTTTACTAATCTTCCTAAATTTTATGGGGAACTGTATTGGCGAAATTTTCCGTGGTACATACTATTTGCATAGTTCCTTGGTTATCCACTACAATTATTTGACTTTTTGGCAGTTTAAAAAGACTTCGAAATATATAAGACTGAATTGTTGCACTTTGTACGCATGCCGGTATTCGATTTACAGGAATTAATTCACGGAGATGGTCCAGTACTGGGATGTGCCTGGGATCCGAATTCCAAATACGTTATCACTTTGTCAACGGACCGTCGTATGCGTGTTTTCGAGCCATTATGTACCGATGGGGAGTACCGTCTGAAGCCGGTTTACGATATTTCTAAGGATATGAATGGAGATTGGATGTTTTACGATGAGTTCGCCGCTTCTTTCCGGCGGCGAGCGGATTTCTCCTCTGATGGGCAGTTACTGATTGTTCCAGCAGGAATCTACAAGGACACTCCTTGTTCCTATGTGTTTCGGTTTGGCGCCAATAAATTCAGCCGACCCGTGGCGGTGCTGCCCAGTAACGGCCCGACGGTTTGTGTGAAATTTTGTCCCAAGCGTTTTGCTTTGCGGAACAGCGAAACGGCCGCGGGTAGCGGTCTGAACGACACTCTCGTAAACGGCAAAGTGGACGAGGACGTTATTATGGGCGGTGATAAACTGGATGCCACGGGGTCGGATCAAGGGATGGACGTGTCGACTGTGTCAGGGCCAAAGCAGTCGAACCCGGTTATAGTTTCCGGGCTAAAGTGCCGATACATTTTCGCTGTGGTTACAGAATACCCGTTGGAGATTCATCTTTATGATACAGAAATGGCTAGACCGTTCGCTGTGATGGGGAATCTGCACGTGCAAGATGTGACGGATTTGGCATGGTCGTCAGATGGTCGAGTGCTGGTCGTTACGTCCGGGGATGGGTTCGTCAGTTTCGTGGAATTTGATGAAGCCGAGCTGGGAGAGGAATACACACCGATCGGGGAAAATAACGAGTCCACTTCTGCTGCTGCATAGCTTGTCTGCTTCTGATTCGTTTGTGAAAGAAACTTATTGATGGAACAAAAATATTGGGATTTTAATTTTATATTATGTTGACATTTTCGTTTTATTATTCTGTTTCCCGAGATTCAGAATCTTGATATTTTCTGTAATTTTTTCGGTTTTATCATCTTGCTTCCTTCGATTACCGTTTTTCGAGTAGTTACTCGCATAAATTTCTGATCTTTGAATCCCTGTTAAACGTTACTATGCGTAGTTGGCAGTGCACTGTGCGGCCGTTATGCTTCTCAATTACTGACGGAGTATTCATGGGATAGCGTTACATCCCGGGTTCAGTGGCACCGTATGTAAAACAATCATTAAATCAAATTAAGATAACATTCCAGTTTTATGGCTAAAAAACTGCAGTCCTTAATTAGAAATTAATAATTTATGTTTCCCGAATATGTTCCATATGCACCCACATCTGGAAATTTCGCACTAAATGGCAAAAATGTTTTGAAAATAATTTTTTTTCCTCTGAAAACCTGCAAAATATATCTACAATCTGGTATAGAAGTATAAATTTTGTAAGTGCGTGGCGTTATCGTAGAATGTATCGCAAGTTGGCAGGCCGGATAAGGAAACATAACCGTCTTCAAAGGTTTAACTAGGCTGAATGTGCAGAAATACGGTTTGTGAACTTTGGAATACGGACGCCCGTAGGGCTTTTAAATTCTCCACAGATGTTGTGTTGCACTGAACTATTTCCAAGCGATAGATGGTTTATAATCACTCATTCCACTTTTATGAGGAATCATGAATCTTGAGCCAGTACAGCAAATAAATTACTGATGATTATTTTTATTGCACAACGTGTGAATCGTGATTACGGGCAGGATATTGCATGCTCGAGCACTCTTTTGTGGAAACCATCATGGCAGTGGACACGGATTTTTTCAAAGGGAAACGAGTGCTTGTTACAGGGGCAGGAAGAGGTACAGTTCTTACAAAACGCAATGACCGTGCCAAGTATTACTGTCTTATTTTCGCCATTTTCCTTACCATTTTCGCTTAACTGAAACGAAAAATGTTAATAAAAGTTACGACAAATTGCACATGCAGGTATTGGAAAAGGTATTGCAATTAGGCTGGCTGGCTTAGGAGCGGAAGTTTTCGCAATAAGTGTCTCTTCGGAAAACCTGCAGACACTGAAACAAGAAGTAAGTTCGCATAACGCGCTATATATTATGACTGTAATTACGAACATATTACACACAGTTTAAGGTAGCTTCTATACGTACCACGGTGGTCTGTACTGTAGACTCTGTACGAGCTCTGAGTACCAATCGATAATATGACAGTAATGGGTTCGAATTAGAAAAACTGATGCTGCATACGAATAATTATTCGTATGCAGCAGTAATATTATAATATTATTTATCCGAAAACTATTTTTCCTATCCGTTGATAACACACTTAGCGAAAACTGGCAAATGCCGGCATTGTTGTCTGGATTATTCTAGAGCCGGGTTTACGTTCATTAAAATCTGTATTTTAACAGTCTGAAGTAGGGGTTGATGCTTTCTAAGCATGTTATTACCGATAGAAGAAGGTGATAAAAATTTTTCACGCATATGTTTCTGCCCTGAAAAACGCAAGTGTAAAAAACGCAAGTCCATCGTAATGTATTTCATTTCATAAAAATAAAAAAACTACGAGTACAGTATACCCTGGCGGTGCAGTTTAACCTGCACCGCCAGCCTGCCAGGGCATACTGTAGTTGTAGGCATACTGTAGCACCGCCAGGGCACACTAAAATCCAATATTATTGGATTTTATTATTGGATTTTAGTGTCCGAATATCCGACCCGTGCCCGTTGACCTGAACGGTTGGGCTGCAACGGAAAGGGCAGTGGAGTCCATTCTGCCCATCGATATGTTAGTCAACAATGCGGGCGTGTTCATACCGGAATCTTTTATCGACTCCACGGAAGAGACCTACGAACGGTACATAAATTACTAAAAGTTAAACGAACGTTTTAGGAAATTCCGGATGTAGTAATAGTTGTGTACGATTGTACGCGACTACGCTTAAATGTTGTGTCTTTTTCGTTTCAGCATTTTGGGAGTGAATCTCAAGGCTGTCTTTAACGTTTCCCGGGTAAATACAGTGAACACAGATGTTCGTTCGCCGATTTTCGGATATAAATCGTTGAATCCATAAATGGTTTTTAATTTTTATTGATGCTTGCAGTCTTGTACAAGCCAAACGCCATTTGCACTTGAACTTGAGAAACCAATAACTTGAGAATACCAACAAACGTTCATTCGTTCGTTATCAGGCTATAGTTAAATTAAAAATTTAAAGTTAAAAGGTACTTGTAGTTGTTAGCCTACTAAACTGTTTCCTTTCCCAAACTTTTCCTGGCAGGGTTTACTGGTTATTATGATTTGGTTTTACTGGACATACAGATTGTGGCTAAATCCATGGTAGAGCGAAAATATGCTGGATCTATTGTCAACCTATCGAGCGTTGCCGGTCAGATCGCTATTCCGAATCATGCGGCTTATTGCGCCTCCAAAGGCGCACTGGATGCGCTGACTCGGAGCATGGCTTTAGAATTGGGACCGCACAATGTATGAAACAATGAGTTGTATCATCGGTCATCCATACTGAACGCATACACTGCGCACGACCTTTGTATTGCATCCTTCATTACTGTTTAGATTCGCGTTAACGGACTCAGTCCGACGGTGATTCTGACTGATATGGGACGACAAGGGTGGTCAGATCCTGAAAAAGCAGGTCCGCTGCTGGCTCGTATTCCTGTGCACAAGTTTGGGGGTAAGTACTGCTAGTGCTTTCCTCCTCCACGTATATAGGCTGTTACCGAGTCGGACACCGACTAAGAAATCGCTCGACAGTTTCAGTCTTATTGCGAAAAACTGCCGAAGTCATGCGACAACAATAATTTTTTAGAGTTTAAACGTGTACAAAATTCAAACCGCAAAGACGTTTTCGTTGTTGCAGAAGTGGACGACTGTGTGGACGCTGTATTGTTCCTGTTATCGAATCAGTCCAAATTCATTACCGGTATCAGTCTTCCGCTGGACGGAGGGCTTTTGGCGACTTAATTCTTATTATCTGAACTATCAGTCAGCATCGCTGGATAAAACGATGGCGGTAAATCGATCGTAAAAGCAACGAGTCGTAAGCAGAAGAAACAAATTGCTGATTGTTCCAGTTTTATTTAAAATGTTAATCTCCGATGACATTCGTTCATATACTTAACACAAAGTGTGATGGAAAATAAAAATACTAATATACGCTTCTAAAAATCTTGTTAATAAAAACAAAAAGTCACGCGAAAAAGCGTCTACTAGTTCACCTTTTGTAAAAAGTGTGAACACGAATAAGGCACATTCTGGCAGCCGTAAAAGGATAAAAGCAGCGAGAGATTACCATGATCATATGAAAATATAAACAAGAGAAAAATGCTTACTACATTCCCGTGTCTACGCTAAAAGCCACCACCACCGACTGCAGCAAGCAAGTCGGTTCCCCTTGGTCCCAATCCATTGCTAATTTGCAACCATGCTACAAATAGCGGTACTATACTTCTAATAAAACTATAACACAGTAACAAAAAATTAAAATCAATTCTGAAAGCGTGGAGGGTTTCATGAATTTGCATTGCACTTCCGACATCAAATATGTTTATCAAGCAAGGAGGGTCATATCCACACGCCGATTGCCCAGATTCTGACGATTGCATTCTCGGATAATACGTTCAGCTTCCTCCCGTGAACCAAACATAACAAACGCTTCACCATTTTGCCGGCCATCCGCTTGTCTGTTAAGTTGAATCGATTCCGGGGAAATCTGAAAGCAATAAAACCACCGGAAGATAATAACGCACGAAATTCCACTGGAGCTTTTACTACTTTTAACACTCAACTGCGAATAATTCAGAAACACAATGATGCAAGCACCACATTAACAGAAACACTCGAAAACCGTCTTAAGGATTCTTACCTGGCCCTTAAGGAATGCACTAACATCGCCCACTGAAGCACTGTAAGGAAGATTCCGCAAATGTACAAACGACACACCATTGGACAAACCGGCCACAGAATTCCCTGGTAATCCTGACAAAACCGATCCATTAGAAAACCCGTTTGTGGGCGACAGGGGAGGGCTAGGGTATGTCCAATAAGGAAGTGGATACAAATTGGATAACTGCGGGCGGAAGCCAGGACTAAGTTGCGACATCATCAACTGAAGGTTTGGATTAAAGGGAAAATTTGGCTGGAATCCGGTCAAGCCCGCTAATCCTGCAAAACAACAGAATATTCGAGAAACCAATCTAACTAGAAGAGAAACACGCCGACGTACCGTGAGGGATAACAGGCCGGAAAGATGGTAATCCCAAACTACCACTACCATTCATTTCATCCGCGCTGCACTGATAGACTTCGATATAGCGATTCTTTTTGTTATACTTTTGCATATTCATGAAACGATTGTGGCGTTCCTGGCACGTTAAATTGGCTGCTGTCTCACTGTCCATTTGAATGAAAGCTTCCCCAGACGGTTGGCCCTATTAACAGACGGTGTTCTGTGTTAACCAAAAGGATTTCATGACCTACACCAAATACAGAACTGTAGTATCCTGCAATAAAGTGAAAAACACAGATCACTGCAGTCTGTTAACATACTCTAGGTTAACTACATGTGAGGTATACCTGTGCGTTGTACACCATATGAACGCCTTGCATAACAATATGTCCCGCTTTATCTCCCAAGAAATCCAAAATATCCTCTACAGTTGCCTCAAATGGCAATCCCCGTAATCGAATACAATTCCGCACCCCACTCCGTCCCAGTAGGGCCGAAGAAGGCAGCACGAGGCCATGTGCCACTGGAGACATCAGTCCAGACATGGGTGGTGTCGATATCAAAGGGGCTTGGTTTTCGCTGCGCATATCCTGACTTTTATTCAACACCTGTTGCACTTCCGCCGTCGTACTCCGGAACAGCTCAATATACCGACTACCGATACGCTCACGGTGTTTCGCCAGCGCTTTCTGTCCATCCTCCTCCGTCCGGAACAACACAAAAGCATCACCAGCGGCTCGTCCATCGGCCCGTTTAACGAACAGTACACCCTCTTCCGCATCCACCACATTCACGGGCTCATCGCCATCGGCAAAAAAGTCTACCACTTCCTTCGGGGTGGCTTCGTACGGCAGACCACGCATACGGACAATCAGTTCGCCTTTGCGCTTGAGGAAACGCTCGGCTTCCGTGTTACACACTAGAACAGATGGCGAACAACATAGTAAAGAGATTTCATAACAGCAATTAAGGCAAACATTCTGCTCTGCGCCAACATTACCTCCGGCCACCTGCTGAAAATCCTCGGCCAAGGCTCGATATACTTCAATGTAACGGTTGGCCATATGCTGCTTATGACGCTGTAGGGCGAGATCACGTTGTTGAGCATTAGTAAACACCACTATCGCTTCGCCATTTCGACGACCATGGGAACTTAGGCACAATGCAATGCCGCCTCTGTACAAAGCAACGACAAAATTCATGGTTAATTCCACTAGCATGCCAATAAGACAAAGTTTTTGAAAATCAAACGTTCAGTGACAAAAATATAAACCAAACAAGGAAAGCAACAAACGAACAAGGATACAATAAAGTGAAAGAGACCCTTCGATAGTTCGTAGGCTCAAAAATGAATCTATAAAACATAAATGAATTAATACTGCAGACTTCAATGCGCTCACCTTGGGATGTCGAGACCGAAGAAGAACCTGGCGACATCCATATCGGAGGCCTGCCATGGCAGTCCTCTTGCCCGGACAACAACGTCATCGGAAACTTCTTCCACGTTACTGAAACATTGCGTTCAATGCAACAATGATCATGGGTACCTATCTCTTCGAACAATGCCACTAACCTTAACCCCGGTTCATAGCGCTGTGCAACGTGCTGCACATCGGAATAGAGATGGTGTCCGCTGTGGAGCATGAACTGGATCAGCGTGGCCATATCCGCCACATGCCGTTTGCCGTACTCAGCAGCACTATCTGACCCCAACCGGTTATCTATAGTGTGGCGAGCAGACCAGAAAGACCACATTAGCCAGGTCAAGCACAACCGACAGCGCAATCCACGCATATATTTGAAAATTAAGCGGACACCACTAGTTAAGACTGTACTCAAGATAGTTTCTCAATTACCCATCAAACATTTCGCATTTACAGACACCTACTATCGAGTAAATCCGCCAGACGCTTGGATAATGAAGGGGACGATGAACTAATGTCGGCGGTACCCAGCAAGTCCACATAGGAATAAAAATAGTCAGGCAGTGGAATCCGCGACGCGAGCATTCTGGGAGTAGCTGTTGACGGAGTAATTCTGGACCCAAGGTCACCAGGATTACATCTTTGCTACGGTCCGAATAATGCGCAACCGTCCCTTGAATCTAAATTACAGACAATGAGCTGAGCAATAGAACGACGGGAAACTGAATCAAACGTCGTTCCAGAATTTCTAAGAGACCAATCAACCTTAATGAAACGCCAATTGTTTAACTTCGCAGCAGCATATCAAAAAAGGCGCAATTCTATCGGTTTGCGCGCATGCGTAGAGTAAAGCATACCTCTTGCAATACGCCATCCAATGTATACGGGCTTTTCAGTACCGAATGCAAATTCAGACCAGAGTCCGAAGAGAACTGTGAAAGTATGCTCTGCGCGTCCGCATGTTCGTCCGCGGGTCTTAAGACACGTTCTTCCACACTCACGATCTGCAACAAACACAAATTCCATTAGTTCCTTCCAGAATCCCGTTTGCTTATAATAATGGATCTGCCATGTCTGTTTTCTTATAATCTGTATATGCTTCACTAAATGCTGTTCACAGCAAATTTTCACTGCTTGACAAAGCCAGCGATTACGAAATACTTTTGGGCATGCCAAGATGTTCGAAAGCTTGTTATTCAAACGATGTGTTCAAATGGTAAACAACCTCGTATCAAAAGAAAAGCTTTTTCGAATTCAGTAGCCGGTTTAAGCTAATGTGTACCGTTCAGGAAAAGGATGTACTTCATATACAAAATAAAGCAGTTCAGAATTATTTACGCAACTACTGATCACAGTCATTTACATGCAAAAATTAAATGCATCTTAGAAATGAAAGGATGTGATAAACTTATACTCAGCCACCTGTTGAACAACCTGTGCGCAGCAAAACTCATAAACAAGGAATTCAATAAAATGAATAAAATCAAATAGGAAACATCCAGAGAAGAATGACCATGTAAACACAGAACATGCTACAGCTGTCAAACCGAATAAAGATGTGGCCACCACCCCCTACCTTTTCTGTCTTAGCATCCACCACCGCCCAAGCAATTAGCATTAAGGAAGCGTCCTCATCCCATAACTGATAAGCCTGATTATCCGCTACACCACATGATCCACCACCATTAACAGCTGCATTACCACCCAGAGAGCTCACGGACGAACCAGTCGCCATTCCAGAATTGACTTTTATTGCCAGCTCCCCGTACCCACTGCATCCATACAATGCCACATACACATCGGGCAAGGTGGTCCCGTTTCCATTACTGGCATTCCCGTTGGTGTGTACACCATTCTGATGAGTGTGCCCGTTGACAGGACGCTGTCCTTCCTCCTGTACAATATCCTGGACGGCCATTGGCAAAGGTTTGTATTGACAGGAACGCAGATCACTCGATCTATGCAGGGACGGAGAATGAAGTGATATTGTTTTAAATACACAGTAAATTTGAATATGGGCGGAAATTATGGTTGGTAATTATAAACATGGAATGCTAATGCAAAAAAAATTCACTGAGCCACCAAACCAAATTAGCCAACAAACAGAATACCCCAGAAAGGAGAAACCAAGCTGCAACAGCCAGAAACCACAAAGCAGAACCCCAGACACCACGTTACACAATAATATATATGTATGCACTGCACCAAAACCTAAACTAACACCAAACACCGTGTCTACCATTAGCTCTTATCTCTCGGTAAGATTCACGTTTTCTTGGTTGAATGTTGATTTGGTACCGAGATAGATTTTACCCGCCAGTCAGCCAGTAGTCACTGGCAGCCAAATACAATAGTTAACTTGCCGGGCCAGTTTCTGTAAATACTTACTTATCTGAGTGTAAGTCGTACTTTACTAACCATGCATTTTAACCTTCAGGAAAAGTTTAAAGTGCGATCGCGGTATCAAACGACACCGGTATAACCATTATGAATCATGTGTGCGTACGACGGTAACACCGAACACAGGGAAGTTGTTGCGCAGCCGCAAAGCACTCGAACGTTCATCGCGTACTTACTTAAATCATAAAATATATCTATACGTATATTTTCAATACTACTGTCCAAATCTGTATGAAATCCTTACACACTACTTTCACTTCACGAATACGGAATGCCTGTGCCGTCGAACACGTCGGTGGAGTAACGTAAATTCACTTTTAAATATGGCATACCTATTTCGTATTTGCTTAATATCAAATGCGATCCTAAAAACGTTTCAAAAATAAGTTTAAAGGAAAAAAAAACGCAAAAGTTTAAACGAAGACATAATTAATTAATAAAATGTCTATGTGATACAATGTAGTACTGTAACACTAAAATCTGGTACAAACTTTGCCAACGGACGAGAATACGGGCACATACGCCAAAAAGGTTGCGTAATCAGCATCTTCCAGAACAACAGAAAAAGAATCCACCAATTTCAAACTTTTCGTTTAAAGGGAAACTGGATGAAAAGATATGGCCTGTAGCCAGGCATCACTAACTTATCCAAAGAAGCAAAAGGGTTTTTTCACAAATTTATACAGAACTTTTGTTATGTAATCATCTACGTCGTATTAGACTCTGACTTACACTGTCAATGCATGCGCGCTTCCAGTAGTGTGACCAACTACAAAGACCATGTCAAATTATTTTTGAAAAACACTTTAGCGGAAAGATGGACGCCCACATCGATGGACTGACGAAGTTATTAATGATTCTAATGATAAATTCACTGATGTTTCGCAAATATAATAAAGGGTGGCTGAAAGGGCATAACACACGATTATAACATTATTCGGTGCAAAGGTAAAACGGGAAGCTGGAACTAGAAAGGTACGGCCGTCAACTAATACTGTTCCCCGCCAAGTTGCAGGATGCTCATGTTTTGAAGTTGAGCTTTACACCAAAAATGACAAAAGAGAAAACGACTTTCTTTGAACAAAAATTTCCTCGGAAATCTACTAAAACCGAGAGAGAGTAACAAGCACCAGGATAATAGGGCCGATACCTTGATAGGGCTAATGGACGATGCCCTAATAGTCTTTTAGAAGTTAGTCAGTACAGTACGGTAATTAAACGACTACCAGCACAAACAACAGGCCATCCAACCAGAATTCACAATTCGTTGTTGTTCATCGCTTTTCATAGAATCCCAGTACATAATAAAGGCCGGTCGCATAACAATCCCACAATTAATATTACAGGTTCTAACCTCTTTGATTCTCATGTACAAAACAAATCGCTGCGTAAACTGTTTCATGTTATAGCTTCCACTATGGGATATCATAGTCATATTTATTAATTACTGGTCTTGCAGCCGGCATCTACTCGGGTAAGCATATTCAAAATCGAAACATATACCAATGTGGCACGTATCAAGAAGTTAAAATGGCAAAATTAGTTACAGTGCCAAACATTTTGTCGACTGCAAGCCAAAATTATTGTAAAATATACATCACCCGTAATTAACAACAAAAACCGAAAGAAAACTTGATTTTTTCAGCCCGTTTCTTGCCCATTTCGGATTCCATCATGAAATAAACAGAGAGAAGGAAGCGTTGTTTACTTTCTCTATGATGTCCGCGTATGCGTGATTTGAAAACTTATACGCAAACAGAATTTACTCTGTCACCGCTGCAGCCGCTTTCTTTCATTTCTGATTCTTTTACAAAACAAAACACGGCATGCCACACATTATTAAATTTTGTCAGCTACCCGTATTTATTATCTATTTAGATTCAAATTATGTGTGGTGCCCGAATACAGCACTTTCTGTTCTCCTGATCCAGTCTTTTGACAGTTATACAGATAAACGGCTTCACTAAAACCAAGTCACAAGGTCTCACAAAAGGAAACAAACAATCAATACGAAACGCAGCGAAATTCCTGCAGTTTCAGCGCCTCCAGTACTAGTACAGGAGTTACCAAATCGTAAAAAAATTATATCTAAGAGTATACCAGTACACAGGTATCACGACTGCAGGTATACACAGCAGGCACCGGTGAAACTGCGAACGCAAAGCTCTTCAAGCTGTCGATATCCACTTGAAAAACGACGCTTTTGAGTTTTGAGATTAGATTATTTGAATTTATTTACAGGCTTACACCTGGGTTAACAAAATTTTCGCGGTTTTCCAACGCAAATGGGGATGGCGACGTTCGCAAATAAGATACGGGAAAACAAATTCAACTTTAACCCAACCGAAAATGCTCGCAAGGCATCTAACAGTGGTCATTCATCTATGATCAAGCAATTTATTAACTTCTATAAAATCATCAGATCAGCTTAGGGCATCTAACAATTAGAATGTTATACTGGGAAAATCCAATCCGAGAAAATGAAGGATGGATATGCGTGCAAATCCAAACGAGCAAACGAAACTCATAATATATCGGTGTGTGAAACTTAATCGGCAAGTCAAAAGGTGCAATGGTGTCATTTTAAACTCAATTAAATTGTCAAAGAACCGAGACGCGCTGGGTGATAAAAATTTACAATCGTACCCACAGCAAGACGTGTCTGGCCTCAAGCGCCTTTTTAGCCTAACTCAGGCTAACTGCTGCGTGAAATGATCAGTTAGCACAAATATTATTTCAAAATATCATGCTGGCTATTAACTAGCGTTTAACCACAAGATTATTATAACCGCCGAGATCAAATACAAGTGTTATTTCACCATAACAAACCAGTGTTATAAAGCGTGTTGATCCCACGCTGAATGACACCGTGTATCGGTTATCTGAGATGCAACAAGTGGTTGTTGTCTTCCTGCTTCGCTACCGCACAAGGTCCAACTCAGAAACAGTAAACAATCGTACGGCTTACCTCTCATTCCCATTTACAGCATTTCCAGGGCGTTTTGGAGGAGAGCCCTCTCCGCTGGCATAGGCGCTAGCTTGCAATCCTTCTTCGGGTGGAAAAGAACGCTTCATTCCATTCTGGTACACATTCCGAACATTTCTCAATGTCGTAATCGGAGAGGACGCGCTGATTTGGCTTGTGAACACATTGTTAGGCTTCATCAATCCATCCGATATGATGTTCGGTGTGCATGGGGAAAAAGGTACAAGGCGATGGGGATGACTGGCCTGGAGTCCGCGCTGTAGTGCCTGCTGTTGCATTCGCACCTGAAGGTATGCACCTACATCCATATTAAACGAAGCTGTGGGTGTCGCGTTAATGGTCCTGCTTTCCAAATCCTTATAGTGTAAATCACCGATCAAGCTTCATAAAGGATAACCACGTCCACAAAGAAGATTTTGAATAATTCTGAAATCGTCATCATTATAAACCGACAACCGCCATGTGTTTTAAACTAGTCCGTCACATAATAAATGTGTCAGAATAACTGAATAAGAGCTGATCAAGGCAACAAGAGTGCACCTGGCCTTATCAAAAAGCGCCATGACTAACCAGATTGCCAGGCAGTTCAGTATTTACGGTTATAAGAAGGACACGCCTTCAGGACCGAAATTCTAGCGCGCTGAAGCATAGGTGCACACCTATAGATATTGTATAAGGATCATATATAGATAATGTAAGTAACTGCACGGTAACTTACAATTTTATTAAATACCTCTAAAAACAATTAAATCTTACAGTTAAATGAATATTAAAACATAATACGGTACAGTAGTGTTGTTCAGTGTACCGGTATGGCTGTAGCTGATAGGTGAACAGATAACTTTCATTAACTGGTAAGATGTCGTAGTAAAAAAACAGTGTTTAAAAAAAAAATAATAATTTGCGAGTATATTTTAACAGCATTTTTACGCTGTTTTTTTGGTTCAAGAGTCTAGAGTAGGAAATTGCTACACTTGAAACAGGCCACAGTTACTCGTTACAACTTCATCACCAATGAAAATCTAATTACTGATGATATTCTGCAACTGCAGTAGAAGTATATTTGCACATATTCATCGTCCTATCACAGTCATACGAATTCAGCGATTCTGTTACTACCATTTACTGTACATACCTGAAAAACTTCAAAAAAACACAAATAAATAAATAAACGCAATAATAAATGTTACAAACTTATTTTGTCTACTCACGAAATTCAAAAAAACGGCATGGGCTACCCTAGCGATATCGAATAAATACAAAAGACTCGACAGCTTTTTAAAGCGGCACCTATTCTTCGTATGCGTTTTCAAGTGGAAATTATGGATCTTGCTTATTCTGACTTTTCTTGAGTGATTTACATACGTTGTAATGTGCTCTATTGGACTTTTTGAACAATGGTTTAATAACAAATGCTATTCCATATTTATAATGATAATGGTAGTCGTAACAAACTGAACAGCAACAAGAGTATGTTACATTATGTACGAGTTGTTTATAACTATACAGAGCATTCTCAGGCTAATCTAACCGTAAGCGGTATGCAGATACACGTAATTTGCATTTTGCACTAGTACATGCTATTAAATAAGATTAATTTAAATCTAGAAGTGAAATTCGTACTAGTACCTTCTAATTTCTATTCCATCTTGCATCAGTTGCGTGCAATGTGCATAATATTAAATAATGCAACTAAAAAAAAATTAAAATACTATAGATCTGTACTTGAGTATGACATGATTCAGTGATACATACAGCGATGTCTTGACCTTTTCTTGGGTAGGAAAGTTCCAAAGCAAGTATTTTCTCGTTCCCCTCCCCTTGGAAGTCTTTTCGCCCTCGGAAAGTTAGTTTTGTAACATTTATGATCCTCCATTGTAATACAATTTGCTAATCGTTAACGTCGGCGTACTGGTGATGCACACGTGGAAGCAAATTACAGTAAATGGAAGCAAATGTGTAAATCCTCATACTTTACATTGCGCAAATAAATAGAATACAAAATATAATCACTACTTTAACTGTACTTTGAATCCGAACTTCGCAAACAACCACTGTCTAACGCAGTTCACAACTAAAATCAAGTGTTTCAACAAAATGACACATAAGGATGACTCTCCACGAACAACTACCGGGAAATATCATCAACTACTGTAGATTTCCACAATCCGTAAATACATCGAGTTTTGAGCATGCAACCGAAAAGTTGTTAACTAATAAACCTTCCGCTACATAACTGATAAAGAGATCAAAAGCCATGGCATTAAGATGGCTGGAGCAGTAAACCATATAAATATTCATATCACCAACAAGCCAAATAATTCCTCAATTAACGTGCTCCATTCCAAACCTGAAAGACTGTGAAACGTTCTGACATAACTCTATATCCCGTGGATCTCCCCATCCCCCGTTGGGTTTCGGATTCCTTAACTTAGGCAGCGATTCAGAGGTGATCTTTTCCAGTTTATCAGGAAACAGTTGTGTTTCAACAGCGCTCACCGTCTCCTTAGCTTTTCGTACGGAATCCCGTGGATTGCAACCTTGACTATGGTGAAGACCGCCACAATCACCGATGTGCAACACACGAGGTGCCAACGGCAACAGCATCTTGTATTCCTTCTTCAGACACCGATCCGTTAGAAAATTCAAACTCCAGTCCCAGTTGTAATCGTCAACAGTGCAAAAAATTGACGCACAACTATTAATGGCTTTGTAGTGGTCAAAGTCAAAAACAATGCCAATGTTATCGCGAGCACCGGCCCATTGTTCGACAAAATATTTCCGGTAAGCATTGGGTTCTTCGGTCAGCTTCGTTTTGTGGTGCCCAATTGACAGCACCGGACATTTCGGCGCGCAGGCAGTGTCTCTCATTGCGAGAAGCCGGTCCAGAATGGAGAGTGCATCTGGGAGCACGTAATGATCCTCTTCCAGAAATATCACTGGTAATCCATTCTGAGCCCAAGGAACGTGATTAAAGAGGACGTGAAACTGCAAAGAACAGTAAGGCTCACTCTTGACTAAAAACATTCCTCATCGATTACCAAATATCAACAATGCAGTCAATTATCAATTTACCTATCAATAAACGGTACTTTAAGGGAAGTGGCCCGGTACATGGTACCAAATTCGTGTACATACACGGAAACTTTCACTTTCGCGCAATCCAAAACACTTTTTTGTTTCGGTTTATGATATTCTGTAGCCAGGTGATTTGTATAAACTGGTCTGAAAACCGTTTGTGCGCGCAACATACGGTTCGGGAGTTATGGCTGTTAGAAAATTCCAAAAAGTCTAAATGCATTCAGGTGTACCAAAAGTCTCATTATGGACCGATCTCTTTCAAATTTGGCACGTAAATGCACATGGCCATGAAGATCGTTTTTACATCGATCCAGACTTCCATGATTTTTTTCAAATTTTAAAATGAATTTTAAAATTTTTTAAATTCATTTTAAAATTTGAAAAACATGTTAGAACAGTGGATCGGTGTAAAAACGTACTTCGTGTTTATGTGCATTTTCGTGCAAAATTTGATAGAGATCGGTCCATAATGAGACTTTTAGTACACCTGAATGCATTTAAACTTTTTGGAATTTTCTTACAGCCATAACTCCCGAACCGGATGTTGCGCGCGCAAACGGTTTTCACGTCAGTGTATACAAATCCTTTGGCTACAGAATGTCACAAAACAGGATAAAAAATGGTTTGGGAGCGCGCGGAAGTGAAAGATTTTGTGTATGTGCATGAATTTGGTACCATGTACCAGGCCACTTCCCTTAACGTGCAACGGTGAAAGTTTATGGTCTTTGCAAATCAACATATCTAAGGCTACCTCTACACATTAACAGCAAAAAAACACCTTTTTATTATTATATTACCGACCAGACGTCGAAGTCCCGTTAATCGGGTTGTCTGCTCTTGATGTAATAATAATAATAATAATTATCAATAAGTGAAAAATACTAGTTGACTATGGCATCAGTAACTTAATGATGCCAAAGAAAATGTTTAACTAATACATAAGCCTAAATTTGTTACCAGAGTGAGGCAATACTGTAACTCAGCTTAATTACTTGTCAACAGCCACCAATAGCAACTCCCCAGCTTTTTTCTAGATTTCGGTACAACGACCGATCAAGAGCACTGTCTACTGTCTAGTGGCTACAATGGAATCATCTTAAAAATCAGACCCTTACCTTCCACCACCAGTGATGTTTGATTTGTGTGACTTTAGCAGTCCGATAATGCCCATAGGAATCCGGATGGTCGTGATTATTGCAACGCAGACTGGCCGCTTCAGCTTTACTAATTCTGTCTGGGCAATCCAAGGCAGACGGGCCAGGAAATTCATTAGGGTGCAGTTGTAGGGAATGAGGAAAGTATATCTGGACAATCTGAAAAATTATTGGATATGAGTGCATATGCAGATATTACCGAAAATCCGCTCCACTAAAAAAAAAGCAATTATTGAAAAAATAGCATCTTCATGTGTCACTGTCAACGACACATGAATGCACAAATCATAATTAAGCGAAAAAATGTACCGGGTGAATGGTGAAGTGATTACACACATTAAGTACTGCCATCAAAAAGGAAACAACGCAACGTAATGCTCCATCAGCGGAATGCTGCACTACTACTTACCTCGAAAGTGGTATCCGCATCCCAAACAAAATTATCGATTTGTTCATCCACAACATCATGGCTGAAGATAACAAGCGCGTCGGATATGTTGTGAGTCCCGGCTAAAGAATCCAGCAGGGCTCGAATATATGCCAACCGATTGTGAATTTGCGCCACAATCACATAGCGAAAATTCTACAAAAATAAGTCCGATTTTCAGCACTGGAGGTACATACACCATCCAGCAATAAGAGGCACCTGATGTTTTAGTAGCACGTATGATAGTGTCGTAACCTAAGGCTTGATTCAGAATTGTTATTCTGGCTTCCTTGGTAGCACTTATTTCTTTATATAGATATTTAAATAAGTTTAAATACAAGTATTGCAAGTAAAAGTAAGTACTATAGTTCTGTTTCGCAAGCATGCGTCTTCGTCCCAACCGCAACCTGTCTTCAGAAACTTTATCACGAATCGCTGTAAAACTCCATTCAATCCCAAAATATTTAAAACCGGCACACTGTAAAGAAAATTATATTTACCACATTCCGTTACTGGTGAGTGGTGACATTATTGTATAAGACCGATCAATTACCATGTCATCAGACAACAGTTACATCGCCTAGCATGTGCTTATTACGTTTGGAAGGTGTTTGCGGTATGCAACATTTATGCAGGCTTACAAGTTAGAATATGTCCATAATAATGTGTTAGCAAACAACTACAAGTCTACAAACAAACTCATGTTTAGAACAACTGGTTTTAAACTGGAAACGTCCGCGTTCTCACAAACTCACGGATAAGTGAAAAGTTTTGTGGGGTGCAGCTATGTACTTTGTTACAACAGAACGTTTATATCTATATTAGTCAATGTTTTTACAAGAATTCGGCCATAAATACCGCGTCATCATAAATACAATTATACAACCGAAATATACCCTGCCCCACGCAAAAACTTTTAAAATAATTTAATTCCGTCTTATCTAAGTCAATTAGGTTTACCTTTCTCTCGGCAGAGAGCTTCCCCAATTTTTCCAAAGCGCGAACGTTGCGATTCCCGACCAGTTTCCTTAGAGCTCGTAATTTTCTGATCTCTGACAGGGAGGTTAATGCCAACTCATCGGAGTGAGAAGCCATACTGATGTTCGCGGTCTGCTTCGGACCAACGTCGAAGAACTCTCCCAAGTTTCTGTGCAAGGTGCTGTTGTTTGTCGACAAATAGCTGGTATACAACAGCCATCCCAAAAACGTCATCACGATCCCTCCGAAAGCAAACTTCCGCAAAAAGCGGAAATTCAGTAGTCTGACGGTCATGTTATTCCCTTCAGAAGGAGATTCAGCATTGCGCCTGAAATCCAGCGTCCGGAATACCACGTCAATACTATTGTCTTATCGACTGACGACTCAAACGGCCGTGAGCCGCTACATGAAATGTACCGCTCTCGCAGTCGATATCGAGTCCGTAAAAATAGATAAGATTAACGCAAGAACCATGCAAACGATCCCGCATTACCCGACACTAAAAACCACCAAAACACACCAGTAATAAGTACCAATAACATTTACCATGCCGAGGATAGCTCAATGAGATATAACGTGGTGTAAATCGCCGCGATTCGCGAAGCCTCTTCACGAAGCTGGTAAGCTCGCAGTACAAAAAATACTTTCACTTAAACAAAGTAGCGTAAAAGAAGAAAATAATGGAAATCTTAGTACTTTTACAGAACATTTTTATTTGTCTTAATAATCTATAATCAACTCAGATTCAACTGGCAAACAAACAACTAACGTGTGCATTGCACGGAGCGCACCCACACTCCTAGCTGTTGTGGCTGTTTTTCGGCAGTCGAAATCGAATGGCTATCATGCGACACGGTCGTGAAATGGGTTGATCGCCTCGCGCGCAGCATCGTCCTTGGCGAACACTGCTCGTAAACCGGCAAGCGAACATTGCTTTTTTTGTCCCATAGCCTGCAAAAACTTTCCAATAACTGTACTTACTGTGGGTACCTAACTACCTATTATCTATCATTTTACGACTGTAATCTGTCTGTAAAGCATCAGATATTTGCCGAAATTCAATTCAAAGCGAATTTCACTCTTTAATCCACGCAGTAGCTAATGAGCGAGTTAGCTGCGAGTACCAAAATTATGTAGGCATAATTTATACTAATTATCTCGTTTATCAATATCAACAGATGAAAATTTATCAGGAAGCGAAATATCGTACTGTACTTATCGTCGTCGCCAGAGTCATGGTATACCCGCGTAGAACTTTGAGCGAAATACATACATTTTGTTTTCAGCAATGAAAAACCAGACTTACGACTTCATCGTAAATATAGATATAAGCAATATATAATAATTATTTATTGAACTTCATGCTTTAAGTAAGTACATGTGTTGATCAGTTGATGCGTGAGCAATTGCTCGTACATATCTATATTTCAAATTTGTATAAGGGGGAAAACAATTAGGTTTTATAATAATATTATTGTATAGACTGTGTCTTATGTACAGTACACTTCGATTGCTTGTACCGTTCAAAGTAGTCTTCATTAAAAGCGATTAAACCGAAACTTCTTCATTTGGACCGGTAGCACGCTTTTATCTTTAAACATGTACCATTATAAATGCAGTTTAATGCAATAACACAAAACACTTATGTGGTACAGGGGAGGCAGTAGTTTTCGGGAAAGATGGGAGGCAATCCCGAGAAATTTGTCCTTTAAATTTACTACTCGTATCACATCCGGCCTCTACTCGGTAGGGCCCACGTATCTGTACGAGGTTGTGCATGATTTACTAGCATGAGCAGTTAGACGTAACTAACAGTGTCCGCGCATAACTTGTTAAATACTGTGCTCATAATGGTTAGGTACGCATTGGTAATTTAATTACACAGGAAGATTACAATCATCACATGTAATAAACATTAAAATACCAGCAACATAAAATTTACTCTCAACTCTAAAATGTTTGGGGTTAAACACAACATTTTTCCGATAAGAAATTGCAGCAATACTTCTAGAACCAACACTTTAACGTAATCCAGAAACAGCATAAAAACTGTACAAACTACAAAAACGATTTCAAGAAAATGTCCACCAGGTGGATGTACTCATTGTTAAGTAAATTTGCGAATCGTTGACAAGCAGCTGTTGAAAAAACCACGGATTCGGATTTTATGATCATTAAGCATTCTTCGCTCGCGAGCTGAAGATCCGGGTAATGAGTCTACAAATCACTTAAACTGGCATCTGTGGTTTGGTCCGTCAAATTTCGTTCCCACCAAAGCACGGTAAGCGAGTCCAGAGTTTTGGCCGTGTGGTAAGCTAAAACAACAAAACTAATTATTTTAACGCTTAATGTTGTGATACGAGTTTATTTTATAGGACCCCAATTACACAGACGTATACTGAATAACTTTTGTCGGCTCAAGCAAAAAAATAGTTCTTAGAAAAATGGTAAATGCCCGCATAGCAGAAGCTGGCGCACATTTTGGCTTTTAAAAAAGTTGCCGCACACTGCCCGCTAAGATGTCAGCAACCAATGAACGCAAACTCACCTTACTAAAATCTTCCATTTCATGTGAGTGAGTCGATTTGTGATCAAGTCTGGCAGTTGGATTTCGCACCGAAGACAGATCCGTTTCCGGTGACACTGCCATCAGTTGCACAGTTTCTCTCTGTAAACTGGTCATGCTGGTCACGGTAGTGGCGGCGTGCAGAGCGGAAGTTTTATGAGATGGCGCACTACTGCTGACTGTACTGTGCTCATCACTTCCGTGTCCGCTGCTGCTCGACTGACTGGGCGATCGCTTACTATTCCCAGGTTGATTGCTAATACTCGGGATTTGTTTGGGATTACGCAAAGCCAGACTCGATCCGCTGTCGTGACCGGAATCGTGACTGAGGTCAGGCGATGGAGCAATGTATGTCACACTGGCTTTGCTGGGTGACGCTACCACCTTCGACGTTAGTTTACCCGTGCGCGGCTTCGACCGGGTGGTATTGAATTTTATGGGAGATAGCCCGTCGATGGACTGGCGAGGAACACTGGATGACCGGGTAGGAGGCGCCGGCGCCGATTTCTTCCGAAGCGAATTGTTTTGGCTGGCGTGTACGGGTGTGCTGGGCGTTGTCGGTTTGTACGGTTGCCATACGTCTTCAAAGGACACAGTCGATGGCAACGGCAGTGGTACAACCTGCAGCGGTCGCATCGGCTGGGGAATGTTTACGGGAGGTGATTGCGGCACTTCCCGCTCGTCCGTAAAGGATTCCGCCAATTCAACCGATAGTAAATCCAACTGTGAACTGAGATGTGATGCCAAGGTATCGAGGGCATCCAGATCTTCCAGATCCTGCTGGGAGATTCCATAATCACGGGAATTGCTGATCTGGTGCAATGACGGTTCCGGTGTATCTGTACAAATGTCATGCGTCTCATGGAGAATCTCCAGCTGCGAGACCTGCTGCGCTGCATCACAAGTATCCACCGCCATCACCGGTTCCTCCACAATCATCAGCTCCGTGCTCTGCGAAATCTTGAAATTAGTGCACAGCGCCTCGGGGCTCTCTTCCTCCGGAGATTGCAGTTCGACCCATTTCTGGATCATATCACGTTTGACGGTGTCAATGCCGTCGACGCCACCCGCCCACGGGTAACCGACGGGCACCCGCCGGGCTTGAGTTTGCTTGGTCATTTTCAGACTGATCGGCCGTATTTCGGGCATGGTTTTGGATTTGTTGATAACGGATGTTTGGGCTTCGACCGACGTTGGCTCCGTATTGGCTTCTTTGGTTTTCTTTACTTTTGGAACAATAACTTCGGGCTTCGGAGCCGGTCGCGGATGAACTACGGGCTCAATGACATCGGTGGCCATTTTGATCGGCACTAAAGGTGTTTTAACAGGAGAACCGGGTGTGAGAGTTAAAAGGCTATGCGGCACCATTTTCGGCGACGCAAGAGGTGACGTTGCTACCGACGCCCGAATTAATTTCAAATTGGGATTTGTCTGGATGCGGTTGGATGGTGGGATACGAGGTGAATCGCCTTGGAGACCGGTGCGAGCACCACAAAAGATTACAGTGGTGGCCGATGATACTTCGCTTGAGCTGGGTTCGGAGCTGGTCGACGACGAGAACATGCGATGGGAATCCGCTGATCCATATCCCACGCCAGTCTATAAAATCGGCAACACAATACAATCATGCAGAGAGGCAAGCGCAAGGAAAATGAGTCAACAAATTTAAATACTTCTGCCAAATAAATTCTTGAAATCTGAAGCAAGTCAGACGAATTTTAATTCGGTTACAATTACGTTATTATTTTAATGTCAACGTTTTTTATAAAAAAAGCTTTCAGTCGTAACGGTAGCTTTATTAACAAGGCTTGCAGTACTTACCTTACTAGTTCAACCGTTATTGTTTTCGGAAAATGACTGTGTGATAAATTAAGCTGCTGTGCACTGTTACGGTGTGATGTTAATTATTTTTTATTTTTATTTATGTTGAGAGAAGTTCTAAAACATACACAGCTCCTATCAGCACCATGCTTTTATGGAAGACGATTTAGTCGACTAGGAGTAAATTGATAATGTATTCTTTTCATGTTTAAAGGGAACTTCCTGATTAACTTTAGAATTAAGATGATCAGAAATTCATGAAATGCACGGAAGCATAAGGGATAACGTCAACGACAAACACAATCGGGGTTTGCCCATACCCTTATCCGTTTCCGGCGCATCCGATGAACACGGGAGGCCATTTGGATGACCGAGAGTGTTTCAGGATATTTGCTGGGCGCACAGCTGACATGGCACAATAAGGCTATTTGGCTGGCAACATTATTTAGTGCGTCTTTGAGGAGTTGTGTAATTTTGCTCTCCCTACAGTGGACAGACACACAAATAAGATGGCGATTTAGCCGAGGAATTGGGAAGGAAAATAAAGCCATTGACAACAGTTTTAACAGGCCCACTTGACTCACTTGCAGGACACAACGTGCTTCTGACCGTTTATCAAGGCCAAAATCACATTACCCAGTCCGGATAAGGGCATTTCGCCAGCTTGACTACTTAAATCGATCAACTGCAGACGATTACGACCGCCCGAAACTAGAACAAAAACTCCATTAGAGCACTTCTTTAAGACATTTCCGGTGACCCTTTCTAACAAATGTTTAAGGGGGCGCTCTGTACATGTACAGTACATACCTCCACCTCCCACGCCATCCTTATCTTTTCGGAACTGGTACAAGTGCAATGTAAAGAACAGATGGGAACCGGCCGATGACCCGGATTCCCGGCGTCGCTTCAGACAGGCGTCCAGCAACTGACCGGCGACTTCGGGATTGGAGGCTTGCAACTCATTGGGATTCAGTAGGGGCGACGAGTAGCGAGGATCATCGCAAAGAAATGTCGGACAAGGCTGGTCTCTGGCTTGTTTACGTGCTTCTGCAAGGCATAGCTTCGTTAGCTGTATTACCAACATGCAAATTGGGATTATTTCTGGTGATCTTGCACCGGGGTGTGCGACCGACATGATAAATCTCATGTGGGCATAGCATTTAATTTCAGCACTTTATTGGTTACTTATGAAACAGAAACAGTATTCACACAAGCTGCAGTCCTGCAAATTTACTGTTGACATTTAATTCTTCGTGCTTCCAATAGGCACATAAAAATTTCTGCAAGAATTAAAGGAAAGAATTTTGTGCTAACAATAAGCTGTATGAGAACGTACGGCTGCGGGTTCGAAAAACCATAAAACTGTATTTTATATAATGAAGCTACAAAGTTAAACGCTTGTTGGTGAAATAAATTTCTTTCTGTATCAGCAATATTAATTCAGTCATCGCAAAATTTATCCTTTATTTCGCTATTTTGCACTTAAAAATATTCTGTGTCGTTCCTTTTCGAAAATCTGTTGATGTTTACCTTCTGCCATTCCAGCTAGCAAATCCGTTACTGTTTCATGAACACCGGAAACCTCTACCGCCGAAACTCTGATAGTGAATTTAGCACCGGTTTTCTCCTTTTCGTCATTGACCAGCCGGAATAGCCAGGAGATGGCCGTAGGAATTAGACCGGCATGTGTCACACTGCTGTCGCACCCCACGACGCTGTACGTCTTTCCTACAGAAAAATCAACAAACAAATTAATGCATGTTATTTTTTAATCACAGTATGGGCAAAACAAGTGGTGTGCAGGAGCATAACACATCGATACGATGAGCCAGCCAGGGCGTTGCCCTGTGTATCGACATATGGACACTGGGTAGCCACAAGTCGTGCTCTTGTACATCAGGGCCACTAGTGGCAGTACTGTTTAGATGAAATATGGATTTCTTAATGTAATTCTGACTTATGGTAATCCAATTACGTATTGGATAAACAGTGCAATATCAACCTATCAAGTCGTTTTGACAAGCTGATTCACCAGTGCAAGCAAGCCAAGCCACAAGCCAAACTGTGCAACACGCGGCTGTGTATACATGGAGATTGCTTCTCAACGAGCTGGCATACAGTGGTCATTTCTCAACGAGTTGCGCATCTCGGATAGCATCATCTTCTTCCCCAGTCAGCAGCAGCAGCCGTGCCGGCGCAAATGTAAACTCAGATATGAAGATTTCAATATGTCGTTACATTCCATCACTGCGGCATGTCCATCAGATTATTACAAGCTTTCCCGGCTGACTATCGGTCACATTATATCCGATTTTACAGAACTCTGCCAGCAATTAAATATCGATCATCGGCGGAATTAGGAACAATGTACACAACATTATATCGCCAGAACGTGTTGGAAAACAATCTATTTTGCAGCTATAAATATTCTTGATTGTAACCGGGTCGCTAAGTCAATGTCAATGCAGACTTAAAAATTTATCAACACTTTTCCCACAGTTTTACGAAAATATTTTTGTTACAAAAGAATTTAATACATTTTGCCATAATAAAATTCTGCGTTGTTACTTTAAAATTGTACCATGTATATTGCAAAAGAAATAGTGGAGGCGAGTAAAGTATTCATGGGTTTTGACTTGGACCAAGTTTGTAATCCAAAGAAAAGGCAGATGCACCATCACTTCATGATCGCCGGAACCGAACGAGTGTTTGTAATCGCACAATCTAATTTGATGCATCATAAAACATTTGATTTCCGGTGATCTTAGCGAAACTGTCCGAGAGCACAACCACAGTACAGTGTCCTAATTTTAAAATTAGCTAAAATTGAGCTCGATTCAATGTGGAGATTAAGATTCTGATTGCTATGCGCGCCATCCAGTTGACACTAGTATACTTGACATAATTAAATCAATGAGGCTCCCAAGTTGCGCTTGATTACCAAAGAGATTTGTCCATAAAAAAGATTAACATCTTGGCTGCATATATGCGTATATGTAACACGTAGTTGTGCCGCATGTATTGTACTTACATATTTCTTCTATGGTTTAACATTACCTAATTTGGCTGGACCGAAGCTTATCAAGCAGGCATCTTGCCCGTTGACCACGGAGTGGATCAGATCAACTAGAGATGCAGAGCAGATTTCGCTCTGGGAACTATCCGGCGAGAAGATGTTATCAAAACTGAACATCTTGGGGGCCAGCGGGAGGGCTGTGGTGGAACGCGAACGCGTTCCCCCAACACTGCTGTTGCCGGACAGCATGCTGGGATCCAGTAAGTTGACTTGCTTCCGGCGCTGATCGATGGTCAACCATGAACTCCCCGAATCCTCCAGAGGCCCAGCCACCCGCAGAAGAACTTTCACCTACAAAAATACAGTCATGGCGTCGATTAAAAATATCCAAAGTCCTCATGAAAATTGACACTAGGCTTTGTAATCGACAAAAGTAGGGCGTTATTCAGCTTTCACCGAACACGCAAAACTTCAGAAGTGCAAAACAATTTCAGTTTTGGCATAAGCAGGTCAATAGAAATGCAGCTGCAAAGTACTGTAGTTATTTTACGACGTTTTGTCCAAGTTTAAGTTAATTTTTATCCTTCGGTATTTAGAAATTTTCAAAATCAATTAGTGTTTAAATTAAAAAAAATTACCTAAAATTAATATTGAGACTTTGAGATTTTACTTTGAGATAACTCGTATAAAAGCGCAATATAACAGCTGACTGAAACCGGACAGTAAATTCTGTTTTACAAATGCATTAATTAAAGCGACAGCATTGGTTTTCCCACTTTATAAGGTCTGAATGGCAAAAACTAGCGCAGTCTGAAGTATACTTATTTCAATAAAGTATGAATATTTATGAGCTGCTCACAGAGAAATAGCCGTTCCGGCCCGCACGTAGCCCATATCGCAATAGACTCAAGGGAAAATGCCACTGAGTGGACATCTTGGATATTGCGTCACGTTTCGTGTGTATTACCCAAATTTTGTTGAGTTGCCCGGCGTTTATATTGGATGATGGACTGGGTGTACATACTTACAGTGATGCACACTTGCAGGAAATATGAAGGACAGTTCATGCATTATTCATGAGAATTATCGCCTGAAAGTTGCGAGATTCCTGAATTTATTTGCGACAAGTCCTTACGGTTCCCTTCTTCCCTTTCTGCTATGGCCGAATTATAACTGGAGCAGAAAGAAATTGTGAATACTAACTGAGCTAACAAAACTTGTCCCTCAACTCTTCTTGCACGTGAAGCAACAGTTCAGTTAGTACTTTAGTAGTTCATTCAGAATAATACGTTTTTATTCTTTTGTAATTATGATAATACATTTTAGTTACCGTGATGATGTTGACACGTTATTCAACCTTGTTTTATCTACTGTGAGCATTGTGCTCATACATACGTATTTTTTATAGTTTGCTTATACACTGCATAGAAACTATTGTTGTGGTATGTGTTTGTCTAGTTGTTTGTACATAAAAACAGTATGTCAAATTGACAATAAAAGATGCGCCTGGGCATATGTAAATCTGATGTTGTCCGATCATTAACCAGGGCACGGACAGTGGTCAGACCGACAATTCTGTAGCTGATCCCAAAATAGCAATGACTAAATCCATACAAGACAATTGCGAAAATCCTTCCTGTGTTACTGCCGGAAACAGGAATGGCCGTGAATAAATTACTCCACTATCATGCAGCGGATTAAGGCTGGATAGTTAACGAGTAATACCCGGGTTAGGTCTGTGCGGAGCAGCGTTACACCAATTTGATATTCATCCCCCGAACTAACGCATTAACAGTCAATGCCATTTATCCATCATCTCCATATGAGTTTAATAGGCAGAGCATTCTTACGAATTACTCCCATACCACAACAAAATATTATACAGTGTGACCACTGATGACGCGCTTTTCACTTATAGCCTGGCGGAGGGAGATGTGAAGGCTAATCACTAATGGTATATCCCGTCCGAACGATATGATTCAGAATGCCATTACGGCACCCGGAAATGGCAATGATTGAGAACAACTTGCTGCCCATAAAGACAAAATGCTTTAGCGGCAGCTACATACAACCTATGTACGGTTGTTTGCAGTTAGTAATTTTTCGATTTTTTTTATTTTGAATAAAACTAAATGAAATTAAACTTCATTTGTCGCAAGGTTCTAAACAACAACCTACTCAAACGACATAAAGCATAAATTCTAAAGACACGATATTTTTTTGAACTCGTTAATCTGCTTAAAAGTCGATTACCTTCCCGGGGCCACTCTCCGGTTTTCTGACTGGATTCCGCAGTAAAAGCGGCGGAACAACCGGTGATTCCATGCGCAACAAGCGATAAAAATTGGTAAAGTATGTTCCATTGCGGCAAGAATCCATTTTTTCGTCAGGCGGAGAATTGCTGTGATCAGTCGTGGATATGGCTGAATTGCTGACAAACTTGATGGAATCCGGTAATCTCCGCTTTTTGCGATTACAACTGCTGGCAGATGATAAATGAGGAGAGCTGACCGTGGATATCATTCTACAAGCGTAAGGATACCGCACGGATTCTGGTAATCTGCAAAGTAATCAGTAAATCATGATCCAACGATACGTTAGAGGTTATTTGTATATTGCTTTATGTAACAGTAAGTACTTATAATTCTTCGACGGCTGGCATCAAAATTTTACGGATGGCCGGGTGGAATTGAGAATTGTTTAAACTGGAAAACAGCTCTTAAAACCGCTTAATTAATCTTTGTGCAAAGCCTTGCACTTTGAAAATTTTGAAAATAACGTTTTTCGGATAATACGAGGGAATTTTTTTCGTATAATGTATGCGCATTAAACACAAACAGGTACTAATATATTCTGTAATATTTTATTTTTCAGTTGAGCTACAACTGTAACAACCAGTCATAGTGCATGAAAATACACTAACAACTTTAAACTGCATGCTGGCGGATGCATCTTCCCTTTAGCCACAGGGATCAATCACTTGTCGTAATTGAATCGTTTACGATATCTATACTGACTACACACATAAAGTGTATGCACGTGTTGCAAAACACCAGATGTAAATGCTGCGCACGAAAGATGTTTTTCAGACGCCGGTTTATCTGAACATCAGGGAGAAAGCTGGTTATTATTACTGGAAAATAACGTTATGGATACAAGATCAATCTGTTCATTTTCGGCTGGTTAGTCTGCTGACGTTTGAGAATAAACTTTTTGCTTAAAAGGGTTTTTCGTTGCCCCATGACGGTAGCCGGCGAACTAAGTTACTGACCAAAAGCACAACAGACCAGTAACCCGGCATGCGGCGACACTTCGTTTCCATAAGAAAACATTTCTGACCATGGACTTTCTTCAGTACGAAGAAGAAAATATGATTATTCTTAGTTCCAGATTATATGGTACTTTGCTAGTAAGCGACTTTTCAGCATGTCACGGTCATATAGTTTCCGAACTGTAACGCCCTTTGCCGTTAATAATTTATGCTTCCGATAGCCAGTTGATTATTAAAAAAATCCATACATTTTATATTAATTTTTGCAGTAATACAAACTTGCAAATTAAGTAAATAAATTTGCTCTTCCATCAGCGGCTGTAATTTTAAGGTATTCTAGCAGTAACGAAGGAGGATGGCATGCTAGTACGCATGTAATAACGTTATTTTACTGGATTTAACTTATTGCAGAAATAAGTATTCATATCAAGTTTTCCACTAAGTCAATTAATATTTTTCACTCCATAACAAAGCTTCTTTTGAAGCTCGGGTATAATCTTGATCAGGTGCAAAACGCAAAGGCAAAAGGATTAGCACACCGTGTAATTTACTGCATTAATCCTACAGTACATGTTTCCTCTCACGATCGTACTGGTATCCAGTAACAGCAGGGAATAACTTGTTCCTGCTAGCAAACATCCATTAGTATTCCGTAGGTTTCTCGTTGGTAGGCATTCTGAACCAATACACACATGTATTTTAACGTACAGAGTACAAGATATTGTTTGTCCAACGTCTGCATACGCGGGTTAAATGTTAAATATTAAAAAAATCACGCAAAAATTCTCATAGCATCGAGCATCTATCGAGGGTTCTAAAATTATACGAGTACATTACAGATCGTCATCAGCAGAATTTATCTTGGATCGTTTTGTCTGGAGGCGCCTTGAATGCAGCAATTTCACCTGATTAGACCTTTCGTCTTCCCTTAGTCTTTGTGGCGCCTCTAAAAATTATCAATTCATCTTCTAACCACTCTTCCTTCTTATTTGTTGAATACCATGTGTACATACATACTTAAATATATTTCTGGCGGAATCAGTTCAATCCACTACAATTCCTCAAAAATACGCAGTGCATTTTTCGGATGCGAAAATGTTTACGAATAAATGTGAGGACCTGAAGTCCCTTTGGGGTTGTCTGCTTTTGTGCCGTAATAATAATAAATAACAATATCTTAAATCTTTATAAAAAATGCCTGTCTCAGCGCTTGTGTCAAGAATAGCAGGAGAAAAACTATTTGCCTTATCTCTTAAACTGCAAAGAATGCATGCGGCATCGTTTAAATTTCAAGGATAAACATCTCTTTATTATCTACAGACTACAAACACATCCCAATAGCAAACGGTCTACATGGTATCTACATGTTAATAAAATTACCAGTTAATTACGACCACAACCAAATTTTTCCACCCGGTAAGGAGTTCATAGCGTGAACTGAATGCTTTCGAAAAAATTCTACACCACAAGATATTTTGGAAAAATCGCACAACTCAAGTTTTGCTTTTATCTAAAAGTAAAAAAGCGAGAAAAAGTTTGAGCAAATTTATAAGTTCTTACACTCACCGCTAAAATAAAACTGGGAGTTGCCGGAATTAAGTAAACCACCCCATCATATACAGATACAACTCGGATTCGACACTGTTTGATTACTGGGAAGCACAAGCGTATTAACAACCATTTAACTCCATCAGGGTTTTATTCTTTAGGTTATAAGTGCAAATCCAAAGAAAAATGACTGTAAACCAACATCTTGAAACTGACATCTTGGTCTTGCATCGTAACCACCGGGATGTAGTTGATGTAGAAACTGGAGAGCATGCAGAATCTACGCTCGAAATGGTTATACCGTATATTACTGGCCCCGCCTTGTTGACCACTCCAGCCAACTGCCTCACAATAGCTGGGAATTGCTTTCGCTACTGTTCATTTGTGTAATCTTATAAATCCCGATTTCTAATCGCAGAGAGGTATAAAAATGGATATATATAGTAATTATTAATTGTTAGTATAATTAGAATGACAACAGTAATATCAGCATCCCGTAACTACCACAATAATAGCTACTGTACCTACACTCTCTGCAAAAGTTTCATGTGTGCTGCTATACAGACTAATACAATCCTGTACTTTTACAGCAGTACAAGCTGTCCAAAAGTCCACTTTCCGCACAAACCGGCTAGCAAGATATGTGCATCTACCTATGTACTCGTATATGAATTGTATAATTGCTCTAGGTAGGTATTTTATTAAACTTAATCTAAAAATATTGAAAACAATATTCCAGTTGCTGCAATTATTCACATTTCTTTATGTTTTATTTTTCATCAGATAAGTCTGTGGCACATTATCTGGGCGAATTCAATTTATAACTGTCTGGTGTGTATAAAAGTTTAATTGTTTTCAGAGCCAATGTAAATCAATATCATGTGGCATATCAGACGGGTCATGGTGGTCAGTTGGTCAACGCGTTCCGCTGGGCTGACTTTACCAAATGGACTTGCTTGATGCTTGTTCATTAGAAGGGAAACTTTGTTTGACCAGCCGAGATGACCACAAACAAATTATAGCCACAAAGCCTTATTCATCTAGCCAGTCAGTTTGACTCGCTGCGCATGCTCGTGCGTCTCAAGTGTCCACATGCGCGACCAGTACAGATGATCTAAACAACGCTAATTTAATTTAAGGAAGTTCTGCAGAGTTACAGTACGTCACTACTCCTTACTAGGTCGGGTTAATCCTTTAGATCGTTGCAGTTGTTGATTAGTGTTTTCTGTGGTCGGTATAAACGAATTTTTTATTCTTTTAAAAATTGTTTTCCCGGCCGCAAGGTGAGTAGAAGTACATATACGAGTACCTGTAAAAGTCCGGAATTTTTTAAATTCAGTTGTGTGAAATTTACCCTTTTTTTCTGACTACTCCATGAGTAAATCTCTAGTTTGCAAACTTGGCTTCTTAATAATAATTACAGAGGAAATCATAATTAGCTGTATCACAGGCACACCTAGTTCCCGATGCGCTCAACAAATAGTGGGGTCGGATACGATAATTTCCGGTTCAAGGCGCACGAGACACATAAAGGTACAATCAACCATACCCAGCAATATACCAGCGCATTATTCACCGACCCCAGCGTGGAAATGCACAAAACTTAAGTAGAAGCCAGTTAAGAGCGATTAGTGCTACTGATTACAACTCTAAACGATGTCCAAAGGAAAGATTTAATGAAGAATTATTACTGTCGTGCTCCGGACAGTGGGTACTATTAGGGTGCAGGCACAAATGTAGGTAGACACATTTAAAAGAAAAGCAGGCATTCTGACAATGCCATCCATCTTAAGAGCGCACAGATCCTTTTCCGATTCACTGCGCTTGCCGTGGCCCTCCCTTGATGGATGATGTTTTCGTGCGCATAGTGATCATCCTCCTTCTTATCAACACAACTTCAATGTCGTATTACTTTGTAATTTTCTTGAATATTAAATCCAATTAAATGGAAACATTGGCCTTTGTAAAGACTGGCATGGAACAGTGCGCGCTGCCTGTCAATCGTAAGTGTGAACACGAATAGACGTTTTGTTTGGGGAAGTGTATCGTACAGGTGAGAATGTGAATATCAGAATTGTTTGTAAATTTCTAAGCATTTGCCAGCCTATTTATAGGGAAGCCGGTCGGATACAATTTATCAGTTTCCGCATAATGCTACTGTCATGATGCTCCTGTCGGACGCCATGGAGGCCATCGGCTGGTCAAGCCCATCCTCCCTTCTAAACTGCCCGGCAATCTGAGATGAAATTATTGAATGCCGATAAATCCCCCATCATCACAACATCGTCTCAAGTGTGCAATCACCGACAATGATCTACAATTCCCTTGGAATGACCGCAGCGAGAAAACACATCTCTGTACCATTTTTGAAAAAAAAAGTGAACGCGAGTCTTTTCCAAATTATTGAAAGGCAATAACTCAAGTGAAAGACCTTTACAGAAAACACAAAGTACAAAAAATTTGGTTCTCACCCACTTCTTGTAGCAGTAAAAAAGTTACATTTTTGTCGCATTTTGTTATAAAGTTACCTCTGTATTACTCTCCATTTTGAGTCTTTATTTACTACGTAGCTGAAAGATGAATATCAGAGGTACAAAACCGCTACTGCGGGAGGTAAGAGAGCGTAAGTCAAAGCTTTTTTATGACCTAGTAAAGAGACCGCCAGCCCGCGCCTGTCATTCGCATCTGGATTGTTTCTCACCGTTAAGTCAATATTTCCCAATTCAAAATCATATCTAAATTTATTACTTTCACTCTCAACTACGCTTTCGCCTTGAACACAGCACATTTTTAATGCATTTCCACTTCTGGCCACCTCCTTCATGTCCTCCTGCGCAAAGTATCTGTTTGCCTTGCGTCGGCATCTCTAGCGGATTTCTCTGTGTTTTCGCAATAGGTAGATACATTTTGGTGAGAACAGCACATCTTATCATGTATCATTTATCTGATGGAATCTAAACACATTTTCCACCCTAGCAGAATAATTTTCAGTTTGCCGTTTTTATAATAACACGTTTTCCGTAATATTGCACACAACCGTATACGAGTTTATATTGAAAATAATTACCGCCTTAATTTTGACAGCCGGAGGAAAAAAGCTTTTTGTGTTCAGATCCTAAAATGACTACGTACCTCGTACCTATAATAGACGGCGGCAGTGACTCCGAAAAAGCCAGAGCGTGCCATTAATTGCGATTCATACAGCTTCGATTTGTGATAGCGAAATAAAAACTTGATTGCTTGCCATTTTGACAGCTGCATTATACTCCGAGTGCTGTTGCCACTTTTCGCACAATCAAGCATGACAAAATAAAATCTAACGAAGATGTCAAAGATATACAACTGCAACTGCTCCAGAATCTATATCTTCACCTGCCGATGCTTCTTGAGGCGGCAGCAGTGTATATCCCACTTCGCAAAAGGATTGTCAACCATACGTACCAAATTTTTGACCACCTTCCAACATCTCTCAATGCAGTATTAAATTTTACCACTAGAAAATAGTAGAACTGAAAAAACGTACGGTATCACATATCAGTCGTACGAAACCATGTAATAACTACCATGCAAATATCTTACCATTAGCCAAAGTAGGGCGATCCGTACGGTATACGCACAGGCGGCACAGTAAACAAAATTTATTCGCGTAATAACTTAATAGTTATTACGCGGGCTGGCTCATTACTAATAAGCCAGCCTGCAGTGCAAACGTTAAAGATTGCTACAAGCTAGTAGCTAGGTGTACATCCCTTATACACCTTGCTACCAGTATTTATTGCGCACACAGAGATGTTTATGTGTATGTTATTAGGCCCGCACAATATCTGACCGATGGTGAGTGACTTGAAAGATGTGTGAAATAAAAAAATGCTTGAATTATCCCAATAATTTACTGTAGACCGACGCATACGTCCGCTTGTGAAAGTGGAACTAACAACATTAATTATTGCTGCTCAGCGTACCTGTTCAGTAAGAAAAAATCTGGTTGAGCCATCAGGTAGGCGCCGCCATTGATATCCGTTTCCTCAACATTCCTTTCATACGTCGGATAATGACAGGGCATCTTGTCCAGCAGCGACATGCGCAGGCGGTAATCCGTTGTAATCAAAACGCGTTTATACGAGTACCAATACGTCTACGCGATATCAGGAATCCGCCAGACTTAAATTTTTCTTATGTATGCATCCACCAGTAAAGAAACTGGTACAACGACTTAGCGGCACACAAATGCTCCCACCAGCAGCGATCAACAGACACGCAACGTTTTGAGGCAGATTTTCAAAGTTGCTTCCTGAAAAATGAAAATTCCCATTAGGATAGCCGGCAACTCAAGTATAATAATAAGTGATGGAAGAGTGTCAACATGAGTCAGCATATAAGGAGTCTGAATGAGAACAGAGTTTCGTCTTCCTCTCCCGGATATTTTTATAAAAAGAGCACACAACTGTCCACCGTAAATTACGAGTATGTCTTTTCGGCAGTCATATAACACAGCACACTTGCTGAAAGAACCCCTATTGCGGCGTTTTCAGTCAAAGCAGTGAAGCTGAACGGAACATTCACCATTATTTCGTTTTTCCTTATACGCACCAATATATAATGAACGTGAAATTCGAGCATATACAATATTTAATGTCAGACAGCTACATAACTGCACGCTACACGCATAGAGACCCATTTTAATGCTTCTTTAGCGTGCTTAATCATAAGGAAAATTGCGCAAAATTTTCTTCAATTACTGATGCCAGCGCGCAACCGTATACACGTTTTTTACCGCGCGATGCTTGACCAAACAGCAACGTGGAAAAGTCAACACTTGGATGTGCGCGGTGTCAAACATGTTCGTTGATTAACAAAGCGAAAGTCATGCTTAAGAATCAGCGCGTAAGATGATATTATACTTTCGGAAAGACGTGTTGCGTAAATGTTATTTTTTGCACTAGAAATGAGCCGGTCTAGTATTGATTTTTGTCAAGTATTCTATTAATATCGCCCGTACTTGATAGGCAGTTAAACGCAGGTCAAAATTTTACCAGGTGCATGAAAAGGTTCAGTTTGTGTCAGCAATTTGAGCCGGCGCAATGTTTATCTGCTAATTATAATCGATCTCGGTTTTCTGTTTGGATAGGATGCTTAAAGATTCCCCTGAAATCTTTGGACATGCGTTCAGATGCCCGCCAGTTGAAGACCGGTCAACGAATGCACAAGCGATAAGAAAGATTTAGACTACAGTAGCTCGCGAAACCAAGAAAAACTTTTATTTTTAATTTTATAAGCAGCCAAATTAATATTTTCTGAAACTTCAACGGTTCTGTCAGTTAGGATTTACAAAGATTCCTTCGAAAATTACTCTTAAATAATAATTAATAAGCAGACTCGACTATTTTTTACCTACAAGGAGTGATCAAAATCAGAATCAAATCAACTCGAATTCTTCGAAGGAATTTGATCTAACTTGCAGACATCTGAAATGTAAATGTATCGTGGATATCAATATATCAATAATGGGCAGTGCAAATTGTAAGTTGCTATCTATCTGAAATTCGTTTTTTAAAAATTTTGTCGGCTTTGCAAAACTGTTGGCGATTAGCATTTAGCTGCATGTGGAAAGCGCCCTTTCTTATTTTTATTAAAATTTCATAAATTGTAAAAGATTGATTAAACTAAATAAATTAATGAAATACACTTTGTAACCATAACCAGATTGCAGACGTTTCGCACCTTGCGCAAGCAGTTATGTTATGCGAAACCTCTGGTTCGTATTGTTATCATCTGTCAGAGTGTACCGTTGCAACTGTCAAACATTTTCTGCGTCAGTCAATATTTATAATAAAACATTACCTAACCCAAGTTCGTCTGCTTTGCATAGAAAAATCAAAAGCAAATACAGCGTATCGGCTTTCTATTAAAGCCGGAAGCGGTCATATTATAAAACTTTATATCCCATTTTAGGGTTGGTGGCTTCACAATTCGTAGCCTAATCATGATGTAATTATTAGTACGAATTTTTTTCCAAAAGCTGCTTTTTATGCAGATGCGATACTGCGAACGCTTGTGCAGTTGCGCTTTCCATCCATTGTAATTTCGAACAAAGCAGGAGCAGTAAGTGTATATGGACTAATCAGTAGTCGTTACGCTAATAATAAAGAGGAAACAAGTGATGGATCTAATTTAACTAATGGTAAAGAAAAAAATTCTTAGCCTGAGCAGTCGCGACATTATTAACTTTAAATACGCTGCCTGAGCCCGTTAACTACAAACTTACCAGCAGATCAGGATCAGATTAGTCCGCTCTTCAACTTTCCGAAACAACGAACAAGCTGTGTTCTGAAAAATTTCGTGCGAACATATTAACCGCATTTTATTTAGTCGTAATTTATTTCCAAAAGAAGCCGCTGAGTAAACAAACATTGGGGCACCCAAGTTATACAGAATACTTCAAAGCACAAACGATCGCTTCCCAACTTTCATGCAAAGTTGCAAGCCGGACATTCAAAATTATTGGTAAGTACTTAATAGAAAGCATACGACTCGGTACACGTTTAGGTGGCCGAACTGAGCTGCCGGCATAAAGGTAATCTTGTCAGCTTGTACTGCCTGCGTATGCCCGTACTTATAATACAGTTTGTTCAGCCTCTTTCCGGCCTGTGACCGCCCAGTCCGGCAAGTGCCGATTCTGTCCACTCAGCAGAAGAATTAACACAATTATATTTACAAATATAGTGCAATATATTCGGCAAAGCACTGATGCGGGCTTAGTAGGGGTTTTTTGTAAAATGTACACATGTTCCGTGCACTGTCGTTCCTTACTTAATTAAAAGAAAAGTACTTATCAGAAAGGTTTTAGAAAATGATAGACCATTAATTAAATTGTTGCTTGGAATCGCAACCGTAGCTGGAATCTGTATAAGCGCACTTTGTACCCTTGCATGTATACTGTCTGCAGCCTGTACAAGTGGTAAAAGGAAACCTGCCATTTAATGCTGTTCGCACCTGCCATCTAAATCAGGCTTAAGGTTAGTGAGAGCGTTTAGTGACCAAATACTCATATCTGGTCACTAAAAGAAAACTGCGCATGTCAGATGTGAACTTTAATTAATTCTCTGGACGTGGACTTCATTACTAACGATCATTAGCTCAAGTCGACGATTAAGAAACCTGGCTGTGGTTGGCTCGTTTGAACGGTAACACAAAAGTCAAGAGTGAGCACCATACAACCAAACAAAGCGCACCAGAAACAACTGTCGCTAATGTCGTCAAAAAGAATTATTCATCGTTTATTCCCTGCAAGAGGAGGGAACATAGTCCAGTATGCAAGTAGTGCATAGTATTGTCATAAAAAGAGCGAGATAATGCAATCATTAATATAAAGCGTAACTTCCCAGATATACTCATAACTCAGATGCAGACGCGTAGTGAATGGAAATTTGGTTAACTCTTACAGCAGATCTCATCCTTTAATGACGTCCTGGCTCTGCGGTCCATTGTTGACCATTAGTCTACTAAATGCAGACTGGACAATAGAGGGGAGATAAGGTGAGGTCTATGAACATCTGTTAAGGATACACAGTGCAAACACCGAACAAAGCAATTCAAGAGGTCATTTGTGCAAATTGATTGGAAATGTTATCGTGCAATGGGTCATAAAAACAGGCGTCTAGTCCTGTCTTGTGAACGGGCTGAGTGCGTGCACTTAAGTGCACTTTTATATGTTTTTGGTAATTGTCGAGATATTCAAATGAGATAGGATTAAGTCCTCCCAAAATCAGGCCAATGCTTAATATAACCGCCGGTTAAAACCGAAGAATAATGCTAGCCTCATGATACATCGAGCCGGAGCATTTCTTAGAATTAAAAAAGCGAAGCATGCGGGAACACTTGTTTTCGAACAGCTACGATGTTTACTGAACCTATAACCTAAACCGACATGCTTCTTGCAATTGCCGCTTTGCTGATATTATTAACTATTAAGTAAAAGTACAAAACTACATTAAAAGTCAAATATGAAGTAAGAATGCACGGATATGAGCGTGTGTGTATATTTCAGGAAATAAAAACTGTTTCTGAATAGTACCATTTGTTGGATTTATAGCTATTTACCGCTCGAACTCTATGTTGCCGTTGTGCGTTGAGATAGTTATCACTTATCCATATCATATCATATCAGCCGAGGCCCACTGTCAAAATAAAGATGTCACTTCATCCGAACATCCAAACTGCTCCTGACCAGAAAACAACTTTGTTGCAGTGAGAGCGACACAGCAAAGTTACTCGTACTAGTTTTATCGACTTTCCGCCATTTTACGGCTTGCACTGGTCCGGACACGGCGGAAAATTAATCCATCCGATGAAGCAAGATATTGTTCGTGGACAACAAAGAAACACAGAGGAGCAGGGAAAAAGCCATTCCCATAACTGACATGTGTGGTGTGATTATGCGAAAGACGCCCTTGACTGAACCCTGATTACTATTTTCGCCCAGTCGACGGCCATCAAGTTTCACGCCTAGACAATAGGAAGTGTTGCATGCTATGGTCTTTTTCCCTGCTGTACAGGCCGGAAACATGCGTCGGGGAGCTGTGGGCTGATGCGTTGATTTGATTAGCCAAAATAAATAGATATGTGCCAAGATGAATTCGCAAATTGGCGTCCTCTTCGCGTGCATTGATACTGGCCAGAGAAAAGGGGGCCTCGTGGCGCATTATTCAAGACCCAGCAATAGATTACAATTAGGATTATTATAATGCATGGTCGTGGGTCTGATAAGCATCGCCCGACGATATGCCACTGCGCTTTGTGTATGGCCACCGCGAACTGTTTAATTCTATAAATCGCAGTTATGTTTCAAAATTGCGGGCTTGAGGATATTAACAATAATGACCGGAGTTAAAGCTGTTTCGCTAAAGTTATGCGCGTTAGCAATTTCGATTTATGCAATGAACTGTCCACTAAAATCATGTTGTAATGAACACAGTTTTTTTTCCCAATTCAGTTTGTAATCTTCGTAATACTGTCTCAAGGGCAATGCATAAATTCCATCCGGCAACAGAAATTTAGGTGGGCATGCCTTATATAAAAAATCTGCTTCCATACAACTAACAAAATAACTTTATCGAGCGCCGGATAAACTCAAACCACTACTGTACAGTAAGTAGTATAAATTTATAGACAGATCCGCTACTTCTAGAGTAGACGTAGACGTCTGATATATCTGCAGAGCATGCAGATACATCATACATGCATATTAAACGCTATCGTAACAAATGCTATCACAGGTAGAGAATTTTGTCCTTATCGAATATCCGGTCAACCGGCGGCGAGTATGAGCAATGCAAACTTCTTCGTTCCGGAGAAGGCGGACTGGACTTTTGGTATCCCATCTGCTGCAGATGGGGTCGTGAATTGGCGGAACGCTTCAAAGTAAGGCTGCGTTCCCCGAAGGTATCATCATCACCGATAATGGACCGGGAACCAGCGTGATCACCAGCATAAATGCCGTGTTTAGGGGGAAATTTCTCTTTGAGACAGGGAATATTCGTCAAGAACTCTACGTTTCGCCAGATTCCCATAGAGTACAACCCTGTTCAAACACAAAACGTTAAATACTGTCCATACATGATCCTCGTAGTCGTACATATAACTCGATGACCGGACAAAATTTTGAGCCAAGTTTCACTGGCTTTGAGTACTGGTTTCTGTGCTCACGTATTTATTAATTTTATTCGTGTAATATAGACACATATGACATTATTGTACATATTACCAACATATTGCCGTAAACTTTGATCGGGTGTCGGTTATAGTGTCGCTATTAGCGTGTATTGTGCAGGTATACCTGACTAAATATAGATATAAGGACGACAGTAGATTGGTAGTGAAAGGATGTCTCCAAAAAAGTATTTACGAAGCTGGCGAGAGTGTCTCGATACCCCTCTTCTTGTATTTATTTGAAACATGTACACTCCGACGGTATAACTATGGTTTGCGCCGTTTTTACGTAAAACGACTTTAAATGTTTTACGCTTTGTTATAATTTTAATCCGCGTTTTTAATGCGGTTCGGGGTATTTCGTATATTCCAGCGTTAGTTGCCAACTCGCTCCTTGGCGCTATATGAAGGGTGGTTACCATTCAAATGAAAAGGTTATACGTACAATGTTATCATGCAACGCTATTAAATAAGTTACTTCGACAGTCTGTGTCTGAAAATAAATATCTGCATTCATTAAATTTTATTATTTCAAAAAGCGCAAAAGGAGTGAAAGGCTTAAATATGCCTTCCTTTTGTATTATGTCTTACTGGCAAAGCGACGTGTGCAGTTGTCAACGTCAACATAAATAAAATGTTAATAAGTAAAATTTTTTCCGGTAACGATTCTAAGGGTTTTTCGTGCATTTAGTAGAGCAAGATCGAGATATGCGAAAAGTTGTTAGAGGGTTCTCAAAGTAAAAACCGGATTCAATCTGCCGATCTGCCGTGCTATCATTTTGTGGTTTTATTACCTGCATCCACCTAATAATGGTATAATGGTAACTGGTAAGTTTGTTGCACACGATGAATATGTGTATATGTGCTTACCGTAAACGTAAGGATTCATGACACAACTGGACACCCCAAAAATAAAGAGGATCTCTTGAATCAGTTGATCTACATGTGCTGCTGTTGACCTGCAGGAAAAATCTCATTACTTGATTCGATAATTGACTGTACAAATAAGTTAAGCTACTAAACTGCGATCGAAATACGATTACTTGTAAAAATATGAGCACATTATAAAAATGAGCACGTTTGCTCATTTTGAATAAACTTACACAATAAATTTTGTGGTCGTTTTTAAAAGTGGATTCTAAAAACTCATTCGTGCGAATTACTTGGATGGATGAAAATGTTTAGATTTATTCAAATTAAAACAACAAATTGTTAGGTACTTACTGGTCGAAAAAAAACCACAGGTGTATTATTTGATAAGGCGTCCAACACACGACGAAGATTCCAACGATTAAAACTGCAAATAACGCACGAATAAGCAGCAACAGAAAGGACCAATCAAAATAAATTTTTCGGTAAATTTCATACAGGTCATTTTTAAGGTCCGCTTTTTTGCTTTGGTCAGCTTTTCTGTATTGTTTAACCTGAACGATGGCGTGGCACTGGATCTTCCGTCCGTGGATGGTGGCAGGGTTCCTGCACATTGTAAACAGTGGAAATTATTCGGAATTAATAGTCGAGTATAAGATAAGCACTTTGCTACCTACTGTACGGTATTTGGCAAAAAGTTGCAAACCAAAGTTTAGTGGAATTTTCAGGTCTGTTAGTCTGTCAAATTTGCATAAAATTTTACCGTTTTGGACGGGATTGTTGATAATATTTGCCCAAATGCCCAGGTAGCATATCAAGGTGGTCAACAACGGCAGACCATAGGTCAGCATCATTATACCCAAACCGTAAGCTTTTCTTGCATACTCCGACGAAAATGACCCGAATGTTACGCACTATGAGGAAAAACATTTGTATTATGAACAATCCTTCCAGTGATTTAGTGTATTCTGTAGAAAAAAGTTTTGAAATATGCGAAATTTTTGTTACCTGTTGGTACCAAGTGTGGTTTGGATGGGAAAGAACATGCCAAATTACAGCCTACAAAAGAGTGTAATTACGCTATGTGACAAAATTATTACACTTTTCCACTTGTTAGATGTTTGGGTATGTGGAAAAGATAAATAGAAAGTGTTCTGATTTTTGCATTATAACAAATGTTGGCTATTCTAGACCAGCTGGACTCACTACCATATTAATTTTTCACACACTTCAAATGGCAATTAGGCATACACCACCGATTTAGACCAAAAAGCAGTAAGCGCCGGATATAATCGAAGCAAGCATAATTATAAAACATAAGAGCATCCCAGACATACTATAGTAGGAAGTAAGAAGTACTGTATTTTTCAATAGAAGTATACATATACAACTGCACAAAACCTTAAATCGATCAGTAGTTACAGTGTTTGCATAACGTGCAGCCATTTGCGGCGTGCGTAGAAAGTACTGGTTAACTGAATTTTACCTGGGGTGCTGCGCAAGCTATACTTAGTATCCAAGCCAGGAAGATCATGATACGGGTTCGCTCACCGGCTAAAAAATTAGAGGGACAATATTATTGCTCTGACGCAACGTAATTCTTGTCTTCGGCCTGAAGTTTAATGTTGCATTATTGCGAACAACATGGCAGTAATTTACCGCGGCGAACGGATGATAGAGGATTGGCAATGGCCAGGAAACGGTCAAGGCTGATAGCAATAATTAGAAGCGCACTTAGGTACAAGCCAAATACTCTCAGGCAGGATAAGATTCGGCACATGGTATCCCCTCCCATCCATTGCACCGTGCTTTTCCATGCAATCTTTAAAAAACATCAAATAATATAGCACGGGGAAAGTTTTCGTGTAAGAGATATAATATGACATTAAAAATTATTTAACTGCCAAGTTCCGTACGTGGAGCAAACATAAAATACAGAACTGCAGTATGTACTGCTAGTCAGTAATATTAATTTTCAGTAGGTAGATTTGAATCGGATAGAAATATTGCGGTATCATATTTTCATTTGCGAAAACCTAAAACTGTAGTGTTTATTTTATATGTATCACAATGCTGCATGTTACTGGAAAATTTAAAAAACTTTTGTTGAAAAAGGTTCCTTGTGTCTAGAATGTAATGGAAACGGAACTCATGGTACGATTTTCTCTTAAAAAATTTTTATACATTTTAGTTGAGAATAAAAAATTCCCTAGAAAATTACTTTGTTGTTAACGCCAGCGTCAGCGGTCCAGTAATGGTATAATACGAGAAGTCTGCTGAAAAATTTTAAAGGAGTCATTTCTCTTCGTGTGTTTAAAAGGGCATTTTATTCTGCATGGTGCTATTATTGTACATGTGGGTACGAAACCTTTCTCTGTAGGTTTGCGTTTCGGTAAAACAAACATTCGTTCCATTTTTCCCGTTCACGTTTCTATGACAAGCGTTTAACGCACAAACACACACAAATGGTTGATACGAATCAATATATCGGATACCGATGAACAATTAATATCCGTCGACTACTGAATGAACCGAGATGATTCGCACTATCAATAGTTGTATGCATTCGGGATACTGCGCCGTCACAAATCGAGGGTGTTTTCGTAAGCCATTTACCACTGTTATTTATACATCTTTAAATTTTTTATTTATTTAACCAGGGCTATCTTCTTCCTGGTTAATGGAAGGATGTAATGCGCTTTAATTTTCAGTTTGGATTGCATTCTTCTTCCGCCTCTCGCATACCACGACGAAACACGCTTTTGTGTACTAACAAAATACTGTCTCGCCATTACTGTTTACAAACGGAAAGAGCTCCAGACTTCATTGTTATAGCCGTTAATGACACCGATCAGTTGCTCATCCCGATTAGTACTGGCAGTAGCACTAGTAGACGACGATATGCTAGTAAGAAAAAATTAATATCTCACTGCGAGTACTAAAAGCCATTAAATAACTTCGAATGACATTAAATTTTTTTAAGTATTCGTAGTAATGTATTTTTTCAAATAATAACATGCGTATTTTAATCACTATATTGCGCCAACGTGCACAAATAGTAAAATAAGATTAAAATTTAAAGTATGCCACATCTGGACAGTCATACCCGTCATGGCTATAATAATAAGTCACGAAATGTCTTATTGGCAAATTTTAATTTATCCCTGAATTTTTATGGATGTCGCCCTTTCAGCATCCAAACTGACAACGAAACGTCGTGACCTTGAATTCTACAAATCGTTTTGTAGCCATACTAAAAGCATGTGTGTGCTTGCGTGGATTTTATAAAGAAATCAGTACTTATTGTTGCAGTAAATGCATATGTACGCTGTAAGGACTGTCTGCGCTTCCAACTGGGATTAATCATGAGTCGACGAGTGCAGCAACACGTTAATCTCGAAAAACTCCTAACATTAATGGGCAATTTGCAAGTAGATCGCAGGGTGTTCGTGTTTGAGTGACAAATCCTTTGACAAAATGGGAAGGTTTTATCTGGATTAGAAAGCAGTACATGTACGATTTCGTTGGACTTGCGTGCAATGCTTAATATGCCGGATTTACCTTTAAGGGCATCTCAATCAGCGTAGTAATCTAGCAAACAAAATATCGCTATTAGATTAGCGTGATCAGGATTCTATAACAGAATGGCGCCCAAATGTCGCACAATGTGCGCTGAATGTGCCATTATATACAATACTGTACTTATATGACAACATACTGCCTTACCATGTCGGCTGTACACAGGTTAATTAGCAAGATATGGACCCGGCTCTTCTTTTTCCTGCGCACCAGAGTGCTAAACACAATGCCATTGCCCAGTAGAGATATCCACAGCAGATTACTGTAGACGATAATAACGATGGTATTCACCGGGGTGTACTGCATTTCCGGTGGTAGAGGAGATGCGGCGTTGGGGTAATCATCAGTCGTGTTATGCTGCTCAATCCAAACGGATCCGGAAACCTGAGATACTGATTCCACTTGATCCGATCTAGCAGCACCCGTCTCCGCACCGCTTGTCAGCGCCATCCTGAATTTGTTTCTTGCCGCTACAAAATTACAACAAATTTTATCAATTGACTAAGCCAGCAATTTAAAAAAAACTACGTTCATATTCTGATATAGAAAACGTATATATCAGCAAGAGTTGAATCAAGCCGAGCTTGAGTGCTGCCAAACAGAAAATTCGCGATAGTTAACTTATTTACTTTATTTCTCAATTAACTACTTTCGAAAAATGTACAAAATGAAATTTGCCAATTTTAGCGCTTTGCCAGGGAAACCTTAGAATGCCGACGATGCGCTCAGCTTGTAGGGGATACACATAACCTCGTCGGTAAGCAGTAGCCAATTTTATCACGCCTTTAAAACAAATTAAGCGTACAACATGTACCCATAGTCAATGGCTAATATTTTTAAGTTAATTCACACATTTATTACGCTACACAACCTGGGTAGATCTTCGTCAGAATCGTAAGTTGAAATGTGAGCTGACCCGGTTGCCAAGAATGGTCAAGATTGCCAATTCCGTGCCTTATTGCATGGAACCGACCATTTCCAAAAGTTTCTGTCCATACCATATATCTATGATTTTATTTCACGATATCGTTGTTACATATGTAGATATAGTAGGTACCCGTTTGTAAATGGTGATTTCGAATGTTAAATTTAAGCGTTGTTCCAGTAGCTATAACCTGTAACTATTCGCGAGTGTTTATTCTCTAATAGTAATCATGCTTCTGTGCCGTTATTGGGAAAGCTGCCGACATGTTGTAGCCTGTGCACCCAACATGAGTACGTTGTACAGTATATATGTGTTAGGCTGAATTGTTTGCTTCCTCCGTTTCAAAATATTTAATTTGATAATGAAATCCAAAATTTTTGCTTATCATGGGACTCTTTTTCTCACAGTTCTTTTGGATTCGGCACAAATTTTTGGTTAGGGCAAAAGTTTCGGGCAACCCGCTTACATATTTTGCTAAAGATAAGGATTTGCTACAGAGTAATACTACACACTTTGCATTTTTGTTAAGCAAACGTGGAGGTAAGTATTTTTATTACAATGCAGCCGGCTCACCTGTTCACACTGCTCGAGATTAATAAAATAGACAGTGCTCAAATTCCAGTAATTTTGCAGAGTTGGCGAACATCCGGTGGGTGTAAGGTGCAAACGATCAGTGTATGCGTGGTCAGCATCGTTAAGTTTGCGAAGAATAATTTTATACATCCGACAATTATCCCCAATAATTACATCTGAGAATCTGCGTTTAAATCCGCAAACATTGTGACAGCGATGATGTTCATAATAATTTAGGCCATACTCCACTTCAGTCGTTTTCAAGAATAATCCCGGCGCCCTCTGCCTCCTCCGACCGGCAGGATATTTTAAGAATGTTAGCAAGCCAGCGCGCCAAAATATTTAATTATGCAGTTAATTCATGAAATATGGTTTCCAGAATAGCATTTTATCAGATGATAAATGCGGTAAGCGTTCCCGAAGCAAACAGCTGAAACAATATACCTTTTATGGATAATCCAAACCGTCAGCAGATTTGGCTTAATTTAATAACATTGATAATGAGTGCGTAAAGTATGTCAGATCAAAAATCAGCAAGCCGGCTAGCGTTAACATGAAGCCATCGTTGAGAGCTAATTACTAGGAAGCGCGGGGTAACTATCCAGTTAATGATGCCTTACTCCAACGTGTGTAAATTATTTTTTGCAGGCAAAAGGCGTAATTGCCGCAGAGTTTCGGTAAAAGTCACTTTAATCTCCGCTTACGCAGCGCGCCCGATTGCCTTTCGGGTTCTGATGTACGCCGCTGTGGTACGATTACTGGGCGCGGTGTGTATATATGACGTAGCATTTACATGAACGGCCAAGAGATTGTGCTCTTTAGCAGTATGATGATTCTGGGCTCCAACAGAAATCAATAAATACAATGACCATACCGATGCGTACATTAAGTAAAAGATTTGTATGTGTGTATTGCAGTACGCGCGCTCTGCACACACAGCTGAGAATCTTATCAAAAGAAAAGAAAGTGCAAATTGCTGCCAATATCCCGTCAAGTTTTCTTTGCGGTGAGGAACAATCAGAGCATTTGTATGTGATGTTCACGGAAACGACAGCTAATAGCATCACTGCTCATCCTTTAGCGGAGTCGGCGGAATTGCTGCTGGATTGTCGGCTGGTACAAGTGGCAGATCGCCGGGCATTAAGGGAAACCGTGGAACACTTCACACAAGGCGGAAATAAAAATTTGCCCGCCCTGACCGCCTACAATGTGTGAGACGCGAAACATGCAGTGCGCGCAAGTGATTTGTACGGTGCACAGCCTTTAAATCATATGCCAATTCATTGGCAGCTTTAATCAATCAAATTTTCCCATCGCTGGTTGTTTCTGCGTCAAGTTCAAAAATTACTTGATTATTAGCAGACAACAGAGTTAGTGTTGAAAAGCAGTGAATTGGAAATATCAGTAAGTGTATATACACTCGATGAGATTGCTTATAAAATTGCATGGTGCGGTTTATGTGTCTAGAATACACAAAGGCTACTTTATTGCTATTCCCAAAAGGCAAAAGAAATTTTTTATTTATTACTGTCGCTGCCCTGAATCACATATATGCGAATATCCGTTATGCATATGCTCGGTCGTTGAGCACTTGAAAGAGTTATTTACAGAGAAATGCGAAACTGAGCAAAAAGCAAATTTAAGCCGATAAAATAAACTGCCGACATGAAAACATCCTCCAGGGAGTCTGCCATGGAAGACCGCAGTATATGCTTGCTGTAAGCCGGTTGTTGATGGGAACATAAACGATACATACCATGCCGATGATGACATAATATCTTTGACTCAGTTTACAGATTGTGGTAACTAATCTAATAATATATTCCTAGTGCTAATTCATGGATTGTGTAGTTTAAAATAGTACGATTAGAATGTACATTGGCTGCATCCAATTTCAGACGGCTTTCGTAAGTTAAACTATAGACTTGGAGAAGCTAGCAATGTCATGCGATCTTGTCGTTCAAGTTAAAAATGCACGATACAGCACTAGTAAACGCAAACGCGCACTCAATGTCTGAATTAACGAAAAGTTATTAATAGATTCTCGCATTAAATAAAGTATAAAAGAAACTGCTACATTATAATACATCTTTCCTTCAGCAGAGCTGTTTTGTGCAGCTGTACAATACCTACCCTACCATTAGTTACGGTATTAACGATAAGCTTTAGCTAGCAGTCTTAGCAGATCTCCGCATAATGTACTACCGCAACACCAATTGGTTGCTTCGGAATTAATCGTTTAAGTTAACCGTTTTTGAACTGCATAATCAGAGTATGTATGTTTAAGAAAAAAGTTATATAAAAAGCGCGCGTGTAGTCACTGCTTTTTTCCAATTAAACCGTTCCATATTAGAAAAATTAAATATGATAACAATACTTATATAATTGTATTGATCACTGTTGTTTCAGCTAACCGTTACGTTATATAAGTACGTTGTTACTCACCAACAATAATCATTTTTTTGGGGTTTGTTGTTGTTTCTTGTCAAAATACAGTTATTTTCAAAAATACTGGTAACAAAACCTACGAATAGCTATTAAAAAGTCCATTAGTAAGACTGCACGTTCAGATTTATGTGTTTCGGCGTAGTGGAAGTTGTATTTGTCAGGTTTTTGCGCCTCTAGATTGGCCCAGTGAAATGAAGGATTTTTTAAAAAAACTGTAAAGCTGTAGTCAGAGAAATCTGCTTCAAATTGATAATGCCAGTTGTAGCTAGGAAGCAGTGAGTCTGAAAGTTTTAAAATAGTTACGCTGGGTCAAGACTATTTACAAGGTATGTGTGACCTTTTGCGCGAATCTAGTATGAACCTGACATTCGGTGATGTCACTGTGTTTGATGTAGGCGAAAACACCTGCGCGCTTCCCTGCAAAAGTGGGAAGTCTACCGACATCACCGACTGCCAGGTTCATAATTGTTTTGCATAAAGCGGCTCCTAAAATTTATTATTTTTTTGGAGGTCAAAGTTTGTGCCGTTTAAGGTTACCCTATTAGATAAAATTAAAAAATTCATTTGTGTATTTCCAGCTTTTTGTTGCGAAATAGGTCTCAAACTTAAACGTTTACCGATGTTTTATGCATGCGGTAGAATGTAATAATTTTCAAAATTGCGTCTATACTCTCGTAGCTATTGTAAAAGCTGTAATAGCTTTGGAGGGCATTTTTTTCCGGTTTAAAATTTATGTATGCAAATTGTCATTGACCTCTTTGGATGCTGTATTCTAGAAGTGATGTGCGTAATAAGCTGATCTAACGAAAGCATGACTTCGGACACTTTCAACAGAATCGCTATTCCAAGTTTATACCTGTACCTATTGAGCTTAAAAATGATGGACTATCCAAACGTCATGTGTAATGGCACCGAAACATCTTGACAGACAGGCGATCAAGCAGTTCTCTATAAATCTTTAGTTGGCCCGAAGCTTCAAGCAACAGACCATATTTTAGTTCAACCAATTCACCATCACTCTTGTTTTATCGCTTGGTTGATGTAGGTAGCCGTGCTTTATCCATGTTGGAAAATATCATTAAATTGCCAATAAACTGCGAAAGTCACCTATTTAATGTTTAACATTATAACCTTTTTTAAGTTATCTAGTTAATTTGGTGCTGGGAAAGAACCAGTTTATTTTGGATATTCGTGCTGGAAAGACCATTCATTTCGTAACTAATAAGCTGAAGCAGTGCAATGTAATATAGTATTGTCTTGGTAGTAACAACCACCCAAGCGCGCTGACTAATGGATATTCCACAGTACAATCCGTATTTAATTATTTCAAAATGGGAATTGTCCAGTATTATCTTGCCAGCTTGAAATCTTGAGTTCCAGTTTCTTTTTTCATGTAGATTTATGTCCTCGTAATATAACGCAAATGAATTACAAATTCGTGAGCCGGTGCAACACCGCAGTTTTTTGAAAATATCTATACACATAATTTTCACCTTTATGGGAGACACCACCAGTTGGCACCATGGATCTTTGACCTGTTACTCTGTTATTCATGTATCACTCGTGATTCTCCCTTTCTCATATATCGTTTGCATGGTAAGAAAATCTGCTAAAAAACGAAAAACCGTTTTTCATTGTAGCGCTAAATGTTTCATAATGTTTCAATATATAGCAATTTCATCTAATGATTTACAAGAACGCGGCAAGTGTAGCACCATTCGTAGTTTCCATAAATTACTCGTTGTAATTAAACCATCTAATGTTAACCCAATAGGGATGCTTGTCGCACCAACCTGTAATCTTGGCATTATCTTGCAGTGGCGGATATGTGATTCTCTTAGAAACAAAACGCTGCTGCATGCTTGTATATATGATGTTAAATTTACGATTTAGTGGACTTTTATCGCACTGAAAAACTTTACTGCAAAAAAAGCGGTTTCCGGTCAATGCTCGGCGCAAGACTTCACCCCATTGTTATTACTTAACCTTACGCTGTAGTGTCTCTAGCTGCTGCCTTGCAAATAACCCACGGTCCTACACGTAACTAGTACCTTACGTGTAGATCTATACGCATGCACAATAAAAACTTAATTATTATATGTTATCATAGCGCACAACTAAATATATTGCACACAGTATGCAGGTATTCCTGAAATTCTTATTGACCACAACTTGACCAAGTGACCAATATAACAAACCATCAGGCGTGCTGCTTGGTACCGAGGTCGCCTTTTGATCGGTACAAAAAATTTGACGTCTGAAGATCATTATGATAGATTTTCATGCCGTGTTAACGTTTCGTACAATGGATGCAATCTGAAAATGAATCGCGAACTAGAATTACCTGCGTAGTTGGATACGGATGGTCACCTAGTGTAACCGCAGTTTTTTTATCACGCTTTATAGATATTATTAAGGCAAATGTGCTACTCCATTTGTAAATTATCTTCTTCTTGTCGCTGCTTGTGGTAGAAAGTGCATTTGCAAAGTGAAATTTTCTATTGCATCCTTATGCTTTAATTGCATATGCTTTTCGTAGCTTTTCATGAACCTTTAAGAAAATAAATTTTAGATCAAATGGCGAGCTATCAAAATTTCTGCCAAAACAATAATCCAACCAACAAGCAAAGTGCATTATTGCTCGGTTTTTATGCACAGCGAAATCTCTGCAAAATACTGATCATATATGAGACAATATTTTATAATACCTACTGTGTTAATCATGTTCTACTACTTGCTAACACGTTTAATCAACAAACAATAGCATTATTATAAAACGATCGCAGTGCTCTACAGTAACGACTTGATATTCCAGAGAGCTAAGAAAATTGTGCATTCAAAATTTTGACCATCTGGCATCTGGAGCCAATTGTGGGCTAGTTTCCTTTAGAATTCTGTACGTTTGTATTCACAGGCGGCTGTGATCAACGTTACAAATAAAGAATCATCTTCTTCCATTTTTTTGCCATAACGCTAACTTGACTTACTAATTGAAGTTGTAATCTAATGCAGTACCAGTATCTACTACTTTGTATCTCCTCGAATCTCCATTGTGTTGTGGATGCTGCCAGTGCGAGCAGGTATGATATCGTTCAGTGCTTTCGAAACCAATAAAGTTATACCAACAGTACTTTGCAACTAAATACAGAGTAGATAACGTCTGAAATATTGCTGTGCAGTTGAGAAAAGGAGGTTGTAATAAATGCCAGGCTAGTTTTTTAATTTGGATTGCAATGTATTCACTAACTAAGGTTATATTTTTAATATTTCACTGCATTTGATATTGCATTAAGTGAAGCGCATAGAAACCTATTTTTCAAACGACGATGGAGCAAAAGTTAAAGGCTTGTTTACGAAATCTTCGTGGAAGAGCAAAGATGATAGATATGCGAGTAATAATGTGTTGATTTTTCCTACTCACTTCTCACTATGACCCAGCGTGCAACGCAAGTTACAGCTGCCGCTTAATATTTTCCCTCATCGTAGACAGTCAGGAAAAACGACGGTATTCTTTGCGATAAAGAGCTTCTGTCAGTTGATTCTTTATGTAATTATAAGTTCTGAAGAGTCGAGGTCTCATTCGCATACTATGCGGAAAAAAAACGGCAGAATTAATGATTTCGACCAGCGGGTAGTATTATGTACTGATCACAATGTTAAATTACGGTCAAGCGACACGACAAAGACGATGTATACGGTGATTTTCACAATTTCGCATGATCAGATTAAATGACCAACCTGTTGGATGAATTTCTTAACGAGATAATACCTTGCAGGCATAGAAGTATCAAACACGATCGACACGAAGCATTGCTGTAACTCAAAAATAGAACTTTAAAAGCTTCTGCTTACCGATCGATAGTCTTGCATACCAATAGTTCAATAGTACAATTCATTACACAATTCGTAAACAAAGGTTGTGAATAATAAATTATAATAATTTACCTTTTATTGGTCAAAATTAATTTGATCGTGTGGCAGATACTCGTACATATAAAATGTGCATAGCAGAAATATGAGGTAACCGGTCATAAAATGCAGCTTTTAATTATATTTTTGTATACTTCGTCTCCCGCTTGCACAAGACTTTAAAAACTTCTCTAAAATTGAAAAGCGCAAAGTTGAATTTACTGGTCAATGCAAGTGCAGGCATCTCGTGTTTTTAATAAAGCACGGTTTCGAAGCATGCAGTCAAAAGTTTTCAACCTCGTAAAAAATGCGGTTTTAGACAAAGACCATGATGGCTAATAACAGTCATCATCGCATAAGGATGTATAATAACCGATAATCGTCAATGCTAATGTTCAGATTTCCGACTTAATTCGTAATCTGCAGTTCATTTTTTGCGCTCCGACAATTACAATGCGCAGTAAACTTTACAAACTTTCAGTCTAGTTTTACGTGTCAAAATTGTACTGCAATTTTTTTTATCCTGTTAATTTTATATGTGTCGTTACCGAAAACGCACCGATTAACAGGTATCGTGATGATCAGATCGTACGTACATGTCGTCCTATATCCGGTGAAATTAGCGCACATCTCTTTGTGTGATGCGTTGTGAAGGCACAGTATTAACCGCTCGAGCTATTGTCTGAAGGTGTCAAGCTGCACATCAAAACCGGTGTAAAGTTTGCTATTAGTGGATTTGCGGCATCCAAACAATGCCCTCAAGGTCAAACCATAAACAACAATACTTAGCCTCTTCAAGCTCGTCATATTTATTTGTATAACAGTGGGATGCTGCACTTAATGCACTAGAATTAAGTATCATTCACACGCTTTCTTATTAATTCATTAATTTGTAGGCTTAAAATTAATGCGAAATTGCGAGCTGTATATAGCTTGACACGTACAAGCACAACGTTTAAATAAAACTGCATGCGCAAGCGACAGTGTTTAAACGATGTCACAATGGCAAGTCTACCTTACGCTGCCGCTATCTTGGCTGTATTGTTTTTATCATACAAGTAGATGCTCGGCGCAACGGCATTGCCATTATCTCCATTAAATTAATGGGATAACAGATGGTTTCTCATCTCGAAAATAAGTATGTCCTATTAAACGAAGAAACGTAACAGCTTTCCACTGTTCGCACTATAAACCGTACCGGTTTCTTATCACCAGTTGACCATGCTTTGTATTAGCCGTTCGCGTGGGCGAGCTCGTTCGAAAACTGCGTCTATTTATGATAAGGCTGGAATGCGCAACTTAAATGTGTTTTCCTAATCGCTAAGTGTGAGATCGCTTAAGCATGCAATTAATTAGCATCTTGCAGTGCTTGCTGGAAATGGAAAGAGTGATTGCAGGTTTGCTATCTTGCGAGTGAAGAAAATTGAGATGTAACGGAAACACCCGACAAGACGCATAAAGTAGCGTACGCTTACAGTTAAGTGTGCAGGTAAAGATGTGTTATTGTTCTTCTACGATAGCAACAAGTCAAATCGCAGCTGGACGCTGGTTTTGATCAGAACTTAAGCGAGAAGTAGCGAATGTTTAATTGCACAACCCTAAACATTTTTATCTCGGCGAATGTCATAATTTAATTTTGGCATGCTAGAAAGGCCACGCACTCTTCTGCCTTAATACTGCGTAGACTGTATAAAGTTGTCAGGGTTAATATGGCACTGCGGGAGCCATGACGAGAACTACTCAAATCACACAAACGTAAGTGTGAGAACCTTAGGCGCGATTAATTCACTCCACTGACAGCGTATGTCTTTTTGTTCCGGCACTTTCCCTAAGATAGTCCGTAGTCTCCGTATCACGACCGTATGTATTATAGCTAGGCACATTTTACAAGCGTAAAGTACAGTAGTAAAGAGTTAATTGGTTATATGCAACTATTTCGTTACAAACTAACATTATACGGTACCGCGGGTACACAGAGGATGCTTTAATGGATTGCAATGCAGTTCATGTTCTGGGTTGCAAGCTTTACTTGATACAAATACTTAGTTCTTACTTTTTTATACGCTTTAATTTTGCATATTTTGGGGTGTTTCCGCAGTGCGAACACTTTGTGCAACGAATCTAAATTCTCGATTATCTTAAAGGATGCAGACTCAATAGGTCTCATACGTAAATACGGGGGTCTGAAAATTGGCAAAACAGTTTTTGCATTGCGCCGGCTTATGGTGATTTAATCCACAAGAACCAAATGCCACAGTTTGAGCAGAGAAATATTTGTTACACATCACACGTTCATTACACGGAGCAAACGCCAAACAGGTTAATATCAGCGACAGACGGTGTTTTTCATCCTCGAGAATTTGCTTTTCGAGAAAACTGAGAGTTCAATCACAGATAAAGTTGACGATGGGGAGACATTTTCATATCAACGCAAATGACCAAATGTGAAAATGAACTATGACATGACAGATGAGCAGTCGATTCTGTGGACACTGGCCCGCAAAATTTTATCTGCGTTATTGAAGAGTAGAAAAATTTACATTGACAGAAATAAGTGGCATAATGATTTAAGTCTCTTTGACAAAATGTTTGCATTTTTCAAAGCTGCACCCAGCTGTCAGCAGCACAGTCCAATAAACATTGTACGTTGTTTGTGGTATCCAATCGTGCAGCGGTCAGTGCAGCTT